GGGAAAAAAAGAACCTCATTTCATGGAAAAGAAGCAACTTTTTCAAAAGTAACTTGTGTCATGCAATGTGGGAAGGTACATTTGAAAAACAAAGGTGAGGGAGGGGAGTGATTTGGAAAACAGCTGTTTCAGATGTTGCTGCTCTTCTTTGATTCTGTCACTGAGAGTGATGAGCTCATCCTGTAGACTCTCATATCTGCAAATTAAAAACCCACTAAGAAGTAAATGTTAAAACCTGGTTCGAAAATGTCAAAAGAAAGAGCACCAGTGGGGTTTGAACTCATTTGCAAATAAATGGGACCTCTCCCAATTAATCTGCTAAAACATAAAAAGGAAAGATCGAAACCAGGGAGAAGGGTTTTTGATTAGTGACAGTAAAAAATCTCTGTGCAGCTGAATGCCAATTAACACAACCAACAAGGCACCGCTTCTGTTTGGAGTTGCCTGTGTTAGTGAGGAATTTATTTTCATCTATGACAAGCTTTGAAAGCAAGTTTACAAACACAGTTACCAGGAACCCAGACCAATGAATCACTGTGTCGTGAAGCTTTAAGTCAAGATTTTCAAACTACAGAAACACATTCAAACCAAAATGTGTTCCTCCCCCCAAATATTACTATTATTTTAACAAGAGCAAAACTTCATTTCAGCTTTGTTTTGTCTTTTACCTCCATTTCTGTGAATGTTCTGTGATTTATATACTAGCACAGTTATACACACACAGGGTCTGGCACAGATAACACCCCTTTTTATTAAAATCGCAAGTGTGCAATTCTGTAACGTAACAATACCACACTCAAGCACACCATATAACATTTTAGGTGAAATGTTCAAATTTAAAACTATAAATTATTACAACCATATTATTACCCTAACCACCACACTCAAGCAGGCGGTACTTCTGACGGACCCTGTATATATAACTTACAAATAAATATCTCCACGTTGGGATCTACGTGCTAGAGTGTTTTGCTGGTGTAGGTACACCATTTAAAAAGCAGGGTGATCCCAATGGCAGATAGTAAAACCTTTGGAGGTGACCTGCACCCCCCTCATCAATGTTTGCTGGCGGCTCACGCAGGACACGTGATCATGAGACTTGGCCCTGTAGGCTGATGGGCTGAATGAAGACACCTACTGGTCGAAGTGTTATGTCATAGAAACAATAGAGATACCAACTCAGGGGGGGAAACCAATAAATAAATAGACATTTGGCAGAGCACCAAAAGGGTCCCCAGTTTCCTCACTTGGAGTGCTTGTCTGAATACCACTCATAGGAGCTAAATGCATTGTGTCCGCCCTGCCTGGCGCTCTGGGCTTTGCACCCAGTCCCTCCCTGCATTCTCACAACAGCCTTATGAGAAACCAACCGGTGTCTGTTCTGCTTTCCCAGGTACCTGTGCCGCCTCTTCTGGAAGGACGGTGGCCCCAGGACAGCTCTGGAAACTGCTTATGTTTCCTGTCTCCCCAGGGGATTTCAGACCCAGAGATCCCGATCATGTCCTCTTGCTGGGAAAAATGAGTCACAAAGATAGAAATGGAAAAGAAAGGTCGAAATTGAACCTCCACATATAATGACTTTATCATCGATCTACTGGTCACAGGAGATGTGCTCTGAGCTATTTTTCCAGTAAGTGGAAAAAAAACCAAGCTGCCCCACAGGCCTCCCTTGGGCAGAGCCTCCCAGGCTCTGCCACAGGGCCCAGGGTGCCGGCTTCTCTAGGGGATTGAGCCCTTGGCCTGCCCCTGTCTGCTCCCCACAGACAGTGATGTGGGTTCCGTTGCTCTGGCTTTGAGAGCACAGAGGACTAAATGGTCGAGGTGGGCCAGCTTTGTGGGTACGTGGTCTGTGAGGGGCTCGGAAAAGCCCTGCACATGGTTTAATGCTCTGTTGTTGCTGTCTTTTTTTTAAAGCTTTTACTTATTTAGTTTTAGAGAGAAGGGAAGGAAAGGAGAAAGAGAGGGAGAGGAATATCAATGTGTGGTTGCCTCGCATGTGCCCCCTACTGGGGATCTGGCCTGCAACCCAGGCATGTGCCCTGACTGGGAATCGAACTGGTGACCCTCTGGATCCCAGCCCATGCTCAATCCACTGAGCTATACCAGCCATGGCTGCAGTTGCTGTCTTAATGTTCTTCATAATTTTTCTACAAAGAAGTCATGTATTTTAATTTTGCACTGGACCCCACAAATAGAAGAGCCAGCCCTTCTCCCAGGCCAGGATGGGGCCGTCTTGGGGAGGGCTGGCCTGGGGAACTAGTTCCAGCTCTTGTGTCGACCCCAGGCCCATTTCAACCTTTGACATCAAGTTTAGAAATAAACTTAACCTAAAACCAGACCTTCGTGTGTGATAGTCCCCTGGCAGAGTGGGCAGAGAGAGCAGCTGCCTCCCAGCTGATTTGGGGGTCAGGTGGTGAGAGCCTGTCCCACCTTGTGTCCTGGACCGGGAAACGGTCCCCACGTTTAGGGCCCACCCAGGATGACAGCACTTGAAAGGACGTGGTGCCAAATATCTTTTCATTATCATATTAATTTTACAAAGTCCCTTGAATAATCTATTGGAATGAGCACTGATGTGGGCAGGAAGTTAATTATTGAATGCCTGTCTTTTAAACTGTAGTTTTTATCTCATTTAATTCTTACAGAAAGGGTGGAGAGACACAGCGTCTGCTTTAGTTGCCCCCGTCTGGGAGATCAAGGCAGTGGCAGTCTGGACCTCAGTGGGCTGCTGTGGGGATCGACGACTAGTGCAGACTCACCACCAGAGCAATGCCTGCTCTACGGTAAGTACACAGGAAGTAACACTGGTTTACCCAGTATTTAATCTGTTCTATCTCCAGAAGTGTGTTTTTCTTCAAGACCCATATATTTGATTTCTAGAAGTTCTGTTTGGTTCTTAGTTCTTTCATAATTCTGCCTTTATTAAAAAGGAGAATATTTTATTGTCATCTCATGTTTAAAGTCCTTTGGTCTTTCATCTTTCTAAAACTTACAGTCTGTCTTCAGTACTGTTACAAGACTGTTATGTAAGATATAGGGCTAATCCTGCTTTTTGTTGTGTCTGCTGATGCCCACAGGGATCGTGTCTTCATTCAAGCATTTGTCTGCTCCTAAAGGAGTGTGTCCGCTCCACACACACTCCTTGTAAAATATCATAGTCCCTTTCAGTAATGAAAAAAATCATAGCTTATTCATGAGAGTTCTTTGGACCAGCTGGAAGCAGAGGAGTCCATGGTGCCATCCTAGCCTTGTGAGGACAATATCCTCCTTTTAGGATTTTCCTTTTCCACCACGTTTATCTGCAGTTGGGCCTAATTCACCATAGGAATGATCTGTTTTATGTTTTGGGGTTCCCCCCTACCCCGGACACAAGTCTCATTTTGATGAACGTCCCATTATGTAACGGAAGTACGACTCTGGGCCAGCTTCCTCCTCTCTGAGTCTTGGTTTTCTCCTCTGTAAACGGATGATAAGAGGGATGCAGACGTTTTCACTATTGTGCACCACGGTGTCTGTCATAGTGTAAACCCTCGGTCAGCTCTTTTTGGTGTTGTATCTCTTTGCACTAACCTTTCCCAATAACGTTTATAGACTTAAATCAAATGCAGCCTGACATCACAACCGCTATAACAACATGATCACCAGTGACTCCTTACCTTTCCCAGAGTGTCCCACTAACGCCAGTGTATCCGGCCCATCCATCCATCCTCATTTTCTCTGCCTTTCTTGCTGCCCTCTCTATACACCAGGCTCATTCATCTTTCCACTGAATAGAGTTTGCTTTCTTGGCAAACCCCTTTCTTTTTGGCCTCTAACCAAATCATCTCTCCATCCTTCAGAGCACAGTTGAAGTTCAATGTCCTTTATGAAGCTTTTGACCAAATTCAATCCATACTAATTGCTCTGGAGTGTAAAAAGCCCCTGTGAAGAGGAACGTGGAATGTAGCTTTCCCAGGATGCAGTGGCTTTGTTCACGGTGAGGCCCTGGGTGTTGTCCTAATGAGATGGAACATTTTCCCACAGGTGAAGGGCATGGCACGCAGCCAACCTAGGTGAACTCCCACCAGTTCCAAGTAGGTACTCTTATGTATCTTTAAATTTTGGCTTTTTAGTATATATTTGGTGGGGATGTGGGAGCCTGACTTGTGTCCTAGAAAGGACAGCTCTTTGTGACAACTGTTCCTTGATTATGAGCCTGGGATCACTCTTTTGCTGTTACTGTTCATTTTTCAGACTGAGGGCTCAAGGATTACTCATGTAAATTCCAACTCCAACCCAAGGGAGGGGACCCAGGCTTTTTTGAAGCAGGTGCTATTGGAAGAATGGAAACTTGAGGGAAGGGGTCATGGGGGGGAGGAACTTTTGGATTTAATGGGTTCTCTTTGTCGTCACACCGTGGTCAGCTTTGGAGCACAAGCTGCGATGTGACAGTTCTTTAGGCCGTGTGATTCTGTCCTAAACTATGTGTTTTGGTCCATAGGAAGAAGTGGAGCAGGTGTGCTCTCCCCATTGCACAGAAACAAACTGAAGCCAACAGAACACTGGGAGGGGAACCAGGTCTTCTGGGGACTCTATCCTGTTTTGCAGAGGAGGGAAGATGGCGAACCTTCACAAGAGGAAGGTAGTCTTCATTCACATACTATCGCCCAGTTGCCACACCCATCTCTGGACCTCCCCACTTCCCTGACGGCCTGGACCCTATCTCCACCCTGCACAGAGGAGAACATAAGTCCTTTCCACGTGCAGAATGTGGTCACAGAGCACGTTTGTCTGTGTTTCTCGTTTGCCAGCAGTGCCGTGAGGCAACATGGGTGCTCTGAGTCCACTTTGACAGAGGGGGGTCTGAGAAACTGGGGCTCAGGCTGCTGATGGGGTTTGCTCGAAAGGCCACACATTCAAGAGGAACATCTGGGGTTTGAACTCTCATTCTTTGTCATCCTGGGCTGTGGGATCAGAGAGTCACTTACAATGCAGGTGGTACTGGATTGTTTTTGTTTGCTTTTTATTGAGGTGAAATTCACAGGACTTACAATCAGCCATTTTAAAGCGAAAAGGCAGTGCCATCTAGAACATTCACAATGCCGCACAACCACCACTTACACTTTCAAAACTCTTTCCCTCTCCACTCCCTGGGATTCTGTGCAGGACGAAAGGACCGGTCTGGCGAGACGCCCATCCAGCTCAGGGCCTCGCTCCTAGCGGGGGCCTGGATCTTGAGACACTCCAGCTCTCCCTCAGCAACCTGGTAATGTGGAAGGAGGAAGTCTTTCCTAAACTTAGCTCCTTGAGGAAATCGGGTTGAGGATATGTGAATTATGCATGTTCCAGTCCTCTTGCTTTTTAAAAATGACATTTCAGAAATGTCCTCTCACGGGGAACTTGTCCCCGGAACCAGCCGCTCCCAGTCTGAGAGCAATCGGACACCTTCACCCATCCACGTCCCACGGCTGGATTTCACACAGTCACCAAGTTTCTTGTCTGTCGAAGGGGGTTGTCTTCTTGGTCAGGTACCTCGCAGCCTCAGAGGAACTGCAGTGTCTGTGTTGTCCTGGACACAAAACAGGTGTGTGACAGGTGTGTGTTGGAGTGTACCGGATGGTGGCCTGCCAGCTCCCAAGCTTCAGCCACCACCTGGTGACCAATATTGTCCCTGTTTTGAAATAGTGGGTTTGGCGACTGAGGAGCTGTCCCTCTGGTGCTGGGCTGGATCCGGGCAGGGACTGGCCAGGCTCTGGTCGGCTGACACTTGGGCAGCTCCCACGACTGCCTCCCTGAGCAGGTGGAGGGCGAGAGCTTCGAGCAAGTTAACCCAAGGAAGGAAGGGCTTTGGCCGTTATTTAAATTTGCCAATTCTAGGAGCGTAGGCCCCGGGCTTCAATGAGTTGCGGTGGTCCTCTCGGGGTCCTGCGTCACCAGGTGTTGAAGCCAGGCTCTCTGTGGTGGCCGGGAGTGGCTGAGGTAGAAGAGGGCTGGTGAGAAATGGTGTGGCGGGGGCACCTTGGGTGAGCAGCCCCCATAGCGCTGGCGGGCCTAGCAGCTCGTTGAAAGATGTTCCCTCCAGCACCTTCTCACGGCTCTCCAGGCCATCACTGTGCCGACGCCGACAACAAGGCCCCCTCCTGCTGCCGCCACTGGTACAACCCAGGAGAGCACCGCAGGGTCAGCTGCAGCCTGGTCTTGGGGCAGCCGGCTGTTCCTCAGGGTGTGGAGGTAAGGGCGCTCCTGTGGGGGAGGAGAGGGTCAGGGGTGCAGGGCCTCTGAAAACACCCATCGCCCACCTTAGGCCCGCCAATCCCCGTCCTGGAGACACTGCGCATTTCCACAGCACCTCTGTGCGTAAAGCTCCCTCATCTACACCGTGCCCCTTCTGGAGGAGGGGGGGTGTCCTGAGTGGGCAACAGCCCGCCGTAACCTCTTTGGAACGTCTCACTGCATCTCCTTTCCTTTTGACCCAATTTTGAAAGACTGGGAGGAGACAAGTGACCAATGAGTTGCTGGCAGAGCCCCCAACTCTGTTTCTCCTAGGCCCCCTTGGACGACTGACCCCATCCTCCCATCCGGGGGTGCCTGGGGAGCAGAGAAGCTCTGTGTGGAAGGGCAGCTGGCTCTGTAGTAGATTGGAGAACGGAAAATGGGAGAGGTGGGGGAGGCGGCGTGCGGGCCTGCCTCCCTGGACACCTCCTCCCAGGGAGCACTCACTCAACACCTGCTCGTGGAACCCTGTGCTGGGAGCCGGGAGAGCACCTGAGGGCTAAGATGTGACCAAGAGATAAAAGGAGTTTGTCAGTGTCTTAACAGGTATAAACAGAAAAGAGAGGCCGAGGCAGGTGTGTGTACCTGGGGTGGAACCATAGAGTGAGATAAGGTGGAACAGTAGCCAGACAAGGCCTGAAGGATGTGAAAATTTTCCATAGGCGGAGCAGGGAGCTGAGCCTCCAGGAGAAGCAGAAGGGGCTCATCTGGGAAGCTGCTGCAGCTTCAGGAGCAGAGTGTCCAAGGCAACCAAACAGAGAGGGTCTCAGGTGCCTCTCTTCAATGGGCAGAGGGAAACAGGGAGGGTTTGAAGCAGTCTCAACAACACTGGAGTCACTTCCAGGGATGTTGCTCCATGTCCAGCAATGATTTTGTGGGTGCAGAGAGAGAGCGGAGCTGGGGAGCAAGTGAGGGACTTTGTGGACGGCCTGCGTGAAGGCAGTGCAGGCCTGGAACACAGCATCGGAGGAGAGGGAGGAAGAGAGTGGCAGCCTCCCAGAACAGACAACGGTGTCTCATTCCTCTTTGCCTCCCTTCCTCCCCCTCCCAACCCCGCCCCACCTCACTCCCCTCCTCCCCGAGTGGCGTGCCTGGCCTGGGAGAGCTCCTCAGCCTTGTTTAAGACAGAGCATGACTCAGACCCCTCAGGGTAGAGGGTGACTCAGGTTCTGGCCAGCACTGTATGCTGATGCCTCCCCTGAGTGTCTCTTCCTGCTTCAGTCTGTGGCTTTCTCCCTCCTCTCACCCTTGGACGCACACTCTGAGGAGCTGAGACGTGGCCAGGGCGATGAGGAGAGGTGAGATTTGAGAATGGTGGCAGTGAATGAAGGTACACAATGCCAAAGCTTCCCAGGGGGCTCCTGTTGTCCCCAGGTGGATTTATTGGCCCCCCTACACCCTCCACAGGCGTCTGGTCCACACTGGACAGGCAGGACGTTTACTCACAGGGGAGGGACACTTGAGTTTGGTTCGGCTGTAAGTGAAGTTGTTGGAGGTCGTCTTATGGCCCACTGGTTCCAGCTGATGAGAGAAAAAGGAAACCCTGATTCCCTTCAAAGCTGGGAAGAGTGTCTCACCCCAAACCCTCTCCCTTTGCAAGATTGAAACCAGCAAAGAGTCAAGACCCTGGACAGATACCAGCAGCCCTGGGGCCAGAGCTGGACCTACTCTCGCTCACAGAGCGACAGGGCAGAGTCCACCAGAATCAGGACTGGTCCCCCAGTCCGTGTCCTGGTGTACTGAAGCCCAGGACAGACTGACCAGTCTAGGGGCCACAGTCAGTGGAACGAGGGGCCCAGACCTTCATTTCCTGTTTTCCTTGAGGTGGCTGTGATTGCAGACGCTGGACATGTTTAATTTATAGGATGGTGATAATCCTGTTTACCAGCTTCTTGAAGTGTGTGGGGCTAGTCAATCTCAGGGAAACTTTGAAAACACATTGGTTACCATGACACCGTTACCACACTTCGTTTGTCAATGCTCAGAAATCTGGTTTTCTCACCTGAGCATCTTTGTGTGTTTTTCCCATAGACTAAAATATTTACTCAGAGCAACTGTGGTCCACAGAGGTTCTGCCTAGTAGTGTTGATCCTTGTATCCTCTGAGGAGGAGCTGCAAGCTGCTGTACCCTCTCGTCCCAGCACCTTCAGCCAGTGGCCTGTCCCCTGACATGTGGCCAGTCCCAAGAAAGATGGACACCTGGCACTCTCACCTATTCAACTGTCTGAACATCTGGCCTCTACTACCTTCTAATCTGCGTCCCTGCCTGTGCCTGACCCCTCGGTGCCTGACCCCTCAGTACTGCCTATGAGGTAAGTGAAAGTGCTCTGCCAGCTAATCATCACACCTGGCTTATGATCTTGCTTTTTTGTTGTTTTAAAGCCTTTCTACCCGTTCCTGAGTAGCACAGAGGAGGAAGGGCTGCTCTGGCTCTGGGAGAGACAGCATGGTGCCTGGGAAGAGCACAGAGGGCCCAGCAGCTGGGGTCCTGGCTCTGTGGACACTGACTGTAAGTTTCTAGACAGGCTCCTGGACTGCCCGAAGGTTAGCTGCAGGGCATTAAACCCTGTCCTGACTGCTCCACACTGAGTTGTCATGAGCATCAAATGAGAAGATGCCAAGAAAGCCCATGTGAGCAGGAGGCGGTTTGCACGTGCGAGACATTATTATTTCCACTTAGCACTATTGTAGCAGAAGCACCTCGTAGATGCTAAAGGCCAGGTTGGGTGATTCCCAACGATATTCCAGGAACCCAGAAACTAAGTGGAGCAGAGGGAGGCAATGACCGGATGGGTTTGATGATTGCATGAGTCTCTCCTTTCTACTGGTTCCTCGCCATCAGAGCACAACCCACTGCTCTGTGTCCCAGCCTTTACCTGCTCCTCCTTGATCCCACATCCCCTCCAGCAGCCTTTGCCCTTGCTTCTCGTGACCCTGGGAAGAGTCGTGTGCAGTCACTGGCCATACTTCCAGACCTCCCCTCCGCTCTAACACCCCTTCTGACCAATCTCCTCACTTAACTAAGTCTCTGGTCGGAGTTGAGTATGTCCTCTATTTTGCCAAAGACAATGGTCACTTTTTTAGTGTTTTGTCTTCATCTTATTTGACTTTTCAGCAGCATTTGTCAAAGTTGATGCCTCCCTTTCCAACCACTCACTTCTCTTGGCTCCCTGGACATGGCGCTCTCCTCGCTCCCCTCCTCCTTTCCCCCTCTCTCACCCTCCTCTGTTGCTGGTGTCAGAGTTGGGATGAAGGTCCTGGGGCCAGGCAGTTGGTCCTGCACTCCTTTCCTCTGCCTGTTCCTTCCCCAGGTGCTCTCAGTCAAACCCAGTGTGAACGCCACCCCCACACTGACCCCCATGTTTTTTCCCAGCTCTCCATCCCCGACCGACTCCATGAGCGCTACGCTCCTATGTTTAACAGCTCACCTGATAACACCCGGTGGGTACCTGGAAGGCACGTCTCACCACACCCAACACAGAACCGGCACTTTCCCTCCCAAGCCTCCTCCTCTCTACCACCTCAACCCCAAACTGAGGAGTCATCTTTTATGCCTCTTTCACCTCATGGTCAGTCTAAAACATCTCCCACATCTGACCACTCTCTCCTCCACGCCATCCCTCGGTCTGGGCCACCTTCACCGTGCCCCTGGACTTCAGCAGCCTCCTGATGGCCTCTCCGAGTCCACTCCGGCTTCCTTCCAGTCCATCGCTGCTCAACAGCCAGAGAGTAAACCGGCTCACTTGGCTTGAAAGCCCTCAAACCAGGCTCTGCTCCTGTCTCTGACCTTGCTCACTCCCCAGCAGTCACACTGGCCTGTGTGTTCCTCAGACGCCTCAAGTTCATCCCTGACTCTGGACCTGACCCCACACGCCCGGCAGCCTGTCCAGTTCATGTTGCTTCTCCTGTGTTGCCTCCTTCTCTCCCACCATTACCCTCTGTCGTATTACCTGCCTTTTTTTTTTTTAAGCTTCAAATGTGGTCAGAAATGATCTAGTTCATTTACTTGTTTACCTGGCTCATTCCAGCTAGACTGTAAGTACCATGAGAAGAGGGACATCTTTTTCACTGCTGCATTCCCAGCACACAGTGATGCATCACTGTGGTTGCTGAGTGAGTGGATGGACAAAGAGGAGCCGCAGAGCCCTGTGGGGAGCAGCTCGGGGGCAGGAGGCCCAGGGCTGTTTTCTCTAGAGCCCACCTTTCTGAAGCCAGACATGCAATGAATGGCCAAGAAGGCCTGGGTCAGGGTGCAGTGGGGGCCTCTAGGCCACACTCTGGGTATTCAGAGAAGGCTTTCTACGGGAGCTGGCATCGGAGTTGAGTGGTGAGGTGGGAAGAGTCAGGAGGAGCAGGGTGGAAGGGCGGTCCAGGCAAGGGCTGAGTGACAGCAGGCACCCACAGGCAGAGTCAGCACGGGCAGCGCAGGAAACTTCATTCCTTATTAGATTGCCAAGTGCAAATCAGGGTGGCAGAGCAGCTGCCAGGCAGGGTAGCCAGGGTCAGGTCCCAGGGGCCTGGTGTGCTGTGCGGGGGGGGGGGGGTCTTGCCTTTCTCCCCGGGGGAGGAGTTAGCCTTGTGGATTGGAAAGCAGAGTGCGACTTGGTCATATTGTCATTTTTGCAGACCACTGTGGTTGCTCTGTGCGAATAGGTCTAAGACAATCCTCTGCAAAGCCTCTCTGATCATGTCGCATGGGGAGCTTTTAAAGCATACTAAACCCAGGTGCCATCCCAGGTGAAGAGTTTCTGGGGATAAGGCCCAGGAAATTCTTATTTTAAGTCAACTTTTAAATAAACTAACGCACATACAGAAACAAGTACAAATCATTCCCCTTCCCCATCAGTGAGCAGCTGATGACTTGTGACGAAGCGAACACAGCCTGTAACACGCCTCCAGGTCAAGGAGCAGAACGTCGTCAGCGCCTAGAGCCCCGCCACCCTCTCCAGGTGCGAGTCACCCTCAGTGAGGCCGTATGTTAATTCGCTTGTTTTTGAAATATATGTATCTCTATATCCATATTTCTATATATCTTTCTATATATCTATATACTCTATGTGTTGTTTTCTTCTCATTGTAAGGCAGTCCATTGTATGAACGTGTCAGTTTTTTTTAATCCTCATGTGAGGATATGTATACTAATTTTAGAAAGAAAGAAATATCAATGTGTTGCCTCCTGTACACGCCCTGAGCGGGAACCAAACCCACCACCTTTTGTGTACAGGACGATGCTCCAACCAACTGAGCCACTGGGCCAGGGCTTGCCACACTTTTTTTGATCCACCCTCCCATTGGTGGACACTTGGGGAGTTTCCCATCTGGGGACTCTGAGTGGTGCTGCCGTGCAAACGCTGTCTTGCATCTCTTGGTGAAACTGTGTGTTCCTTTCTGATGGGGAAATACCCAGGAGGGGAATCTCTGGGTCACAGGGGATCTATACGTTCGGATTTCGTAGATATGCCCAAGAGTTTCCCAAGTGGGTGTAGGCAGACATTGTTTCTAGACGTCTCCAGATGATGCTACTATACAGCCAGAGCTGAGAACACTGTTGTGAGGGTGAGGGCTCAGCCCGGAGACAGGGACGGCAGTCAGGAGGCGAGGCTGTCTCCCAGCGCCTGGGCAGATGCGGTGAGTAGCTGAGAATGGGATTTGACAGGAGGAAGCAGCCAGCGGTGAAGGAATAAGCATCAGGAAAAAAGGAGGAAAAAGAAAAACTTGATAAGAGGACAAAAGGATAAAAAGAAAGAGAAAGGTATTTCCTGCTGATATTTCTGGCTTTGCAAAAGTCTCTGGAAGAAGCACAATCTGTTAAGAGAGGAGGAACAGGAAAGAGAAGTTTAAAGTGTGTTTATTGCCACAGTAGGGGACGCTGGGAGCATCGGCCAAAGCCTGCAGACACTATGTCACCGGGCTCTAATTATGAGACATGAATTCACCGGCTGCGTATGTGCTTATCTGTTGGGAGTGGGAAGGCCAGGTGGTGCTGTGTCCGGAGCACTGGGCAGTTAGACCGGGGTTCTGTTCCCTGTTCTGCCACTAACTGGCTGTGTGATCCTGAGCAAATTGCTTTATGTGTCTGTGTTTGAGTATTCTGGCTAGATAACTTCTGAGAGCCCTTTTAGTTTCAATGAACCTCTTATTTATTCCCATAGGGGTGAAATTCCAGTAAGAAAAGAATCTGAAGAGTTGGCAGGGTGCAATAGCTTTATATCTGAGATGATTTTGGATGAAAATACTAGACTCTGTAACTATTCCCCCCAATCATATAGCATAGGAGAAGGCATTTTCTGATGGTTTCAGACCAGTTTTGCTTTGTTTTTGTTGTTTTTAACATTTAAAGTATGGCTGGGACAGGGGCCGTCCTGTAGCATTGTCACTGCGGCCGTGTGGCCGTGTGTGCCTTCTGTTCTGAGCAGGGGAGGCTGCTAGAGAGCAGGAAGGGTGCAGCTCAGGAGAAAGCCGTGCTGTGCGTCTGCTGAGTGAGACCCTGGACCACCTGTGTGAGCTGACAGGCGCTGGAACATTTGCACAGTGTGGGTGGCAGGTCTCAACTGCAGTGAAATGGGCAGGAGTGCAGAGTGTTTAGTCCCCATGGGAGAAATGAGGGGACATGCACATGTGGGGGGGATTGGGCTACCCACTGAGACTTAAAAGACACCTGTGGATTGGAAAGGCATTTCCTTGCTCTGGGCAAGAGGACATAGCTGCTGGGGGTACTGGTCCAGCTCTGGGCAAACATGGCTCACTGTCCAGCCGTGAGTAGCCAGCCATAAAGGGCAGGGGCAAGGCCAGGTGTTCCTGTGGCCCTGGGGCTCTGTGTTCATTGCACGGGTCCCCTTTACCACCTTAAGAAAGGATGAGAATAGGTGGCAGCCTGGCCAAACAGGCTGGAAGGCTCTCTCCTCTTTGCCGTTTAAAGGAACGCTAGTTGAGATGTGTTGAGACTGGAATGAGGGGGCTGACATTTGTCGAATGTTAATTATTGTGCTGGGTGCTGTCCACACATTATCTCACATTTCTGAGATCTGTGTTGCCTTCATTGTTTTTACAGATGTTGACACAGATGGCCAGAGAGAGGATCGTTTGCCCCAGATCACACGGTCAGGGGCCGACGTCGTTTCCTTCACGCAGTCTCTCTGACTGCACAGGTGCCCCCCACAGTACTGGGGCATTACGGAGGGACTCAGGTCTGTCAGGGCAGATACGTCGTGCTGCCCTATTGAGCTCTGGGGAGAAAGGCGCTTTGTCGCCAGGAGGTAGTTGATGGCAACACCCTGGGGTGGCCCGCGGGCACTCACCATGTTGTTCCACAGTGCGATGGCCATCTCGGCGTGGCCACGTTCCGAGAAGTGTAAACAGTCTTCAGAGAAGAAGGTGAGGTCAGCTCCTCCTCTCTGTGACCAAAGGCAGGGGATTACCTTCCTGGGACAAGGGCACTGCGGCCTGCCCCCGCCCCCCACCTTGCAGGCACCCTGGGCATCTCTCCTTCCAATCTTGCTGGCAGCTGGCTCGGATACTGTTGGAGAAATTCCCCAGTTTTCAGATTTTTATTTTTAAATAGACATGAATCATAGCTACCCACAGTCCATCCTTTTCCTTCAGCATCTCTGACCTCATGGTAGAAAAAGAATAATATTTTTAGGAGGATCCATATTCTATCCTAATCTAGCAAAGAGCAGAGCCATGCCTCAGAATCTTGGTCAAACGTTGGTTTTCTCCTTTTCTTTACTAGTGCAGTTAGGTCGCAATCATACTCCAAAAATGCATGCAGGAGAAGCAAAAAAAAAAACCACCCCACACAGAGGAGAAAATTCATCACCTAAGATACAGCTTCTACACACACATCCCAGACCCGCCCACCACTGACCTCGTTCAGGGGGACGAGGGTGTTTTGGAGGAAAGGCTGCACGACCACCGTGAAGTCCTCACGCTGCCGGTACTGGTGCCAGTAGGAGAACCAGGAGATGCCACTCTGTGGGTGGGGGGAGAGGCTGCTGACCCTCCTGGCAAGGACGGGCAGGCTGTAGTCCTGCTGCCTGGGGTCAGTCCTGATGGGGGCCCACCCGCCAGACAAAGCTGACTTAAAGGTGCCTGCAGGAGTAGCGTCCGATTCCACTCTGATGTCTCCACAGGGCTGGGTCTCAGCTGCTGAACGGCCTGCTTGGGCCAAAGGCCTCCCAGTTCTCATGGCACAAAGGAGACTTAGGACACGGGCCCCGGTTCAGGTCCTGCTCAAGTGGGGCACACTTCCATGCCAGCTCTTCCAAAGGTACATGAGCTTAAGGGGATGGGTGTCCACTGTGTTTGGATTTAGGTGCCAAAGTGTGGGCTCTAAAAGAGATAGACCATGTGTGCTTATTCTTAAGGAGCTTATAATCCATTTGGAAAAGTGAGACAAGATGTGGAGCTTATAATCCATTTGGAAAAGTGAGACAAGATGTAAGAAAACCCCGTGAGAACAAAGTAGGGTCAGTGGAATGGCAGGCTGATGCTCAGAGGTGTGTGTGGGGGAAGTCGGTCAGGGATGTGCCAGGAAGAAGAAAGAAGATCCACCCCGTGTGCAGGATGGGTCAGCAGCAGGAAGGCTCAGAGTGGGCATGTCAGGGAGGGGACAGCGAGTGGGTGGGACTAAGGAGGGAGAGCGATCAAGGGGTGGTGAATGCCACCTTCCCTGCCTGGGTGGGGGTGGAGGCCGTCACAGGACAGGCGCCCAGGCAGCGGAGCAGAGTGCTGCCCACCTGCTCAGGGCTGACCCGTGGCTGGAGGGGGAGTTCGCTGCTGAGATTTCTCACGCCCTTCCCTTCCCCGGCCTTGGTGTTCAAGTCACCTGCACACATAGTCCCAAGACTGTGATCTGCCTTAGGGAGCAGCCTGGCTCTCAGGAAAGCCCTGCTGGACACAAGACTTTGGAACCCTTGTTCTGGAGCAAACCGTGCCTCCTATCTGGGGCAGGAAGAGAGGGGGTGCAGGTTACCTGAAAGTTCCAGTTCACTTGCTTCAATTCTTGCATCTCCAACATGTTCTCCTGGGAGCGTCTGAAGCAAGTGCAATTGCTCCTGTAAGACAAGGAGTCTTATGGAGAAGCTCCTGGGAGCAGCCTGGCTCTGGGCCTCAGAGAGGCTGACTGCCTGCCCCCCCCACACACACATACACGCAAAGGAGGCTGCTACGCACAGGGGCCTGGACCCTGCACTGCCTCACAGGGGCAGGTGTGACACCAGTGCCCCCACAATACAGCCTCGCTCCCTCGTGGGCCCAGGTCACAGAACTCAGCAGGTACTTGTGGAGAGAGAAGGTGGAAGAGTTGGCACCTGATGCCTGGGCCTCCACGTGGACAGACTGCCCACTCCCCATGCCACCTGACTGTGCCATCCCAAGCTTGTGGCTTCAGGGGCTTCTCCAGGGAAGGGCCAGGTGGGGCTGGAGTTTGGGGAAGACTGCACGGCACCCAGTCTTTCTTCATGTTCCTGATGCCTCCCTTTTCCACCTCTGGCTGCCTGGGACTCTCCGTCAGGGCTCCAGAGCAGGGAGACTCCTGAGACACTAGGACAGGTCAGTGCCCTGGGGCACCTGGCCGAGGCAGAATGTAAGGGCGGTGGAGGCTGGAGGAGCCTGTCATACCCCCAGGCACTGGCTGCTCCACCGGGGGCCTAGCTTCCTGGCAAGAACAGAAACTAGCTCGTCACCTTCCCAGCAAATCCATCTGACCCCAGGTAGGACCTTTTGACCCCCTACAGAATCTCCTCCCCCGATGGCAAAACTCTGGGAATCCTCTGGCCTCAGAGGCTGGCAACTTCCTCCCAGGGTGCAGCTGAGCTTTAAAGAAATTCTAGCTCCCAGCAAAAGTCTCGTCTTATGCTGGTTTGCAAGGGCAGTTGCGTCAAGGACATTATAAAACCCACGCTTTCCTGAGATCCCGCCCCCCAAGGACCAAGGACTTTACATGTGTTTCCTCTAGACCTCCCGACTACTTTACAAGGAAATTTTACAGGTGAGGAGTAAAAGGGCCAGAGAGAGTTAGGTGGTTTGGGTGCAGTCGCAGAGTCCACCGAGCCCAGGTCCAAGGCCAGACACAGTGGTTGTGAGCCCTCTGCTGCCGCTCAAACATGGGCCAACCCACTGGAGTTGGAGTTTGGGATCGTGGACAGTGTCAGGAGGATTCTTTGGTTGGCCTGCCTGACTTTACAGAAAAGCAAACAGGGGTCCTGAGAAGTGAAGTGACCTGTATACAGGAGGCATTCCACAATGTATAGGCATGTCCAAAAGATTTTGCCAGTTCCTGGCTAGTTGTCTTCCAGACAGAACTGTCTGCTCTGCCTGTAACGGTCTCACCACTGGCATTTGTGAGCCAAAGCCTCCCCAGACGCCCTCACCCTGGGACTGTGGCCGTGTACTCACTGAGCTGCCAATGGCGTGTCGCATTTCCCGTCCTGGCCCTGGTCCAGGCCAGCCAGCTCCATGACCTGCACCACATTGACGAAAGCTCTGGGAAGCTGTGGGGAGCAGAGGGGTGGGGTTTGTGAGTCCCTAGGCAGTTGCGGGGAGTCAGGGCACTGACTACTGCTGGCATGAGGCCAAGGGATCACCTGTAAGCCAACTTCCCCCTCCCCAATTTTACCAATTAAAAAATTGAGACCCAGAGAGGGAACATGACTTGTATTATCCTCACTGAATCTCCTTTATCGGCCCCACTTTCTACATGGAGAAAGCAAGGCACAGAGAAGTCAGTTGCCCCAAGTCACATTGCTGGTAAGACCCAGCACCTGGCTGCAACCAAGGCCAGCTGGCTCCAGAGGAAAGCTCCTTGCTACCAGCAATACAGTCTGACTGAGTTAGAATTTCCCCGCAGAGGAGTTGGCTCCTCCCCGGTCCCGCTGCCCGCTCACAGTGGGGCCCTGCTCAGTGTGCAGCTCACAGAACACAGCTTGCCCAGATGCATCCTGGGAGCAGCCCCAGTGAGCAAGAAGACAAGCAGGTTACTGGCAGGAACTTGGACCTGGGCGTGTGCCATTGCTCCTTCCTACCTCGTAGAGGATGTCCAGGGCCTGCTGGATGTGCCGAACGTACTCCCCGGCCGAGTAGGCCTCCTGTGAAGAAAGAAGGGGTTCGCCTCAGCCCCTGGGTTTTACTCAGGGGAGGGGGAGAGTGACCTGATGCCAAGTAGAGGGCTGGGGTGGTGGCAGAGTGGGTGCAGGGGAGCTTTGATGGCACTGGATGGGCTGGGAAGCCCAGCCCTCGCTGCTGGTGGACAGAATCTCTTGGAAGAAATCATCCCCAGACCCCAGACCACAAACCATCCCCACCTCACCCCGCTTTTGGAACCTCAGACCCTAGTGGTGCTGGGCCCTGCCCCTTCTTCAGTCCCACCCGTCACCAGGCTCAAGTGTCTCCAGTCAGGACGGTGCCCCTGATGGCCATGCTCTCTTTCTTCCAGGTGCTGGCCATGCTGGTCCCACTGCCTCCCCCTAGCTCCTTCTGTCCCTGGTGACTCAGCTCAGGGGGTCTCCTCCCCGGCCCATCTGCTGACCGGAGGCTGACTTTACCGCTTCCTAGTTAGTCCTGTGGGGCGGTGGTCAGGCCCTTTGCACAAAGATGTTCTCTGGGGTGTGAACCTGTTTACACAAGGGACAGGTACTCTGAAGCTTGGACAGGTACCAAGTGTCCACAGGTGGCTCTGGGGTGGCTTCTGGCTTCCTGGACCCCGTTGGAGTCCAAGCTGCAATGGCATGGGGATCCCCTTGGGGTTGTGTCACTTTTGCCCCCAGAGCCTGTGCTGCAAGGCAGCCCGCAGAGGAGAAGAAATCCTCATCAAGCCTCCGCGGCTGTCCCTCTGCGCCACCAGGAGCGATAAGGGCCTTCTCCCCCACCTTTGACTGTCAAACATTTTACTACGATCTCTGAGTAATGGCAGTGATCTTTTTCTGGCCACATAAAATACAGGACATGCTCAACTTAGAACAAGATGTATTCTAAAAGTCACAGCTTCCCAAGGTTCATTAAGTCTGGACGTTTCCCCACAGAAAAGTTAGGAAGAGGGTTGGGTTCCCAGGCCGGTCATCTGAGGCTGGTCATCTCGTGACATCCCTGAAGTGTGACAAGCCCTCCATGGGGACCAACTCAGTTTTATCCAACCCCTAGGGTGTCGTTTCAGCTCCCCTCCCCACAAAAAGACACCAACATGCAGGGCAGAGACTGCAAGCAGGTGTGGGGTGGACCTCGCTAGTTACGCACTGGACACCAGAAAACAGTATGTGCGTGCACTAGAGCACGCATCAGCAGTGCCCCCATCAGCAGTGCCTGAAGTGTGGGTGCTCTAGACACTTCTGGAGTCAGAAAACCAGTGAAGCTGGTCTCTGAGGGGCCTCTCAGCAGCAGGAAAGGCCAGGCCTCCCGGAGCATGTGTGAGCCAGGGCAGACAGGTGCCGGGGCAAGCAGGTCAGTGCGACTCCCCTGAGGCAGCTCAGGGCCCTGGGCACAGAGAATGCCACTGGTCAGCCACTTCCGCCTCAGGTCCTAAAGGGGGCCTGTCGGGGCCTGTCAGGGCCTACCGGGTTCTCGCAGTAATGACACAAGTCGTTGCCCCCAATGAAGAGTGTGATCAGCTTCCAGTCTTCCTCCAGGTTGATTTCCTGAGGGGACAGAAGATCCTAGGTTTAGGGCTTGGTGGGGGCACATTCAGGGGGTATTTCCCAGGCCAGACAGCCTCCCACGTATCTCTCACTCTGTCTGTATCACAGTGGAGAGAAGATGCTGAGTGGAGCGTCCCTAACCGTGACCTTGGTGCTGCACAGGAGTTCCTCAAAGTGTGTGTGCGTGTGTGCCTTTGTGTGTGCATGTGGGTGCGTCTGCTCACAGAGTGCAGGGGACTGTTCTCCCTTTGAAATCCTCTTCAGAGAGCTGAAGTCCCCTGTGAAGAGGAGTGGATGAACCCACCCCTGAAAACATGCTCTAAAGGCCTTCCAAGGGGCCAAGGGCAAAAGACGCAGCTAGAAGCAGACACCTAGCGCTCCCTCCTGGGAGAGTTCTTCAGGTGTGGGAGAGGGGAAGGGACAGGAGGGGGAGCCCTGTGTGGACAGAGAGGTGGGGTGGAGGCTGGGAGGCCCTTCAGGAGCCTGCTTTCCCCTCAGCCACCACCATAATAGGAGTCCTGCCAGGAGCTGAATTCCAAGGCATAAACACAGAGCATTAAAAAAAACTTACTGGTGAGAAGGTTGAGAGGGGCCAGGGGAAGCGGGAAGCAGGGAGGACTGGAATGAGAAGCCTATTTTTAGAAGCCAGCATTTACATAATAGGGCTCTGTGAAGCTGACTCTGGGTGAAGTGGGAAGCTGCCAGAGGCCAAGGCCATTGGTCTCCAACTCTGCTCTATCTCTCCCTTCTGCTGCCAGCCTTAGGGGTCGGGGTGCCAGAGTCAGGGGGTGCAGCAAAGAGGGTGCCTTTGTGGTAAGGCCTGCTTCTTGTGGCTCATTTGGCCCCTCTTTTAGGCAAACCTGGAGTAGGAGCTGCAGTGGGGCTTCGGGGCTCTTTCAGAACTGCTGTACCCGCCCGCACTGGAGACCTGGTGACTTTCAGGGGGCTCAGGGGGCTCGTACTCACAGAGCTGTTCTTCATTCGCTCCACCAGGTCCCGGGCCTGGGCTGGCATGTCCCTGGGCAGGAGGAGACAAGGGATGTGAGAGCTGGCTCAGGAGCAAGAGCTCAGGCTGTAGGAGTTTGGCCTGACAAGGATGTGTTTCAGGAGGACTGATGTTAAGTTTATTCCTTCAGAATGTACTGAGAGGCTTGATTCTCAAGAATTCTCCACTGAGTGATAATCAGAGATCTGCGTGGACCTCCAAGCCCTACGGCCCAGCCCCTGCCCAGGGCTAATCTGCATGCCTGATCTCTGCAGGCCCGCCCTCTGGGGCCACTCGAGGCAGCCTCTGCTCAACCTCACCATCAGGGTTGCTCCCCTTTAGTTCATCCCGCTCTTTCATTGGACACTGAATCTGTTCACTTCTTATCTGGCTGCCTGTTTTAAAAATAACCTTTTGTGTATTTGAAAAAAGTCATAGCCCTAAATTATCCCTCGACTCCTTTAATCTTTACTTCTGAGTCCCGCTCTCCGTGCCTTTAATCCTTTTGTTTTTCTTCTCTGTAATTGTTTTGGATTTCTAAACCATTCTGTCTCTTCACTTTTACCCCTCCCGACAAAACAGGATGGGGGAGACACCACTGGGCAGGGTAAGTTCTCCCTTCATCTCCTGGGTCTGCCACGAAGAGGGAAATGGATGCTTCTGGTTGGGAGTCTCTACGTCAGTGGGTACCACTCAGCAATAGACAGACCACTGATAAATACAACAGGGACGCACCTGCACAGAAACTTGCTGGATTAAAGAGGTTAGACGAGAATACGTAGTCTACAACTTCATTTACATAAAACTTTAGAAAATTAAGACTAATCTCTAGTGACAGAAAGCAGGTCAGTGGGGTAGGATAGGGACTGAAAGGGGCAAGAGGGAGAGATTACAAAGGGGCACAAAGAAACTTTGGGGGGTGATGGGTGTGTTTATCACCTTGATTGCTGATGGTTTCACAAGGATGTGCATATATAAAACTTACCAGATTGTAGACTTTTAAAGACAGTATATGGCATGTGTATGAGAAGTATGTCAGCAAAGAGATACAGCCAATAAGCAGGGGTGTCAAACTCATTTTCACCGGGGGCCACATCAGCCTTGAGGTTGCCTTCAAAGGGCCGAATGTGACTTTAGGACTGTGCGACTGTAACTACTCCTTAACAGTTAAGCCAGAGCTCGGCGCTGCTGCCGGGTAGAAACAAGGTGCCGGGTCAGATAAAACAAGGTAGAGGGCTGGATTTGGCCCGCGGGCCTTGTGTTTGGCACCTGTGCACTAGAGCTTCTTTAGAAGGAGTCACAGAAGCAGTTGCTGGCACAGGATGGCCAGTTAAAATTTCTGCGTGCCCACGATGAGCCAAGCGCGTGGCCAAGCACACCAGGCACGCTCCCTGCCTTTGTTTCTCATTTACTCACCCAGGATCACACCCCTGCACTATTGCTATTGCCGGGTAACATTAGAAAGCTATAAAGCAAGCTTGCCCTGGTTAAAGGTAACCTATAACCTTTCAATGAGTTTAAGGTGTGCCTAGAGGGAATTCATGGTGGGGGGGGGGTGGGGATAAGCCCACAAGAGCACTAGGGGGGAAGGCGGGAATGTGAACTTCCCCCTCTCTTCCCAGCCAGGTTCTTCAGGCTCAAGAGCAAGCCTCGCCCTGCCCCCCCCCCCCAGCCTTCTCTCTGAGCTCCTTTATCCACACCTCCTTCGTTTCCTTTTCTGTCCCTGTGCAAAGAGGCCTGCTCTTGGAGCTCTCCTTTCAGCTCTGCTACTGACTGGCTCTGTGAGTTCACCCACGTTACCCAGACCAGCCAGGGCTGAATTTTCCTCTCCTTTGAAAAGACGGGGTTGGACAGGATGACTTCTGGGCTCCCTCTGGGTCTGCCTCTCTATTTGGAGTGCCTAGTCCTCAGGCTACGCTTCTCCGTTCTCTTGGGTGTGCTCCCAAGTGCAAAATCATTTCAGTCCGCAATGGTGCCACACGCAACAGCTTTCCCCCCAGTTTCTCATTTAGCCTCCTTAACTAGACAGCAAGCTCTCCGTAGGGAGAACGTTCACCCTTTGACTGTTTTGCATCTTTTAGTAACCACCTCGGGGCTCAGCCCCTGGCAGGTGTCCAATGAATTCTTGCTTATTGATCGATTGAAAGGAGGTTAGGTGTTTAATAAAACCTTGAAACTAAATACCCTAATAATGGCAAACTTTTTTCGGCATACATATTGTATAGTGTAGTGAGTGCTTCCCATGGATGACTGTCTTGCTTAATCCTCACTACAACCCTGCGAAGTGGGTACTACTACTATCCCTATTAATAGATGATGAAACTAAGACTCAGAGAGGCTAAGTGACTTACCCAAAGTCACACAGCTAGCAAGTCTGAGAGCAGACAGCTGGACACACACTTGGTCTGACCCCAGGTCCTATTATCTTAGTTGTTCAGCTGTGGTATTTACCTTTCTATTTAGGTGAGCTTATCGTTAACTACACCAAACAAAACACAGAGCACGGCTACAGGAGAGAGAGAGCAGTGCTCCATCCTTGCTCACTTAACTCAGTGGCCTACTCTCCTTTCCCCGAACCTGGGACAGCAGAGAATCTGTGTGTCTGGGCTACTTCCCCTGCCGTTGGCTTGCACTGGTGGAGGCACTGAGCGGCAGGAAAGCAGAAAAGGCAGCGAGAGGAGTGAAGTGAGGAAGGGGCTTAAATGTCCACAGACGGAGGAATCACCTCCTGGTTAATGCAGCCGGGGCTGTGGAATAATAATGATGATGACAATGATAGCAATAATTGCAATAGTCATAGCAGCATTTAGATGTCGACATTATGACCCCATGAAGCCCAGTTTTTCGCAGAAAAAGAAGTTCTTCCTGCTTATGACGTTGAGGAACTGACATCGCTTCCTGTGGCTCAGAGACCCATCAGAGCGTGGGGCCCGGACAGGGTCTGAGCAGAGCACTCCCTGTAAATGCACCGAGCGGAGACAATGCCGTTTCCTTGGTGATCTGAGTGTGGACCGCTGCCACAAAGCACATAACCAGCGCGGCCTGTGCAGGAAGTCAGTGAACTCTGCAGGGCATTTCGGCTGCAATTATCTGGGTTGTTGTCAACAACAGAAATCTGAGTGAGAACAAACAACTACCATGCTGTTCCAGGGGCCTGAACAGCTGACTCCCTAATGCCAAAGTAACAGCTCTTTCAGAATTGAGCACTGGAGGTTCCGAGCCAAAGGGGCAGAGAGGAAGAGTGGCTGCCCACAGGGCCACGCACTAAGTTCCCAAGTTTCTGAGAGGTTCAGGAGGTCAGCAGGACAGCACCCAGGGGATGGGGGAGTGGAGTGGGGTGGGGCAGTGTGCTTCCTCCTGCCCCCACGCACCGCCAGAGGCAGTAAGAGCATAGTGGGGCGGAGCAGCCTGGTCGGATCCTGGCATCTCTGATGACTTTTCCCGATAAGCTTGGACCATTCAGGAAACTTTCTAAGCCCTGATGTCCTGAAGGGTGTGAGGATTACATGAGACCATCCACATGTGGGGCCAGCCCAGAGCCAGGCTCACGGAGGAGCTCCATGTGTGGCAGTGATTATTGCTCCCCTGGGCCCGGGCCTGGGCCCCAGATGCCTTCCTACCTGCCTTTCCATGTCCCCCCCAGTCTCCCAGCCTGCCCTCCGCTCTCTCTCCTGTGCCCACGTACACTCACCGAGCTCTGGCCCCTTCCATAGCCACATTCAGTCCCGCCGTCTCCTCTTGTGTACCGGTGGAGAACCCGAATATTTGAGGATTGAACTTCTTCAGAATATCTTTTAAAGAGGGAGAAAGCAGACAGCACAGGTGAGTGGGGGATGGACATGCAGTATTGGGGTACAGGTAGGGAGCAGGGCAGTTTTGGGTCTTTTCGGGGCTGGCTGACTTCCCTCCTTGCAGATAACCTTCTCTGCTGTTTCTTGGAGGGAAGGCCCTGGCTTCCACGGGGGGCTGTTGTGGCCACAGTGATGGTGCTTCTTCGTGGGGCTACTTACTGGGCAGTGTGGTGTGGGTCTCCAAGGCCTCGTCCCCTCCAACGCTGGGGAAGAGAAACACATCTATTCAAATCCCTGACCTGCTGCTCCACAGGTCCTCATATTGCCGAGTCAGAACCAGAGAGTCCGCCCTGGTGGGGGATGCCCATCACCCTTGGGACTAACGTGAGCACTTGGGCCTCTCCTGGCATCTCGGAGCTGAGCCTGGCCCCGTCTCTGGAGGGCTGATAGGGACACACCCCTCACACCCCTTTGGGGCAGTGTTACCCATAGAAAATAGTGGAGAAATCCTCACCTCCAGGACAGCCCCCGCCAGGACACGAGCAGGTCACTGGAGTTGCTGGGGCGGGCTCCCACTGCCGTCTGTGAAAGGTGAAGAGCAAGCAGCCTGCAGACCTGGGAGGGGCCCCTGGGCCCCCTGCAACTGCCGGGACCTGGACTTACCTTTTCTGAAGACAGTACCAGCTTCCTTCTAGGACACTTAGTCTCTGACTTGTCCTGACCCCCAGTCAACTATGTGCAACCAGTACCCAAGTGCTACGAGAAGCGGGCTTCCTCCTTCCCAGCCTCTCCAGATCCCATCTTCTTCTTTTTGTTCCCTTTGCCACATTCTGGGGTGAGACTGCCGTCTTCTTGCCATGGACCACCCTCCGACCTCCTACCTGACCCCACAGTCCCCCAGCATCCGTTCCTTTCCCACCAGGCTGTCTGTCCGTCTGCTCCTCTGATCACCCCACTCCGCCACACTTCCCCTGATGCTGACCTTTCAGCGGGGCTCCCTCACCCACAGGGCCAAAGCCAAAGCCCTTCACCAACTTCCTGAGTTCACCATAACCCGGTTTCCACCTTCCTTCCCTCGTTCACTCACTCCTTTCCTGTCCACACAAACCTCCGGGTCTCAGCGAACCAATCTGAAGGCTGAGGGCCTTGGACCAGCCTGCCCCATGCCACCCACTCTGTCCCTCCCAGGCGTGCTGGGTTCCCCCCGTCTGGCTGGAAATGTCTAATTCATTCTCGAATGCCTTTGTTGGGTTCTAGCTCCCCTACAAAGCTTTCTTTCAATGCTCTACCTTAAAAAAACAAATTCTTCTTTGAAACTTATAAAAATAATACCTGTGCACCATAGCTAGAGAAATGATTCAGTAATCTTGCCCCATCCCCACCTCACCCCTAACCCACACATACACACCATTGAAGCTGATCAGTGGTGATGAGCCTGGGGTGGGTGTGGGTGTGGGTGTGTGTGTGTACATATCCTTTTATGGCTTTCTCCATGTTCATACCAAAATTAAAACGCATTCACACATCTACGGGGAAGTTGGTTGTTTCTGCAGAAATGAGTACCTGGTTTTCAAAGTCCTGTGTGTTATCTACGTTATTATGTACCTTTTTCTGTATAAGCCTCTCGTTTTCCCAGCTGAACAAACTTCTTCAGGGTCACGACTGTGTCTCCTACTTCTTTCCCCTCAGAACTGCTGGCAGAGGGTCTTGCACGCAGCAGTAGCTACGTAGTTGGCTAATATGATTCATTTAGTGAAATTGTGAGTTCTGAGTGCTCCCTCTGTGAATTGGGCTCCCTCTGCCCCAAAGAACACATCTTTGAGTGGGGTGAGGGGTGCTGGGCAATGTGTTGTAGGACCCCCCATTCTGTGAGTCCGGTGGATGGAAATGAGTTTCCTGTAAAGGCAGGCGGACTTGGGTGAGTACCACAGCACACAGAGGCAATGCTCGGGGACAGAGGGGATAGTGGGGAGGCAGCTTCTACCCAGGGGTGGAGGTGGTGCTTGAGCTGGACTGTGGAAGGGTGGAGAGTGGGGCATTCTGCATTGCCTGGGGATGTCTTGTGGCTGTATGGCTGTGGCTCAGTGCCTGACCCAGGTGGGCCCTCTTTCATGTCAGCTAAGTGCAGAGCCGGCTCTGAGGAAGAGCGGATTGTGCATGGGGCTCGGCTGGTGCCCATGCTGGGCACCGTTCAGCACTCACCGTCAGCGCATCACCCAGGGCGGCCACCACTTTGATGTCTGCAGGTCGGAGCTTGTGGACTAGGATAGACAGGCAACAAGATGGATGGTCAGGGGGCAGTCTTTTACACCATAAACTTGACCAGAAGTCTGAGATCCTGCTGTAGTCCTGCAGGTTCCTATTACACTTATTTCCAGCTGGGGGCGTTAGCAGCGCTGACTCCTGCATCCATCTAGAGCAACCCAGGCACCGAAGGTAATGGCATGGATGGATATCGTCCATCCTGAGAGAGCCCATTCACAATGGAGTGGTCCATAAAGTTCTGGTTGTGGGCATCGTGGGCACAGGCAGAGAGGACCCCCAGTCCCTGACTGTCCCCTCCTCACTGGACGGAGGCCTGAGGGCCGCCAATGGGACTAAGTGGACATGAGAAGTGGGATTTGTGGAGAGGCCTGGGGGCCCAGCAAGGGTTGCAGGCCAGCTGGTCGTGGGCTGCACTGCCCAGGAGTCAGCAAGGCCTGCTCACGGCTCCAAGGCATGTTCGTAGGGTCCCCCACCACCTGCACATTCATCGAGGCCTCTAAGTGAAGTGGGGAATGACGTCTTCACTCACCCGAGGCGGGAACACTGCTGGAAGGGCTCCATCCCGTACACAGGAAGTCACTGCCCCAGTTCTAAATCAACAGGAAGAAAGATACAACGCCCAACACCCATTGTGCAGGGAAGTTAGCTTCAGCCCAAGAATTAGCTAAGAAATTACTCATAGAAGCTAGAACTACATTATTGTGGGGGAATCCTGTGAGGGTAAGACCCCTTGGTGGTAGATGGACTGTGAGGGATGTGAGAGAGGAGAAAATGAGTGTCTGCCTCTCCCTATGCACAAAGCACACCATGGTGGGCACACACGTGCACACACACACAGCATTTTCCATCTCCACTACCTACACTCTTACATGGAGCTGCAGTCCTACACCAAAGCAGGGGAGAAACAGTGCAGTGGTGTCCCAGGGGACCACAGACTCAGATGCCTGATAAGAGACCACAGGTAGATTGGGATTGTTGTTGAACAGGAAGCTAATGGACATTGATCGCCATGCTAGGGCTGAAACAATAATTAGAACATTTTTAGGAAAAGAACACGAAATATTTATAATTGCAAAGTTCCTGGTTTCTGTGTAATGTGTATATCTGTACATGTGTATATCTTTTTGGACGTTTAACTTCATAGCCAACCAATTCTTTGTATGTGTAAAAATTAATGTCTGTAACCTGGATACCTTTAGTCAAATTTCTTGGTAGCTAAAATACAGAGCAACTTTTCCAGGTGCTGGAGGAAGGGATGGGGTGAGAAGCAGAGGGCATAGAAACGGCCAACGCCGGCAAGCTGGGGGAGGAATCACATCTCTTCCCCAGAGCCCCACACACCCACACGTCCCCGAGATGGCTGGAGAGACAAGCCCAGGGACGCATACACGGTAGAGCTCCACGGGCGGGGCTCACTGGTTGGCCGATTCTCTGCCGAGGCTTTGGAAGCTCATCTCTTCCGTTTTAGTCAGATGATGATGAACACAAGCCTTGTTACAACACTCCTCTTATGAGGGAGCAAAAATGAAACTTCTTTTAAATAGCATGTGCTTAATTTGATATAATTTAGTTTATTCCAAGGAACTGCTCAATTCATCACACCAATGGATTCCTTCTACTGTGTGGATGTTCTACTGAAGTCAAGGATGTGCTGTGTGCCAATGACGAATGTCAGAAAAAAATTCCATTAAAAAAAAGTTTTATAGCTATGAGTACTTTAGAACTATCTCAGCTGGCTGGTGAGCCAGGGCCAACCAGGCGCTGTGCAGATCAACAGATGCAGGTGGGAATGTGGGCGTGCCTCTGTCACAGGGGAGAGCCACGCACTGCAGTTGCCCAAACACCCTGGGTGTCCTGTTAAAGGCAGACTCTGATTCAGTAGGACTGGGGTGGTGCCCAGGACTCTGCATTTCTAACCAGTTTCCAGGTAATGTTGATGTCATCTGTCTGTGGCTAAAACAGCAAGGTATTAAACACACACACGCACACACACACACACACATATTCTAGGCCTGGGTTTCTAGCTCTTGTAGTAGCAGAAGCGAAGGCACACAGACTATTAGATCCAAGAGGGCAGGCCCAGGCCCACTTGGCTCACCTTATGTACTCAGCACTTAGCACAGTGCCTGCTTCATTCAGGCATCCAATAAATAAATGTTAAATAATGAAATACCTGATGGACAAGATGCCCCTGACATTTCAATTATAATGTGCTTTGGTCCCTAGTTGGCCTGGGTCAAGGCTCCGTTGGGCTAATGTGAGCCTGAAAGAATGCAGAGAGGCTGGGTGTTTGGCATTACCCCGGCCATGAAGCTGTCATGGCCGGGACCCCAGAACTTAGAATCCAATGGTTCTTCAATACTTTTCTCTAAGTCAGTCTCAGTGCGTCAGCTGACTTACAGAAGGCCCTTCCTCAGCCGGTGCTCCTGCTCCCCAGTCCACTCTCCACACTAGTCAGGGACACCTTTTCAAAGGTGAACCAGAATACGTCACCCTCTCTGGGACCCTCCAGTGGCTCCCCACATCTCTCCACCGAGAGTCCAACCTTCCTCCTTAGGGATTCAGACTGTGGATGACCCGGCCCCTGAAAACTCCTCTGATCTCACCCCCCCCCACTCTCACCTAATTCACATGCCCACAGCCACTCTGATCTTCCTTCTCCTCCTCGAACACTCCCAACTCAGCCCCATTTCTGAACCTTTGTGTTCCCTGGTCCTGCCTGGGACTCTGGCTCTCCAGATAGCCGGTGTCTTTTCATCCCGCATGTCCCAGCTCAGATCCTTTCTCCTCGGAGAGGCCTGGCCTGCCCGACTCATCAGAACTCGCCACCCCTCCCTTACCCTGCCGTGCTTCTCTCCTGAGTGGCCATCACTTCCTGAAGTGATTGTGTTTGGCTATTATTGAGTGACTCTTTTAACAATATAGACTGTAAGCCCCATGAGAGATAAGACCCATCTGTCTGTTCTTCTGCACTATCTCCCTGAAAGTGCCTGACACACAGTAGGTGCTCACTATGGAAATGACCTCTACGTAACTCCCCCAGGTCAGGATCATGTCTGATAGATACATCCCTAAAGTCCCTCCAACCTCTAACACAAGACTGGATATACCATAGATGCTCCACTGAAACTGTGGTTGAGCTCCTGTCCTGGTGGCTGACAGACCTGACCTGGACCAGCCCTGTCCTGCAAGGCCTGGTGTGGTCCAGGACCCTCCAGGCCATCTTCAGAGTAGTAGTCCTTACAGCCCTGTCTCCTCTGGGGTTCCTCAGAGCCAGTATGATTGACTTGAACCAAGCCAGCCTTGGAGACCCACCGAGGAGGGTCCCCTGGACATGCATCAGCTCTCCACCAGGCCCGCCCTCTGGAGTGAAGGTACTTTCCACTCAGCCTCCGCCTTTCCGCAAGTCCACGGCACATCACACCCACTGCCTCCCTGTCATCCTTTCTTGGAAGGCAGAGTTGCCTAATCAGAGATGATGTTTGTACACAGGTCAAAGAAAATGGGTCCAGGGCCACTTCTACCTGTTGATTGCTGATGAGAACATGCTAGGACAGTCCCGGAACTTTGTGGTTCAGAACATTTTTTTTAACATTCCAATTTCCAGTTTGTAAGAAGGGTGAATTTCTGCTTAAGCTAATCCTCTGAAACCTGCCTCACTTTCTGAGTCACCATTGTTTGTCCCCGAGAGAGGCAGATGTGAGTCTGGAGTTACCTCAATGGTTGGCTTGGTGGGATAAGTATAGTTACTGTTCCGGAGCGTTCGCAGGAAAGGCTCGTTCTAAGAGAGAACAGAAACCATGGAGGGAGGTTGGTTATCTGACCATACCAAAGGTTGCTTAGGAAAAATAAGAACTAATAATCCTGCCTTCTAGATTTATTTAACATGATTTTTCTGCACTCAAATAAGAAGAGCTGTATGAACATAATTTTGTTCATTCCCTAGAGGGTTTTGCACATCAGCTTTGGCAAGGGATACATAATGAAGGGCCTGAAAAGGGTTCCATGTATGTTTTATTTGGGGTTCTATGCTTCCATTTCCACCCCAGCACCTGAACATCCCCCTGGTCATCGCAATGATCTGTTTTCTCTCCTTTGTAATTTCTTTGGCAAGAGCTTCATATTAGAGCGTTATGATTATCAATTTATTTTTAATATCTGCTCCCCTCCTCTTTTGAACTGTGTCTTACCCCCTTTGGGTTGCTGTCCCACACACCATACAGTCTGCCCCTGCCTTTTCTCATGGACATTCTCTCTTCATTCCCTGCTTGTCTATTTAGTTCACGACTGGTTCTCACCCAAGCCCAGTCAAGAATCCAAGTCTATTTAGTTTCAGGCGATTGGTTCATCAAGAAGGATGAATGGAAGTGAAGGAGAAATGGGAAAAGCAAGGGAATGAGAACAAGTAGACACGATGGAGAAGCAAGGGCCAGGGAACAGGACTGAGATCAGGAAGCACCAGAAGGCCCAGGGCTGTCAGCTCTTTCACAGGGTGTGCAGAGTGGGGTAGAAGGGCCATGGTCTGCAGTTTGGGAATAAGGAGAGAGAACCAGAATATTGGAGATCAGTTCCGGGGGTTGGAAACTGACTGCTCATGGGCTGAGCCCACCCAGGCGATGCTTCGATTTATTCCGCTTTATTTTTTGGCCTGAACGGTGTTAACAGAGGGAGAGGAGTGAGGAGACAGAACCAGAGTGCTCTCAGAAGAAATGTGCGCTCTTCGGTTCTGGCCCTGCCACTTCCTCTTGGCACATGCCCAATCCCATCCATGAGGTCGTGTTCCTGCCTGGCTCAGATGTGAGTTTGCAGCCCCTGAGAGTCCCCATTTTATAGATGAGGAGCAACTGAGGTCCAGCGTGCGGAAGGGACCTGTTCCAGGTAGAGAGCAATTAATGAGGTGAGCACAGGGCCTGGCCTGACTTGACGGGCTTTCCTGACCAGGAACGGCCTGGTTCCGTTCCCCACACTGGTGTCGGGCCCTGTGTGGTCAGAGAGGAAGGGGAAGAGGGACTCAGGAGTCACCTTGGAGGACCAAATCTACACACACAAATCTCCCAGCCCCCAGCCCCCGTCCTCTGGAACACCATGTGTGTCTCACCTTCCTCTTGAGTCTCTGTTCCCAGCTGACACGTGGGCCAGAGGAGTACTCAATGCCAAGGGCAGGAAGTGTGCCCAGGACTGTCTGCAACAGTGCAAGGCAAGAAAGGCCTTACCATGGCATGTCACCACAGCTAACTAGGCTTGTCTCCGGCAGATGTCATTTAACTTCCCCTGAGCATCCACCATCACACGAGGGCAACCTGGGAGTTCCCTACACCGAACTGAGCCGCGGCTGCCAAGCCCCAGTGTGTTCAGAGCACTGTTCTGAGTGCTGGGGTGAGGGGAGGACACGAAGAGGCTTACGACCCAATCAGGCAGAGAAGGCGAGAAGCTAGGAGGTGGCAGCGAAGCATCAAAGAATGCTGTGGCCTTAAGTGCAATGGCTGATGAGGAATGGCCTTCGGTAAGACCTGGGAATATGTGGTCCTCACAGACCAGAATTAGTGGGGGGGTGCACTGCTAATGAATATGCTCCCCCCACTTCAAGGGAGCCTTGCCTGGGCCTAGGGCCTAGGGGCTGGAGCCAGTCCCAGAGTGGCCGGCACAGGAAAAACAAGAGGACAGAGAAGCACCCTGACTTTACAGAAGTGCTGAAAGGCAAACTGGAGAGTCTAACCCACTGCATGACCCAAGGGCTGGGGGAGGGGCCAGAGAGACTGACTGAGTCAAAGGGGTGAGGGATGAGGGAGACACTGGAATTAGGTGGGGGGGGAGGCCAGAGCAGGACTAGTAAGAACAGGTCCAGGCCAGCAGCAGACAGGTGGCCTGGGCTGCCCAGGGCTTGTTTTATGGACCTGCGTGGTGTGTGCATGAGTCAGAGCGGTTTAAAGGCCTGGAGGTGAGCAGACGGCTGGAGGAGGGATTCCATCGCTTGGTCCGACCGGCTCTCTTAGGCTCTGCTTGTAACACCAGTGAGTGAAAGGTGAAGCCCATTAAATTGCGGGACAAGGAAGTCTGTGCAAAGACAGTGTGGCCTTCCCCGGGCGGGGGTGGGGCAGGGCCAGGACAGCCACCTGAGGTGAGTCAGCAACGTGAGCCAGAGGCTTCGGGAAAAGGTCATGTTCACTTGGCTGTGTCACTAGGTTTAAAGTTCCACAGCGAAGGAGTGGTGGTTCTTTTTGTTTTCCGTTCTGTGCTGCTCGGACCAAACCAAAGAGAGTGCACGGGCAGGTCTGGGCACCGCCTAAAGAGGGGCCGTGTTCCAAGGACGCACACCTACCACGTGAGACAGGGTTTGGAAACCCTGTCTGTGACGAATGATGGGGGAAACCCAGGAGAAGACCCGGGGGAGGGTGGTGCGGAGGGTAGGAGGGAGGAGGACGGAACGGGCTGTGCCACTCCAAACGCTGGTGCGTGACTGACCAGGCTGATTTCACAACCTGTTAGTGGTTTGCCACTGGGCAGTTTGAAAGGCACTGCCTTGAGAGTACAGAAGTTTAAGTAGAGGCTATAGTAATGCCTGGGGAGGAATGTGGTAAAATAATCCATTTATTCTATGGGAACTACATCAACAAGACTCCCAGGTCCTCCCTGCTGAGAGTCTAAGGTTATATAATCCTCTTGTTTTATGATGGAAGGTCGGAACAGATAACCTTTAGCATACACGTGCCAAAGACCTGAAGGGGGGAGGGGTGACCTCGGGAGCGGGAGGCAGCGGCGGCCAGAGGGGCTCCGGGAAGAGTCCTAGTGCACAGGGCTCCTGCCCCAGCTTCCGTGGCTGCAGAGAGGTGGGCACCACTGTAACACTGACAGAAACAGGAAGGTCCTGCGGACCAGAGAGTCGGGGAAGGCAGATGTATAGCTCCTATTTTAACACTCCGTACTCAAGCATTACTTTCTGAATGACAGTTCGTTGAGTTGGAGGTGATGGTGAGGCCAGGGCAGGATTGTAGGAGATTCAGAAGTCTAAAGCACTCAAAAGATAATAGTGGTCCCCCGTATGTAATTCGAAATACAAACACCCCAAAACAATACGTATGATGGAATCCAGCACACCTCTGCCTTCTCCAAAATGAAAGACTGTAGTACCACTTGAAAATATTTTGGTTTCTCTCTTTCTCGGCCTCTCTGTCTCTCCCTCTCTCTCTGCATCTTTCTGATTCCCCTGCTTTGTTGATACCTGGGCCATTCCTGTAAGATGCTATCTGGGTAACCTTACACTATGTAGGGCAAAGCAGCTTTTAAGGGTTAGAAGCACAGAGGTGGGGTTTGGGAAAGGAACAAGAAATAATGACACAGGTTGGGGAGTCTCATACAAAGAATTTAAGAGGATCTCTTGGAGATGGACAAATCTCAGGGGGAAGGGACGGGGGACAGAGAAGAGAGAAGAGCGCTGAGACATGACAGCTGGACAGTGTCCACATTTTTTAGGCTGGAAGAAGGAAAGAGGGTTGTTAAAAGAGACAAGAAGGGGCAGCAACTAGGAAAACAGGACAACGAGGTGCTTCTGCACCCAGAAAACTCACAGAGGAGGGAGTTAACTTTGTCAAATGCTTAGAGAGGGCCCGATGAATAAGAGCTTAAAAAGAACTGTGCTGGTCTTTCTGCTGCTTTCCTCAAAGCCCGAGGAGCTGCTGCCAGCTGCCCTGGGCTAGGGAAGCAGTGGGCAGAGAGGTGATGAAGGCAGGAGGGGACGGCAGCCACAGTCCACAGGGTGGCTATTCACAAGCTGGCTATAAAATCATTTGTCCATCCTGGAAATCCACCAGAAATCCATGGAGTGTTGTTAAGAGCCCAACCTGGCCAGGCGGGATGCACTTGCAGTTGACTGGGGTGGGGGAGGAGCAGGGAGGAAGCTGAGAAAGCTCCCAAGTGCTCGCATCCGCTTGGCCCCCTCCTCCCCAGTGGGTCCTGCCTGTTGCGTCTATGTTTAGACACAGCTAGCACTAAAATACGTGCTGCCTGGCCCCTGTCAGCTCACACTGAGATGCCGGTGGACTTTTATATAGCTCTGAGGCACACGGGAGGAAGCAGATGGGACCTGGGGAACACAGAAGGCTACATTGCCTGGTGTGGTGAAATTGGGCTGGCCAACAGATAGAGCCTTTGGGAATGGGCTCTGGGGTTGCCTGGCAACAGCTTCTTCCAGGCTGGGCTTCCAGGAGGCTGGGTTTTCTCTCCTCTGCTCACCAGTGGCTCAGTCAGGCTCTGTCCAGGAGGAGGAGCAGAGCCCACTGTGACCTGACGGTTGGTGGAGCAGCACCCTGTCGGGGCTCCTTGCCTAGCCTGGGGCAGAGAGTGGCACAGGTCACCTCGAGGCCCCTGGTGACGGGCTTTCCCTGACCCAGTGCCTCAGCTCTAACCTGGTACTTAATAATTGTTTGGGGGCAGGGCAGGGAGAGCAATGACAGCTCCCCGGAATGGGTTGTTATTTCTTTTACTATTTAATGGAAGGTTGAATGGGCGGGTTGGAGAGGGTTTTCCATGGCTAATGTTCAGAAGGGACATAGGAGTTGTAAAAATGTTGACACACCTCCAGTATGGTTTACAGCCTCTGCTCCGAGTCCCCAAACGCTCCCACTGCAGAGATGGTCTAGTTCCTCCCCTAGAACTCCTTAGACATGCTTAGGGTATAACAGTTAAACCATTTACTCCTGGCACAGCAGAGTCCTCTAGGCCTGTGCCTCAGCCCTTTGGCCAGCACCTGGCCTTTGGAGTGGAGGCATCCGCGGTGCCCCGGCTGTTCCACCACTGGACTATATCTCCTTTGCTCCATGCACCAGACCCAGCAGCTGAGCCCCCTGCAGTCCAGGCCCTCACTTCCTCAGCCCTTCTTCCCCACCACTCTGGCTCTCCTGACGAGGCTGATGGCACACAGTCTGAGCCTGGGCTGCAGACAGGGGTGGGGAAGGTAGCAGACATGGCGCATGGGGGGCCCGGAAGGGCTAGTGCTCTCTCTGGAGCCCTGGAAGACACGTGGTGGGGGTGGGGGGTGGGGGTGGGCGGCCACTCCCGCTCAGTTGACGCAGCTGACCCTGGAGAGAAACCCAGCCTCCCAGATTGGGTCAGAACCTTCTGCTTTTATTGCCACCGAGGGCTTTTGGGCCTTGGCCTTATTTGGTTAAAAAACCATAAGACAGGTTCTAGAAGAGGGAGCTGAAGGCAGGCAGAACATGAACCTGCCCCCACCCTAGGCCTGAAATCAAGCTGAACAACCACTTACATTTTCCTCCTTAAAAGGAGCTGAGTTCTCACCAAGGCCGCTCAGGCTTGCCCCTCCTCCACACAGTTCCCAGGCTGTCCTCTGTGACCCTGTCCCTGCTGGAAACTCCCGATTCAGGCTCTACCACCACGAACCACAACTTCGGACCTACAGGCTTCTCCCTGGGCCTCCACCTGCAATCTGACTTTCCCACCTGCCCAGGTGGGAAAAGTACCCCCCCTAAGACGAGCCTCCTCCTCATCCTTCTGGCTTTCTGACTCTGCTCAGGAATCCACCTGTCTCACCCTGACCCTCAACCTCTGCTTGGGCCCAGGCCTCCTCTCCCACCTGCTTCTCCCCTTTCTGTTCTCACTGACTTCCTTCCACCCTCCAAAGTCCATCTGCTTCCAGATGAGGGGCAAGATGGGCAAGGAGGAAGCTGCGGGGGAGGCTGCAGGGGGGTAGGGCGAGGTCAGAGCTCTGGGTTCCTGGGGAGGAATAAAGCAGGCCCTGCTTAATTACCTGAGTGGGGCAGGAGAGGGCTACATCTGCTGTCAGGTCCAGGGTATCAGTTTTCTTTCCTAGTGGTTCAAGCTGATTGGGGAAACACAAAGACACAGGTGTACTCATTTGTTTCCATGGACATGAACTTCCCGGGGCAGCATCCTGCCGTGGGAAAGCTCCAAACACCGTTTCAGGGGCCTTGGCCTCCATTCCTGGCTCTGCCAGCTGCCAGATGCCAGCTGTGAGATCTTGGGTGAGTCCCTGAGCCTCTCTAGGACTCAGCTTGCTCATAAACTCACAGCACAGCAGGGCTGTTGGGAAGTTTCCATGAGGTAACGTGGCTTAAGCCGCCTGACACAGAGGCTGCCACATAGGAATTGCTGACTATGTGAAGAGTCTGCCTTGCACTCATGTAGAACCCTCAGCAGGGTTCAAGGCACAGAGGAGAGGGCCTAGCTAACCGTGGGGTCTTAGGGTTGTATTTTCAATTCTACAGGTGTCTACAGATGTGAGAGCCAGCCGGCCACTGCTCGTCTGTACCTTGCTGGCAAAGGGAGGCCGAGAACATTCTGTTCTATGGGAACTGGTGCTTTGCTGTAGATTAGGACCCCAGGGGCACCCCACTTAACTTACCATATTGACCCAAAGGGCTCTGGCGAGCTGGGAGTGGAATTTCTGACCGGGGTGGATGCAGTCCGGGGCGAAGAGAGACGTATCTGGGCGCCCATCCTGGAGGAGAGAAATAGATTTCCTCAAATCCTGTTGGTGCGGAGGGCAGAGGGGGAGCCATGATCATGGCCTGAGCCTGGACTTGACCCCTTGACACCCTCCTTCCCTGGGGGGCTCTGAGCTGTTGGACTTCTGCCGTGCCTGCTTACCTCAAGGAGCAGATCAGAGCAATCCCACAGAGTCAAAGCCTTGGGTGACACCCCCAACTCCCCGCAGCCCCCATCCTCCTTTTTGGCCCCACAGTTCCCCCTATTGAATAAAAAAAAGTGCCATATTTGCTTTTAGGCGCATTGATGTGAAGCCCTGGCCCATGCCATGGTTGAGGGAATGAGATCCAATCCCTAAGGAGTCTTGGCCAGCCACCTGGGAAAAGCTACTTCCCAGCCGTTGGCCCGATAGAACTGGTGGTCTTGGTGGGGAGAATGGGGCCGAGGCTCGGGGCAGGCCTGGACAAAGCCACTACAGGGCAGTGGGCCAGCCTCCTCTTCCTCGAGGCACTCAGGGGTGCTCGAAGCTCCCTCCAGTTAGGTGGAGCCCTTGGCATGGAGGCCCGGCCAGACAGAACCGAGTACCCACCCGGCCCACTCACAGCGCTCTTCTGCTCCGGGTTGGAGTGCCAGGCGCAGGGCACAGCCAGGGTACAGACTGAGCACCCGAGCCCTCCTTTATGACTATGGGGTTGTGTACATGTGGCAGAAAGTGACTTTCTGGGGCTGGAAACATTCACATCTGCCCTCTCCATCCCATATTTCCTGTGTGACTGTAGGAAGACTGTTGACACCTCTGAACCTGCGCTATACGGTGATGATAAAACTCTCCTCCAAAGGTAGCTGTACAGATTTTATGTCTGGTGAGCACAGTGCCTGGCACATGGTAGATGCTCAACACAGCGGAGGCTGCTTGCCCCCACCCCGCTGCCTCCGGGAAGGCAGCTCGGACCAGCACCTGGGGAGCCGCCCTTCTCTCTCCCATTTCCTCAGACTCCGATGGAAGCACGTGGCCTCTCTGCCCTGAGCCTCCTGTCCTCTCTGGAAGCCCCATCGGAGAGGTCAGGGACATACCTCCAGGAGGGGGAGACGGATGTTGTGGAAGAAGGGCTGCAGCACCACGGAGAAGTCCTCCCGCGTGTCGTAGCGGCCTGACTCCACCAGCTCGCGCAGGCTGCTCTGGGGACACACCAACGGGTGCTTTCAGCACAGGCCCTAGGTGGCCCACGAGCGCAGTGGGGCAGGGTGGGAGTGTGGGCCGAGCCCCATCTCCCTGGGAAATGGAGCGGGTGCTGGCTCGGCCCTTCCCTTGGGCAGGCAGACACGCTTGGTTGCAAAGCTCTTTCCGGAGAATTGGGAACAGGTTGGGTCACCTTTTGTTTTTGCTTTTCTGTGAACTGCAAGCTCTGAAGGGCCAGGCGGGAAGTCCCACAAGGAATAAAAACCTGGAAGGAGTCTCCAGAGGCCCCCCAGGCCTGCCTGTTGGGGAGGGGAGGGGTCGGTGGGGTAGGGGCAGCTGGACCTGCAGGGTGCAGAACAGGGGCTCCCATGGGGCACCCAAGGCTACTGTCCTCAGGTCAAGAGTTAGGGTTAAGCCACCATGGGTGGCTGGGCCATGGGGGCTTTGCCACCTCTATTCCTTTGGAATGATGCCAACCAGCCAGTTACCTGAGACACCTCAGCCAGGTGGGGCAGAGGAAGGGGCCTAGGTGGTGAAGTTCCCCCTCAAACCCTGAATGACTCTTCTTTCCCCTGTGTGCCTCCCCTCAGGGGCTCGGGGCTGGTGTGTTCACTGAGGGGGGAGTGCACCGAATGGTGCCCTTCTTGGCCTCACCTGGTAGGCTCTGGTGATGGCCTCCAATCTGGCCAGCTCTTGGGAGTTCTCCCGAGGGGTCAGCACACAGTTACAGAAGACACTGTGCAAAGAGAGGGAGGCAGGGGGCCCAGCCAAGGCTCCGGTCAGGGGCTGGTTCTGCTGCACAGGGCGGCTCATCTGAGCCTAGGCTTTAGGGGCACATGTGCTGTGAGGCTCTGATGCGCATGCCCCGGGCGGGTTTCCCCCCTGACACGGGGACTGGCAAATCCCCAAGGGGGCCCTGTCACAGCAACAGAGGACCAGTGCTGGCCTGCAGGCCTGGGCCCAAAGCACGGCATGCTGAACGAGTGAAAATGCCATGTTCAATTTTCTTACATGAAATAGAAATGCCCCCTCTGGTACTGGAGCTGGGATTTGGGGCCTCCAGTGGCTCATGTCCCCAGACAGCTCCTTAGTTGACACTAGTGCCCCATGGCATCTTTGCTTTGCTTAGGAATTACTTCATGCTCATGAAATATACTTCGTGTTAAAAGAGACTTTATCTCTAAAGCACTCGGGACAGTGTCTGGCTCAGTGAGTTCTGTACAAGTGTTTGCTCAGTAAGCAAATGTACATATAAGGTACTAAGAATAATATAACATATACCCACATAACTGCTCACCCAGCTTAAGAAACAAAATCCGAGCCTGAAGTTCCCTAATTCACTGCTGCTGTGACTAGATTGCACGGATTCCTTCCTCACCTCTGCTTCGGTTTGACGCCCCCGCCATGTCGTCCCTGCACAGGCTGGGTGACACTGTCTCTCAAGTACTGGCCTTTGCCCCAGCCCTGGCCTCTCCCTCTGGGCTCCCCCGTAACACGCAGGTTCCTGCTGACACCCTGACGTTAAATAAGGGGTGGGGCACGGCTCCAACCACCTAGGCAGAGGTGGTCCTGGCTCAAGGACCCCTTTACAGACTTGGGCACATGGACAGACCAAGTCACAAAGACCCCGAGGAGCCATGGCTGCACAAGCTAGACCAGGATGGAGGGCAGCCAGCACGGCCTACCTGGCCTGCTGCACCGGGCACTTGTCTGGGCTCCCCAGGAACACCTGCCGCATGACACTGGGGCTCATGAAGTCCACAAGGTTGACCAGGGCTCTGGGCACCTGAGGGCAAGATTGCAGGTGAGAGCGGGCTCCGGGGGCTCCTCCCTCCAGCTGTCTCAGGGCCCTGGGAGGTGGGAACAGGTTCCAGGGTCCCCGTGGAATGTCTGCACAGACGTGCCCGAGTGGAGTTATGGGGAGGCGTCCACACTGGGCCACCCTAGGACCCTGTGGGCCGTATGCACCCCGGGGCTGCCATGTGAATGGCACCTCCTGGAATGGGACCGCATGGCAGACCCAAGTCTGAATGCTGAGAGCTCAGCCCCATTCAGCCATTGGTTAGTGAACCCAAGTCTGCCAGCTTTAAATTTAGTGGGACAGATGCCCACTTTGGCAGGACACTAGCCCTTGACTAACAGTGCAGAGCAGGCCTGGGGATGCAGCCCTCCAGAGAACCACCCGGTGGTCAGAGGACAGCAGTGGCTCGCCTATGCCGAGGGTGGGGACAGAGCCCATTGCTGGGCACTGGATCAGAGAAGGGCTTGCTCTAGACACACTGTGTGGCCCAGAGTACATTGCCAGCTGCTGCCACCAGAGAATGTCCCAGGTAGTGGTGGTGTAAGGACAATTAGAGCCCACACTGCTTCTCTTCTTCAAGCCTGAGATCCTTCTGGGCTGGTTCCAAATGCAGTGAGCTGCTACCACGCACCTCTCTATGCAGGATGTCCAGGGCATTGCGGAGATGGGCAAAAAAGTTGGCTGCAGAATAGAGATTCTGGGAAGAGACCGAAGGGAGAGGAGGAGCTGGTTAAGGGGGGGGACCGGGGGCAGTTACAGGTCCCTCCCCCGACCCCTGGCTCCGGCCCCGAGGCCTTGTTCTCCCTCTGGCCTCCAGCTGTCCCTAGCTCATCATGCCAGAATCTGAGATGAACAGTTGACCACCCACTGTTATAAAAGATGGGCCAGCCAGAAGACTGGCACTTTCAGCCAGAGCTGTAGTTCAGGAGCAGAAAGTAGAAAGTCCTCCTTCTTCCTGCCCGACGTTCACGATGTTTTTTATTTCTGAGTGCTCGGGGATGCTAAGAGAGGGAGGCAGAAGCACCACTGGTCTGGTACCTGCCACCTCGCACTACCGGGACGTCGAGATAGAGCCAGAGACCTGAGGGGAGTGGGTAAGAAGTGTGTGCACGCACACACAGAGGTGTAGTTGTACAATTCTAGGGCGGACTTTAAGGACTGTTTTCAATGAGGATCTCCAAGGCCTGCCTACAGGTCAAAGTCAGGGGCAACCAACAGGCCCGCCCCGCCCCTATTACCGAATCTGTGCAGTAGTCACATAAGTCACTGCCTCCAATCTGCACCGTGATGACCTTCCAGTCCTCGTGGAAATTTACTCCCTGCACAGGAGGAGGAGGATGCTTGATGATCTCCACAAACAAGCAAGCAAATAAAAAACGCCAGCTCTAGGAAATCCATTTAACCCTCTCAGACTTCCTTCCCCACTCGAAATCATAGAATCAGAATCTCAGAGCTGAAAGAATTTTAGAGGTTTATTTATAGACCACAGAATCTTAGCACCAGAAGGGACTTTCAAGGTCATTGTGATCAGCAACAAATGTCTTCCCGTTGACACAATCTCCTCCAGAAGGCCTCCAACAAGGGCTACCCTACTGCCACTTGAATGCCTCTCGTGACAGGGGACTCACTGGTTTCATGGTAGACTTATTCATTTGGGGACTTTTGTGGGTTAGAAAATTCATGTTTAAGAGTAACCATAAATCCGACTCACCTGGTCATCTTTCATCCTCTGTACCAGAGTCTGGACTTGGCCTGCAAGTTCCCTGAAAAGGAGGGAAAATCAGTCCTGTTCAGGAACAGTGCCTGGCCTTTTTCCCCTAAAAGGTCTGAACTAGAGGCTTCCATAGCATTAACCTGACTGCATGAACTGGTGGAGACCCTGAGGCCAAGGGACAAGGAGTTACTTCCCCATCCTGGAGAGTTATTACAACAAATAATTCTCTGAAAAGCCAATTGTGTGTTTGTCCTAAAACTGTAATCAAAGGTACAGCCAATGGTATTTGTCGCTTGTAATCTCCTTTCTAGAACGACACGTGCGAAGTGTCTTTGAGGATTCCATCTCTGAGGGACTGGTTTAGCCCCTGAAGTTAGATCTATGAAGGCTTTAGCATGCTTCTTCTTTTCACCTTGGCTGCTGGGAAGCTGAGAGTTTGATGCTCAGGCACAATAACGATAAAAATGCTCAGACTGATGAGTCGCTTCCTCTCTTTCCCCGCAGTGGCTGTGATTTTTTTCTTAAGTATGGGCTAATTGTGTTATTTTTGAAATAAACTTATCTAAATGCTTCTTGCAGAAAGAGATGGTGAATAAACATACTCTGTCCATGTGCCAGGGTTTGTAATTCACAGAAGGACTAGATTCAGGCACCCTGAGCTCCCCAATGGTCCAGGGCCCTGTTTCAGGCCTGGGTGGGATGGATGCACAGCACAGTGACTTGCTGCCCCAGCGGCCTCTACGGAGGGAGGTTCTGGCTTGCCCATCCATTTGTTTGGCACACTCTGACCTTTTGGGGGAATTGCCGCTTGTAGGGCTTTGAAGAGGGTGATCTCTCTAGCTCCATCACACCATGGTAAGTTTTAAAAACTGGATGAGACTGGTCAGCTATTCGAATGATCAGAACATGGTGCACATGAAAGTGAGGTCAGGAGTTCAGCCTTTAGGGTCACTGTCCTGTCCAACTTCCAGCCTCTCTGCCTTAGCGACAGGGGCGGCCAGGGAAGCGAGTGGTGGGGAACCTCTCAAATCATCGGTGCAAATGGATGAATGTGCCCTTTGCACATGGAGAACAGTACCGCAACCTTAAAGGGGAGTGCCTCCTATAGCCCCCCTTGACCCCCCAAATGCCGTACTCAGCCTTTGCTCCAGGAACAGCCTGATTGAGGGACGCATTTGTGCTGTTGGCACTACCGGTGCCCAGTGCGTAGCCTGTGAGATAGCTGTTAAACTTCCGAAGGATATCTGGAAGAGAAGGGGGCGAACAGGACACGAAGGGCTTAGGACAGAAGGCCAGGGACCTTTTCTGGTCTGGGGTCCCCACAGGGGGGGCTATGTTACCATTCTCAGGCAGCCCAGGGAGAGGCAGTACAGGGCATGCCCAGCGGGAGTTGGGGCCCCTCTGAGTTGAAATGACTGGATGACAGGGTGGGCCAGGGCAGCAAGAGTCTCAGCTCTCTCACTCTCTCTCTCTCACACACATACACGCAATTCACAGAGAATTGTGCAGAGAATCCTCACTACCTCATTGGATTCTCTCTGCATGCTCTGGGCCAGCGGAAGAAACCTGAGGTTCAGGATGTTTGGTGACTTGCCCTAGGTCACCTAGCAAGCACATCGAGGGGCCAGGGCTTGACCCCAGGTCCCTGGGCTCCAAATACAGCATTTATTCCACCCCCTAAGCCACCCATCCACGGGCCTCTCCTCCCATTTCAATGGTAGTTGGAAGGAAGATGCTGTTTCCTCCTTTCTTTGCTGAGAGGCGCCCTCAAGCCCCAGGCCCGCAGGTTACTTACTCGGTAAGGTGGTCACGGTCTCCAGGGAGCCGTCTCCTCCTGCACTGTAGAGGGTAAGTCAGTGAGATTGAATCAGTACATAGGCTTTTCTTAGCTCCCACACCATCAGCACCTGTAAGTGGTTCCAGACCCATCTCTGTGTTTGAGAGAGTCTGAGAAAATATGAATCCCACAGTGGGTCGGTTCCCCCATAACCCAGGCAAAAGAGAGCTGTTTCTTATCTCCACCAAATCAGGAGGGAGAGTGCTTAGCCGGGATACACTGGGTGCCCAGCCAGGAACAGCACTCTCTACAGAGACCTAGACTGATGCGTGGCGGAAATCTCTCTCTGAGCCCATTTTAGAGTGAATAGCTCTAGGAGAAAAAAGAGAATTATACACATAAATACGAGGCAAAAAGTTAAGGCCTCATTTTGACCAGATTTACGTGCAACATGAAAGAAAACAGATCCACATCAAATAGCTAATCTACAGGAGACCTGCCAATTAACGTAATTCGTGTTAATTACTCCATGAGCTCAATGGCTGGGCTTTAGAGAAACACAGAGTGGATGCTTCATAATATTTGTTCAAGGACTTTCAGTAATGCCAAGCTCAACTCCCAATTAACCAGACAAAGAAGTGCATTTGGGAGGTAAGTAAATTTTATTTCAGTACTTTGAACAGTGCCCGACAAGACAGTTTATTTCGGCTGAGGAAAGGCAATGCCCGAAGACGGGTGAGCTTTGTGACTGTCACCGGCCACGGGCCCTCCCTCTGCAGGCCCCTGCTCACAGCCGCCCGCCTCCCACCCAGCGAGGTCCCCTCTCTCCACTTCGTCTTTTCTGGAGGAAGAGGCTCAAATCACATTTCCAATTTATTTAGAATCGTTCATTGCTGAGCGTTTCTCATCGAGAAGCTTTAATGACTTCAGAGAATTGCTTTCCTCAGACTAGCCCGGTACAGCGATTTTTCAACCTTGTTTCACCTCGTGGTACAGTCACACACTAATTAGCATTCTGTAGCACACCAAGAAATACATTATATTTTTGATGATTTGACAAAAAAAATAGGTATAATATTGACTCATTCACACTGAATGGATACTGTCGTGCTGACAGTTGTGTTTTAAATTGACAATCTAAGGGAAAGGCAGTCAGTGCCCCAACTGGACAGCCAGGTGCAGTTTGTTTTCAAAGTTCCTGCTGTGCACCGGTGGAAGGTCACTGCCCTGGCATGTGGACAGTTCCCAGGGGATGCGAACAGGTATACGAACAAAGAAAGCATTCTGGGATTGAGGGAAGCACGTGATCAAACAGATACAATTTTTAAAAACTTTTTCCATTGCAGGTAATCTCAGAGCCTCTCATAAGCTAAGATGCATGTGATGCCCCGGAGGAAGGACACAGTAGATAATGTTTCCAAAAATACAAAGACTTTTGCCTTCTTCAGCACCGCGGCTGGGGCTAGTGTTCCACAGAACGAACTTTGGGAAACATTAGTCTGTATGTTCCACCGCGTGTCGAACTGTCTCCCCTACTCTGACCCAGAGCTTCCGTTTTTAACACATGGGGATCTGGGGGCAGGCATGTGAAACATTTAGAACAAGCAAAGGGTTCAAAGGGATAGCAGCCTTTGAATATAAGGGCTGTGTATATGAGCCATTGAATACAGAGGCTGAAACATTAGGCCTCACTGGACTTCACTTGGAGGAAGAGACAGAGCGATGGCTGGGTGTTTCCACTGCAGCCAAGAGAAACCTTTAACCGAAGGTCACCTGCCTGAGTCGGACTCTCAGGGCCTGTCCTGTGGGCCTGTGGGTAAAGTTGGGCAGATGGCCTCCCTTCCCCAGACCGCACCACCGGGCACAGCTTCTCCACCACCCAGTGGCTGGTCCATCTCTTTTCTATCTTTCCTCACTGTGATGGGTGGCCACTGCCTCGGCCAGCTAAGACTGGCCAGCTAAGACTGAACGCAGCTGCCACAACCCCATCCTTTTCCCGGGCTGGGATACGCTCTGCTCTCTCTGTCTCCCTCTGGCTCTTCTGCTTCTTGCAGCCTCAGGAACACCTGGGGCCAAGTGGTCAGGAGGGGAGGCTCTGGGAGCCTGTTCAACCAACTGGGTGAGGTATGTGGAAACCTAGGGGCCATCAGGGGCTCCGCGGCATGCACCCCAGCTCTCAGGGGGTGATGTTGTCATGCTTCCCACGCCCTGGACCCTCTTTGTGGGTGGCTGCAGGCTGAGTGAGGACACCTCTCTCACCCAGGAAAACCTTTCTCTCTGAGCTGTCCTCAGGGCTGACCAGAAAACTGTCACAATCCTAACCATCAGCACTCCCTCTCACTTTCTCAGAAGGAACATTTCCTTTGAATGCACCCTGGGGAGAGGAGGCAAGCGCACTGTTGGCCGCGCAGTTTCTCATTAACACTCTGCCCTCTGGTGGCCGGTTTTGCTCTGGTTGTTGGGAAGTAGGAGCTAATTGCCAGTCACGGTAAAGCAGACGCAAATCTGAGCTTTATTGGGAAAGAAACTTAAGAATGCCCACATCCAGCTGCTCACCTGACACCTTGTATATGGAATGTTCTTTCTCACCCATTCTGTGACCTAACTGCTACTGTGTCAGGACACGACGGGGCTACCACCTCCTCTGGGAAGCCAGGGCTGGGTGTTCCCCTTCCACTCCCAGCGGCACCCAGGCGCCTTTTCCTGCCAGGGAGTGGTTTGCACAGAGAGCACGGGCCTTTGCCTGCGCTTCCCATACATGCCCCTCGATCAGCATCTGCTGCTGTGATTTTGTCGTGGTTACTTCCTCCTGAAGTGTGTCGCATTGTGGAGTTTTCTGTGCAGACGTGTACATACATGTAAAGGTGGAGGTGTGACCACAGACTGACATGAACAAACGCATAGAGACAGGACACAGAGACGTATACACGCAAACGGGCAGGTGAAGACTCAGAGATTTGGTGCTTTTCGGGTGCATTTCATGTTGGATTTGCTGACCCAGGAGCCTGCTAAGAACCCTGGTTTGCTTTTTCTGCACAATTTAAAAAAAGAAAAAGAAAAAGGTCATCAAGAGTAAAAGACCCTCTCCACTCACCACACTCCCACTTTGCAGGCGTAACACAGGTTTTCCTTCCGGAAGCCCTTTCCAGACCTGTCCTTGCTCTTTGTTATTTGTGAATTCACAGGGGACAAAGATCCCCAGTCTCTGGGGGTGAACCCAGGGTGGCCAGGGGTCAAGGGTTATCATTACCTATATGACAGCCCCCGATACTGAGTGGTGACATCAGCAAGGTCGCCTGGTTTGGAGCCAATTCCATTGCCAGCCTTTGAAAACATACCAAAATCCAGAGGAAAATCAGCAAGTCAAAGGAAATGAAGGCTGTCGATGTGCAGGGTGTCTGCAGGTGGTCCCAACACCCCACGCCACACACAAGCAGAACACTGGGCCGGGGTCAGAGGACTTGCACTGGCCTCCTGCGAATGGCAGCTGGCTCCCGACTGCGCTAAGGATGTGCCTTGCCTACCCCACAGGGTTCTTTCAATGACTGAATTGGATTGGGGTTGTGAAAGGGTGTGGAAGACTCTAACGTGCTTTGTGAGCCTGAGATGCTGTTGTAACATCACTATTGGCCTCATGCTCAGTTCATGAGCAACGAAGAACGAGCTCACAGATTTGAGTGGACTGCCGGGGGCAGATTCCTCGAGAACTTCACATTTCTGTTCTTTCTCGCTGGGACAGTCTGTAGGGCACTCTCATGGCTTTAGGGGTGCTGCCATGGAGTGGTCCTCTGGGGTGGCGAAGAGCCCCATTCCTCAGAACTTAGAAGCGGAGCTTTAGCCACAGCTGGGGTGTCTTTGCTGCGTCCTGTGCAGATGCAAAGAGGAAGCAGGTGGCAGGTCTGAGCTGCTTGGAAAGCGTCATCCAAATGAACGGCATCTACGCCATCCTTCTACAGGTAGGCGTAGAAGACTTTCTGAGTCAAAATGACATGTTTTTGTGATTGTTAAACATGTGTTGTTAGCGTACCTCCACTGCCTGAGATAATTCAGTTCATTCCTGAAAAGACTTCCCTTTGCGCACCTGAGTGAGAAAGTGGCTGCGAAACAAGCTGTCGCCGTGTGCTTGGACTGACAGGGCCTGGAGATGGCTGGGCGTGGGGGGAGCATAATGCAGGGCTCAGAAGTGCAGGCCCTGGAGGGAGGCGGACTGGGACCTGAACTGACACAGCCACCCCCACCCCACCCCAGGGACCCTTATTGTCCTTACGATCAGAGAGTCCCCCAGAGCAGCCACGACCTGGATGTCTGCAGGTCTCAGGGAGTGCACTGGAGAGACAGAGGCACACACTTGAGTCCATGGAAAGGAAGCTGCAGTCAGAGTCTACTGCTTCTTTAAGCAAGATCAGAAACCCCACTTGCCTGTGCTCTGGGCCACACAGGACTCAAGTGTCCATGGCGCCCTGGAGGCAGAGGTTACATTAAGACAGGCTTTCCTATAAGAGACTTAATAAAGGAATCCTGGACCTATGGAGAGAAAAGGGTGCTGAGAGAGAGGGAGAAGGAAAGGGGATGGGTAAATGGGTGTGAAGGAGGGAAGGAAGGAAAAGAAGGAAGAGAGAGGGAGGAAGGAGGGAGGGAGGGAGGGAAGGAAGGGAAGGGAGGGAGGGAGGGAGGGAGGGAGGGAGGGAGGGAGGGAGGGAGGGAGGGAGGGAGGGAGGGAGGAAGGGGAAGGACAGCATGGTGGGATCCCACCATTGCAGTGCCAGCAGTCCTGTGGAATACCAGCTGTGACCTGCGTGGACAACCAGATGGGCACTGGACCATCTGAGATGAGGTTCAGGGCCTGATGCACAGCCCATTTAGAGCTGAGTTATGTGTCTCCATCAAGAACCTGGGACACAATCATACCAGGTCTTTCTGGGCTCTCAAGTGCCTCCCAAGATGCCAGGAACTCTCCCGCCCTGCAGGCGCTGGCAGTGATGGCAGAGCCAGGAACCCCAGGACCACCTGAGAGCTGGCTGCCACTTGGGGCTCCCTGGGCACCTGGCCCCCACCTCTGGCCTCGTGAGGTCACACCACAGGGCTAGGTCACTGGATGGGGAGCTCCTGTGGCTCCTTCACTGTGCTACCTTTAAGGGACAAACAATTCCTGGCCTGGCCACCTGGAGGCCTGCTAGATAAGGCATCTCTACAGGGAAGAAAGGGACAAATCAGGGACTTGTCCCAGGTGACCACCCAGACCGCAAGCAAGCACTGGCCATAACTGCATCACTAAGTTACATGTGGAAATTTTGTCAGAACATTCTTGGGCTTCTGAGTCCTTGTGGAGAGGTCCTGTGTCCCGGTGTGTCCCACAGGGCTCACCTGAGGTGGGCGGTGAGGCAGAAGGGGCTCTGTCCTGGCATAGCAGGTGGCTCCCATGACCCTAAGGGCAGAGAGTGGATCTCAGGGGTGGAAGGGACCAAAGAGACTTGCTGAGTGTCAGACACGCAGAGACCTTAACAAACACAGACTCCTGCATACGCCCCACCCCAACAAGGGAAGAGCCCAGAAGGGCATTTAAAGAGGGTTCCCTAGGCAATTCTGAACACCAGCCCCCCTGAGATGTGCTAATGTCGTTCAGACCCCTCCACCAACTAATGCAAGAATTGGGGCATCAACAAAACCCCCACCCCCCGACCCATAGCAGCTTTATGGGGAGGATGGGGTCTCCATCTACGCCCTTGCTGAGGCTGAGGCGTGACTGGCTGGGCCCATTCCGGACTGTTACTCTGCCCTCCACCCTGTCTGAGGTGTGTGTGGATGGACTTTATAAAAGAATGTGAACCCCTTGGTCTCACCCACCCTGTGGGGCAAATCCCAGTTCAAGGGCTGCCCCTGCATAGGCTGGTGAGAGGAAAGAAAGCAATAGGCAGATACCTGGACACTGTTCTTGTAGGTCCTCAGGAATGGCCAGTCCTGTAAAGGGGGGGGCAGGGTGAGCAACCGTAGTAAATTTGGCTTGTTTTCTGCATTGTTCTCTGTTCCCCCACCCTCAAGAGGTGCTGGCCTGGGTGTAAATGCTTGAAACACAGTCAGCCTCCCCGCTCCATGTCACAAGCCCCCTCCTTGCCAGGGTGACCCTGGGGGCTCCTTCCCAGGGTGCACTGGGGCCTTCTCTGCAGCCCAGACCCACCCAGGACCCAATCTGAACCCACAGGAGCATTAGAATAAACCTTGCATTGGCTCCCGGGAATGACCAGGTCTGCTCTTCACCTTCTATGTGGCTCACTGGGGTGGCTGTGTCACCTCTTTCTCGACCCTGGCCCCTGCCAGCAAAGCATCACTTTCTGCCGGCACAAGCCCGTGTCCCTACCCCCGAGACCCCCCTTGCCACTCCATGCCACTCCTGCCCTGTAGCAGCCTGGGTTCCTTCCTGCCCAGGCAAGAAAATCAGGCTCTCTGAGGTCCTGCCTCATGCAAGCCCAGGCCAGGGGGACCCCACTGGGAACACAGAGGGGCTCACAGAGGTGAGGGAGCAGCTGCAGAGATCCAAGAATCTTTCAACCCCACGTGGGTGAACGGGGGGCTTTGATTGGTTTTGTCTTCCTGGTTAATGTCTGCTTTCCCAGCTCCAGCTTCCAAATGACACCCCCAAAACCTCCATCCCAGCAGATATTATTCTGGCTCTCTGCTCCTCGCCCCTCCCATTGTGCCATGGAGACAGCTACATGGAGTGTCTCTCTGTCCCTTTCTGCCCTTGATGCTGTCCCCACCACTAGCCTTCCCAGTGAGAGCTAGATGGTAACACTGGGCTCCTCTTTTGGACTGGAAAGAGCTGTGTGTAGCCCAGACTTGTGCTAGGGCTCTCTGTGACAGAAAAAAAACAGAGGAGCACCCATGGCCTCTGGCCACCAGGGACTGTCATCCATCCCAGTCCACCCGGATGGGACACTGTGGATGGCTCCCCGGAGTCTGGAATGAGTGAGCAGGTGAACAGAGTTGGGGATGAGGGTGAGATCCTGGTAGGCAATGGACTGAGAAGTGATAACAAGACTTTAAAAGGCTGGAAGAGATGCTTAGGTGGAGCCGTTGCAGGGATGGGCTTTTCACTCTACCTCGTTTGGACACACGATATCGATCTCGCTTTCAAAATCATGGCGTGTTGTCTTCTGGCCAACGGGCTCCAGCTAAACCAAGAAGCAGGAAGATGGGGAGTGAGAAAGAGGCAGCAAGAGTGGTAGCCCAGGCCACGGGTCCGGGCTGGGGGAGGGCAGAGGACAAAGGAAATGGGTTGGTTATCGTTGCTGTGTGGGGCTCCCACCGCCTGGACGAGGGGCCTCAGAGCTCCAGCGAAAGCTTTCTGGAGTCCTTTTCTTATCAGAGGGAGGAACATTCTTCCCGCCTTCGTCACCCGCCTAGGTCACCTTACCATATTGGTCCAGAGACCGCTGGCTGCGTGGGCGTGGGACTTTCTGCTGAAGTGGAAACAGTCGGGAGCAAAGAAAGAGCTGTCGGGCAACCCCTCCTGGTCACGGGGCAGACAAGAGAGGCCGAGTCAGGAGACGTCCGGTCATGCAGGTGACACTCAGAAACAGCTGGACGCTGTCCGTATCCCCCCACCCCCACTTGTCCACATTGCTTCACTTACTGAGGTCTTCGGCATGTCCACTTTTTCAAAGAACGGCTGCACGACCACCGTAAAATCTTCCCTCGTGTCATATCGCCCACTCTCAACCAGCTGGTGAGTCGCCTCCTGCGGGAGGCAGAGGGGACGAGGGTCAGGTGCTCTCCGTGTCTGCTTGGTCTCTGTGCGGTCTCCTTCACGGCCAGAGAATTTGACGGAGTCTGGCCTTGCCGTGAAGTCACTCTGTAGCCAAGTCTCCACTGATCAGGAGCCAGCTAGTGACCTTTTAAATTAGCCTCCATCCCCCCTGTTTCCCCCCGGCCCCAACCTCTGCTGCCATCGCACACTTGACCTAGGCCGTGAAAAAAGGAACGTAAGGAAAACCCTGAGGCCACCAGCTTGATCCCCTTTAAAGCTCCTGATTAAAACTTGCGGGACGGGGCAACTTACTTTCTGTCCTACATTTATTCAGAAAATCAAAGGTGAATCACCAGTGACCTTTGCTGCCTAATGTGGCGTGTCCCTGTGGTGTGTCCCTGTGGCGTGTGTGAGTGCGTGGGCTCCTGGGCCTGCACGCTCCCGAGACTCTCGGATCTGTCTGGGAGAGTAATGAAGCTGTCACTCTCACAGCTTCTACTTGGCCTCAGTTCCAGGAGGACCGATTAACCCAGTTCTGGCTCCCACGGGTGCCAGACGGCCATCCCATGGCTTGCCAGGTTCATGCCACTTGGGGCCAAAACCCTGGCTGGAGAGGGAAGTCAGGTCTGCAAACCTGAGAACATGAGTGTGGCCACTTCAGAAGATACCGAGCACTTTCTTTGCACAGAGTCAGCCCGAAACAGAGCCCCTACAGTGGAGACACCTCAATTTTGCTCTCCCAGGAAGTCTCCTGTTCATAGGCAGAGCCGTGAAGCAGAAGGTGCGATGCCACAAACTAGCTGTGTGACAAGATGCTTTCCCGCTCTGGAGCTCTGTTTGGCAAGAGCTCTTGCCAAAATCCAATGCCACTGGTTACTCCATGGACCAGCCATACCGGCTCACAGGGGTACTGTGCATCTCTGGTGACATGAAAGAAATAGTGTCTAGAATGCCTGGCACAGGGTGGCACTAACAGCGGTGATCATCTCCAGGGAGAATGAGGGGAACCGTAGCTTTGGCAGGAAGTGGGGAGTGAGAGGATTCGGAGAGAGGGCATGATGGGTTCAGGTGGCTAAGCTGTGAGCTTCTCCAGGACACTACGTTAGGGTCTCAGGCTGAACCAGATCAGACCCGGCTGAACCAACCGGCCCATCTCGAAAGGTCGGTGAAGGCAGTTTTGGTACATAGTTCCTCTTTTTGTCTGCCCAGCATCTGAACCCACTTCCTGTGTTTGAGAAACTGCACTGTATGAAGAGCAGCCTGCCTCTCGCAGCAGCAGGTGAGAAAGGCGAGCTCTGGCTTTCTCAACGCCCCTCACAACAAGGGTGTGGGCATGTGCTGAGGGTCTCCAGCGAATGCTCCCACTTGGGGGCGGAAACTACCCCAAAGAAGATGGAGGGACAGCACAGACTCCATTCTGCTGAGGGTGGCAGCTGCACCCTGGGCTAGTTCTTTGGTCTAATTTGGACTGTTATGGCTTGGCCCCTAGAATTCCATGATTCTGGTGGCTTGGCCTCTGACTCTAGCTTTCTAGCTCTTCCAGATATTGTGCTTAAATAATAAACCTGCTTAAATAAGCCAGAACTGCATAGGCCTCCTTTGTTGCGTGCACCTGAGACGCCCACCTGGAACAGGTTTGCTCTCATGGCCCCAGAGGTTTTCCCTGTCCTGGCGCAGCCATGGGGACACAGGGGCTGCGCACAGAGAAGGCAGTGCAGCCAGGGAGGTGTCCACAGGGCCGGGCAGTCGCGTCACAGCATGAGAGAGAGAGGCTCATTCTCCTGGGTCCTGATACCCCTGGCAGAGATGGCTGCCCCCCAAAGAGTCCCCCGAGAAGTGGTTCTGTTCTAAGGAGTCCATGGACTTGAAGGATGAATCCACCCTGGAAGCATTTTGCAGTCCATCCCAGAAGGACCAGGGAGCTACTACTGTCTTCTTGAGTGACTGGACAATTATTTGGGGGGAAACTCAAGATTGAGTCAAGGGAGTCAGCTGCTCTGGTCCAAGCTGTGACGGGAAAGCTTGGAACGCACAACCCACAGGGTGTTCAGGGAGTGCCTGCCGGCTTTCTTTCTCCTCCTGCTCCCCGGTAACGCCCCTTCCCCTGGGAGGGGAGGGGAGAGGGAATGCAAGTCACCTCTCAGAATCACCCAGCTTCTCTTGGGTGGAAAAGGCTTCCCACCGGGCGTGGGGCTCACATACATTCCCCGTGGACAACGGGAAACACTTGGTTTAGTTTAAGGTGAAGTATGTTCAGTGACTTGGTGAAGTATGTTCAGTGACTTGGCTTTAGAGCTTGATTCAAATAAATGGAACCACAGCCCCTGCCACCTTGCAGGGTGTCTTGAAATCTGCAAACTGGTCAGAGGTAACCTCACATCCAGTCGAGGACCGAAAAAAACATAAGCATGTGCTCATTTTCCAACCACATCACCCAGCGGTTCCCGTGCAGCCCATGCCCGCCTCACCTGATACTTCTTATTCACTTCGATGAGGGCGGCAAGCTCCGTTGAGTTTTCCTCCGACCTCAGGACGCAGGGACACAGATTCCTGCAGACCAAACAAAAGAGACGCCCCACCCCGCCCCAAATCTCCGTCTGAGTGCACGATGCAGAAACAGTACCTGGAGATCCGGAACCCCCTAACGTGGCGGTATCAGGGGTCAGTGCTAACGGGGGCCCTGTCAGGCTACCCTGTCAACGGTACCGATGAAGCCGAAGGAAATTTCCCAGACCTGGATTTGCTTGTGAAAATGAAATAGTTAACTCCTCCCGACGTCTACAGCAGGTGCCTTTCATGGAGCTCAGCTACTCTGGGACTGTCTGAGGCAAAAGGTGGAGGTCAGGCAGGCCTCCTTCTAAATGACAGTAGTGACAACGGTGATAATGAGAATGGCTAACAGATGGTGAATACTTGCTGTGCCAAGGGGTTTATGGGTATTAACCTGTTTAATCCCCTTTAGCCATTCTTGTATTATCATTATCCCCACTTTATAGTTGAGAAAACTGAGGCCCAGTGTGGTCATCTTCTCAAGGTCACACAGATGCTAAGAGTAGGAGCCAGAGCTTGAACTCAAGTCTGCCTGGGATGAACCTGAGCCCTTGATCCCTGGTTAAATGGCTTCTGTCCAGTCTGTAGCTCTGATCTGGACGGCCAGCTTGCAAATCCAGGCGTTTGGTCTGAGAGATAAGGAAATAACATTGTGGATGGCTCTGGGTAGACTCAGCGCCACCAAGGAAATGAACAGCAGAGAGGCAGGGAGGGCAGCGTGCTGCAGAAATTGTGGTCTAAGGTGACCCTGAGCCTGCCTGACCCACAGTTAGCGACTCGGCTGCTTCAGAGCTGAGAGCCACCCTGGCAGATGCCTACCCTGAGCCTTTAGCTCTGATCATCTAACAAGCCTGCGGTGATGGGCAGCAAGAGAGTTTTGGGTGAGCTGCTCTGCAGCAGAACGAAAACAGAGACTGGAGACCGCGGGAGCCAGGGGATGAGTCAGCAGCTGAAAATAGGATGCCTGACACCAGCTGCGTTCATAGGCGCGTGTCATCCAGCAGCCGTCCTCATGCTCTCAGCACCCGCGGGCCTCCCGAGGGGCCCTGTGCAGTCTGGGCCCCCAGGTGAGGTTTGGCATGGATCTTCGAGGGAGCAGCCAAGATACCTTTTCATTTCAAAGAGCAAATCTGGCCCTTGTGAATTATTCATTCAGCCATTCAGCCAACAGCCACTGAGCCCCTGTGTTGTGCTAGCAGTGACTCAGACACGAGGTTCAGGGCCCGGGAGAGGCACATGAATAATCATCATGTGATGTGCTCTGGGCGATGGTGTGCGGGGGTGTGATACAGAGCTGGGGGGTGGAGGGGGATGGGCACAGCCACGATGACCTCAGCGGATGGTCCGGAGGAGGCCCAGCAGGGAGCAATGCTGCGTGAAATGTTCCTGTTTGGTTAGAAGGACGTCTTATTCCTGAGGGTTGCGGAGACGAGTAATACTAGAGAGGGAGCCACCTTCCTTCAGCTGTGGAGACTGAGGATGAAGAAAGCCTCCCGAGGGGGGGGGGCACCCCAGACCAGGGCTCTCTGTTCCCCGGGGGAAGACCCTGTCCTCTAGACCCTCCTGGTTCTGATTTGACCACGCTCTCCTCTATCAAGCAAACATAGCCCTATATTTGTGAATGCCCAGCCTGGGGCACCATGCCAAACAGAGGCTCCCTGGGTCCTGGACTGGAGTCCCTGGGGGTGGGGAAGGAGCCGAACACTCTGAAAAGTCGGCCCTAGCAGCCACCAGTGAGCCTGGCCCACCCAGGCCCCCTCCGTTCCTCGTGCTTGACTCTTCCCTCCCTGGGGGACTGAAGGGTATCCTGAGCGGCCATGGCAACAGAAGCGTGTGTGGGCTGCAGGTGCGTACTCCAGGTGGAGCCGAGGTCTCCTCCAGGTCCAGAAGTCTCCTCCATTAGACCTCGTCAGCTTAAAAAATGAAGTGGTCTCCACGCTCCTCCAGCTTCTTTGCTTGGGTTTTCTAACTCCTCAGAGTCACTTTCTGCTAAGGGTCCTGTGGCCCCTTGGGGAACAGGGAGAGGCTTACCTGAGGATCAGCCTTGGGCAGCTGACTTTCTTCTCATTGTACAGCTCCCTCAGGTTGATGATCTCCAACACCTTTACCAGGTTCACAAACGCCCGGGGAACCTGAGCAAAGTCAAAGTCGGTCACTGACAGGATAGGGGCTGGGCAGTTGCTCCTGCTGGGGGTCAGGTCTATGGCCTTCCGTCTGGCCCCGTCCACTTCCTGCATCCCTGCCTCCCCCTCCACCACCCCTCCGCCCCCCATCAGCACCTATGTGTTCGGGCTGCTGAAGCAGGACTGACAGCACGGTCGTGCTGGTCTCCAGGTAAAGGGCACCTGACAAGGAGGTCTCAGCCAGAAGCCAGAGCCGCCTCCAGGTTAGGTCTGAGGCCCAAGAAGAACCACGGTTGGGCTGCTCAGAGGCCACGAGCACCAGCCCCCATACCTCAGCGTGCAGGATGTCCAGGGCCTTCCGAATGTTGTCCGTGAAGTTCTGGGGAGAATAGTGGGCCTGCAGGAAGAGGAAACATCCAACACCATTTGTCACCCAACTTCTGTGCAGACCAGGGCCACAGAGGTGTGTGTCCCCTCTTTCCTGTGTTTCCGCCAGAATGGGAGACCCTGAAACACAGGTTTGCCTTGGGACCCCCAGCCTCCACACCACCCCCACAATCCTCAGGCTCATCATGGTTGTGACCCCGTCTCCTGTGGAGGAGATGCCCTTTCTCCTGCATGGAGCCATGAAAAGCTCCACATCCACTTCCTATCAACTGGATGCAGGGCCCTAGCTAAGGCGCATCCCACTCTGGGCCCCTCCAAGACGGGGTGTTGGAGCAGAGGACCGCTGAGGCCTCCTGCAGCTCGAACATGCCCTAGTCCTGTGCTCTAATGCCTTCTGCTTAGACCTCCAGTGCCCACGGCCCAGCCATACCACTTAAGGAGGGTGATGGGGCCCCAGGAAACCCCTCTCCCACACACTAACACATTTTAATGGTTATTTCTCTTGATTTTGGTACTTGTGGTTCTTAAACTTTTTAAGAAACAGTGGAACCCTTTCTGAATGAACTCCAACGAAGAACCCTGCTCTAGCAAGTGAAGCAAAACTACAGGGAAGTGGGGAGGGCCCATGGTCCTGCCTCCCCCACCCAGCAGCCCCAGGGCTCCCTCGGGGGCCCCTCACAGCTTGAGACCCCCACACCCTGGTGACTTCGATGCCAGGGAAGGAGGGGTCTGGGGAGCAGGCTCACCCCTCAGGCCAGGGGCTCCCAGGCCACGGCAAGACTTGCCACTTCATAAGTTTCACTCAGCTGGTCCCTTTTCTGCCTGACAAAGGTCCTGGACTTCGGGTCCCAGCTGGCAAGTGCCCCCTGCTCTGTGTAAACTCCCAACACAGGAACTCTGCCTTCAGACATGTGTGTGCACACCCGGAACCGCGGCATGGTCTTTCCTCACCAGGTTACGGTGAACTGACTGTGCCCGCTCCGCCCCCTGCCATGGGCTGAGCATCTTGAGAGCAGAGCCTGTGTCTCACTCGCCTGCTTGGCCCCCAGGGCAGTGCCTGGCCTGTAACACGCACCCAGCAAACAATACTAGAAATAAAAAGTGTCTTGTTTATCAGAAAGCCCTGCATCCCTTCCAAACTAAATGGAAGACAATAAGTGGGCAGCACCTATGATGAAGGGTTTCTACTAATCAACGATAAAAAGATAAATACCTGCAAACAGCCAATAGGCATAGTACAGAATTTACCCAAAGGAGAGATTCAAACAAGGGAAATAAAAGTTCATTCCTATGTAGGAAGTCAAAAAAATGCAAAATTTGAAAACAAGATTCAATTTTTCTCATTTATCAGATTAGCAGCTATTAAATAATGCACATTGCCAGTTGGAAGGTGGGGAGAGAGGCATAATTGGTATACGCACACTGGCAGTAACTTGGTCATGTATATCCAAAGCATTAAAAATGTGCAGAGTCTCCAAAAATGAGATGGATGGACAGATATGTGTTAATATAGCACAATATTAACACGTGTAAAATCTAGGCAGTGGTCACACGGACACTTGCCACACACGTGTTTCAGCACCTCAGTATGTTTGGAAATATAGCATTGGGGGAGTAGACATATGTGTCTACTTGTAAAGCTTACTACCTACAGTACGTACCAGGAAACAATTGTGGATGTAGATAAAGATGGTTGTTTATCCTGGTGTTCATTTATAATAGGCACACTTACGAGTAATGTAAGTTAAGTACCCAATAATTAAGAACAGTGAAGTAAAGTATGGGCAATCTACATTATGTACTGCTATATAGCCTTTAAGAATTATTTGATAGAAAAATAAATACTGATATAGGAATATCTTCCCAACATGTACCTATTGAAAAAGAGTGGATTACCAAACAATATTTTTGGAATGATATCATTGTTAGAAAATAATAAAGTATTTTCTCCACATTCACAGAAAATGCTAGAAACATTTATTAAAGCGTTAACAATGGTATTGCTGGATGTTGTGGTTTGGTTACTGAGAATATTTTTTCTCTGCACTTTGATATGTTTCCTGTGTGTATTACTTGCACGATTTTAAAAAAACATTAAAAAAAAGTCACTTGCACGATTTTAAAAAAACATTAAAAAAATTGAGTGTAGAAGAGGCGTGCCAGCAGAGGCTGGAGTCTAGGCTTAACACAAAGAACCACCACAAAACAATGTACAGCTACTCAGCTCACTGGCCTGGGCCACCTTGCAAATTAAAGAGCTGCCCATCCCTGGCCATGTTCCACAGCTGGAGTCTATGGAAAGCACCTTTGCTGCGGGTGGAGGCTGGTGGAGAGAGCTGGTGCGGTTTCTTCCTGCTCGGAGCTCCTGGGATTCCAGGAAGAAGCACTGCTCCCAGCTCCCTCGGGGCGGCAGCCTGGCCCTGGGGTCTCCCACCAGCCCAGAGGGACTGGGCTCTGACCTCAGCAGAGGGCCTGTGTTAGGAACTCAACTTTCCCATACAAGTCACAGCACGAAGGCGGAGCTGGGGAGGCAGTCGGGTATGGGAGAAAGGAGCTGACCTACAGTGAGCTCTGGAGATAGGCCAGGCTTCTGGAGATCAGTGGAATGTCATCTTGGTTTCTAGAATGCTATGCTCAGGCTCCCTTGACAGAAAACCTAATCAGGATTCATCTCATCAGCATTGCTGCTGGGCCTGTCGACGCTCTTCCGGGAGGAGGGTGCCACCTGGGTCTCGAGGTTAAGCCCAGGCTGGACCCAGGCCGGACCACAAGCCCCAAGTCCCAGCCCGACAAACTGCTCAGGGACCTGGGGCGGAAATCGTCCCCTGGGACCTACCGGGTCCTTGCAGAAATCACAGAGGTCATTGCCTCCTATAAACATGGTTATTATCTTCCAGTCTTCTTGAAAATTTATCTTCTGAAATAGATAGAAAATGAACAAGTAAATGTCTTACCCCAGGGTCATGTCAAGGATGACACACAGTGCTGAACACTGGCAGGAATGGGTCCTCACACCTCCCTCTCCCCCCGCCCAGGTTTAGAGGATGTTATTATTGTTTTTTGTTTTTTTTAAGATGAACTCTCTGGACTTCCAGGTGGCCTGGTCTTCCCCCAAAGCTGCCTCTCTCTGTCTTCATGGATTTCTGCTGCCTTGTCCCTGTCCTGGAAATTCCCACCACAGGTGGTCCCAGGTGGCACCTCGCCCAGACTTACCAGAGTGCTATTTTTCATCAGATCTATCAGCCTCCTGGCCTGAAGAGGTAAATGCCTGTGGGCAGACACAGGAAGAGGTCACGTGAGGAGCAGGGACTGTGAGGCTGGGGCTGGGAGGGGACTTAGCAGAGAGAACAGGACTGAAATCTGTGGCAGGAAAGCTGGACTGAAGGCCAGGCTCCTGTCAAGAGCTGGGGGAGGGAGTCAGGCCTGGGGGGTGGGAAGAACAGAACACTCCGCATGTCCGACTGCTGGGGGGACTGTGTCCTGATGGGCACATTTGATCACCTGCTTTGCTTTTTCTCCCACGCCAGGCTCGTTCTGGGCAGACAGAAAGCAGCATGTGTTCCATGTCCTGCATGGCTCATGCCATGACCTTGGCCTCAAGGGAACCTCACCCTCCAGGTGACATAGTTGTCAGACATACTTGAGTTTGCCATTGAGTTACCGCTTCCTGACTGTGGGAATATGATTTAAGTTCCCAGGTCAAAAAGACTACGAACATGGAGAAAACCCCTAGTCTTAGAGGGTTAGTGGGAGCGGCAAGTGAGATGGGCAAAGCAGCCCTGGGGAGCGAGAGCCCTCACTGATGCCAGACAGCATGGGTCTGAATCCTTGCTCCGCCCCTGACCAGCTCTGAGACCTTAGCAAAGTACTCGACCTGGCCAGCCCTCTGTTTTTTCCTGTGTAAGATGGGGATGGTCAGCACAGCTTCTTCATGGAGTTGCTGGGCAGATTAAATAAGGTGCCACAGAGAACTTAGAACAGCACGTGGTCAGCATCCACATGATAACTCAACCAGTGAATTATTTGTGCCACCATCATCAGCATTGTCATCAATGAGGTCTCTGGTACAGCCGCTGGCAGGAATAGCCATCATCCTCTTCCTCTCTTAACTGTCAGCCCAACTGGCCTGGTCTTAGTCACAGTACAGTAGGTATCAGTTAACCTGGGTGGGAATTCTGGGTAAGCCAGGTGAGCTTGTTGAGCCTCGGTTTCCTCATCTGGACATCTGAGGTTATCAGAGAAGCTGCTCTGTCTGCGGACCTGAGTTTTGGGGTGGTTTGCTGACCTCTCTGTATCATCAGCGTTGCCATTAAGAAAGCATGGGCACCTGGCCCTCTGCTTTGTGCACCGCACAGGCCCTGTGGGGAACACGAGGGGCAGGGGACACAAAGGCACTTTGTGACCCGCACACTGCTGTGTCTGTCTGAGGACTTACCATCACACCTGGGGCAGAGCCTGCGGGGCACAAAGCTAGCAGACCACGAGGTTGGGCTGAAGCATCTGTTCAGGCCCCTTTGCCTCTTTGTGCTACAGTATCTGTGATATGGGAATGACAGTGTCTAACTCTGCCCTACAGCTCGGGATGTGCTGGACAAATGGGTTACTTGAATGAAAGAGCCTCAAGGGCTCTGGGAAAGCAAGGAAGAGATCCAGGGTGATATGAATCACGCTTTTTTTTGGTTGCTTTTATGACTCAGGTTTCCCTCTAGGACGCCTTCCTGACCCAGTCATGCTTAGAACTGCCTCTCCTCTCACACCACCAGCTGGCGTGTGCTTGGAAAGAAGCGAATTACACTAGTACTAAGGTAAGCCAAAAATGGAAAGCAGTAGAGTGGTAGCCTTGCACGCTGCCCCCACCACAAGGACAATGGAGCCACTGAATACATTCTAAGCCACATTAGGTTTCGCAGGGCCTCTGCTCTGGGCAGTTCGTCACCTTTCCTATCCTGAACACCTGAGAGTTACCTGGGTGGCTCCTAGAACAGGGCTGTGTTGAGAACTGGGAGGACGGAGTTAGGGAATCTAGGAGCCAAAGGGCAGGAATCCCTAGGAACTACGTGCTAAAGTGAAGCTTGTGATTATCATGGAGGAAGAATGGGATACAGAACAGGATCTTCCCTTCGTTGTCCCTCGTTGGGGAGCAGAGCTCACTCATTGCCCAGGCAGCAAACCCAGTGGAGCTCAAGGCTCCCAGTGGACCTTGGAGGGAAGTGGAGCTAACAGGACCCAGGAAAGCCAACCCTGTTCATTCAGTGCCCATGACCATGGCATGGGGGTTTGCTTGTTCACTAACAGGTTCCCCGGGTGGGTCTTGCATCCCTGCTGCCCTGCTGCCGGGACCACCATCCTGACCCGAGAGGTAAGAGCTATTTACAGCTTGCTAGAACTTCTACAATTCAATGTGGCATTGAGTCCCACGACCACCCTGGGAAGGTTCACTGCCAGCCCTTCCCTCAGGCTAAGGCTTCATGAGGCCAGGTTGGGGGTGAAGGGGTGACAGGGAAGCCAGGACTCAGACTCAGGGGACCCACTCTCTTTCCATGATCCAGGAAGGAGGCGAGATCTAGAGCCCGAAAAAGCTGCTCAAAAAGCGTGTCTGAGGAAGGGAAGGTGAAGAGGAAAGGAGAAATAGATTGGCAAAACAATGAAAACTGTCCCACAGTGGGCCCTGTTCCGGTCACTGTCTCACATGGACGTGAGATTCAGAGACAAGAAGATGTAGGTCGCTCAAAGCATACACCTGGCATCCGAGTCAGCTGTGACTAGGCCCTGGGGTGGCATTGGGGGTGGGCTAGCGGCTTTCTGTGTCCCACAGGCAGAGATACCCCCAAGGGGGCCCTTCTAGTCCAGTCTTTGACCCTTTGCCCCTACCCAAGACCATCCCCCAGCTGTCAGCCATAAATCCCAATCCAGACCAAGCCCTTACACAGGTCCCCAGAAGGACTGTGCTGCTCACCCAGCCACGTTTCCCGCCACAGCCTGGTTCAGGAAGGCTCCGGGACTGCTTTCCTTCCCGGTGCCGACAGAGAAGCCCTTAAGGGAAGGGTTGAATTCCCGGAGGATGTCTGCAAATACAGGGAAGACAGTGTTTAGTATCCCCCAGAGCAATGTTCAGACTCCCTACACACCGGTGGATGCTCAGGACCAAGCAGAGCCCCACCCACAGCCCTTCCCGGAGCTGTTGGCTCAGCACAGAAACACTGTCACAGTTACTGACACTGAGTGCCGTCCCAGGGGCTTACTGGCCGCTTGTGCATCTTTTTTTTTTTTGAGAAATGTGGATTCAAATCCTTTGTCCATTAAAAAATTATAGTAAAATACACATAGTAAAACTTACCATCTTAACCATTTTTAAGGGTACAGTTCAGTGGTATTAAATATATTCATAATGTTGCCTTTGCCCATTTTTAATCAGGTTGTCTTTTTATTGCTAAGTTATAAGAAACCTTTATATTTTCTAGATACAAATTCCTTATCAAATATATAATTTGCAAATATTTTCTCCCTCTGTTTGGGTTGTCTTTTACTTTCTCTTGGTTGTCTTTTTCCTTTGAAACACCAAAGTGTTTAATGTTGTCCAATATATCTATTTTTCCTTTTGTCACTTGTGCTTTTTGCATCCTATCTAAGAAGGCTTTCTTTAACCTAGGGTCACAAAGATTTGCCCCTCTGTTTTCTTCTAGGAGTTTGTTTCAGCTCTCACAGTTAGGTCTATGTCTCATTTAGAGTTAATTTTTGTGCACGGTGTGAGGTAGGGGCCCGGCTCCACTCTGTGTATGTAGCTATCCAGTTGCCCGAGAACCATTTACTGAAAATATGATTCTTTCCCCATTGGATAGTCTCCACATGGGCTACGTGTGTTGGAAGAGTCCCCCTGAGGAGTGACTTTGTCTCAATCCTTTGTAAGTGACTTTGGTGAAAGATCATGAGCCCGTTGATTTTCAGTTATGTTATCCATGATAATAGCATGGTAATCAGAGAGCCCATGGTATTGTACAGGCTGGGCCAGCTCACAACCAGTCCATCACACTTACAAAATCAACCCAAACCATCTCTGAGCAATAGGGGAGTTTATTAATAGCTCTTGTGTGTAGACCTAGAAACAAAGAAGACGGGGAGTACTAGCACCCCAGAACTGTACCTACTTAAATTCAACAGGATTTGCAAAGAGCAAAAACAGATAATAAGCATGAAGTCCAATCAGCTCTGCCTGCGTGGAGATTAAGCAGTCTCTATCACCAGATTCTTAGTGAGTTAAAGCTCCAATAACCTCCTAGCTTCTAAAGATATACTACAAAGGAATAATTACAACAAGAATAATTGAGAATGGGACCGATGGAGTTCCTCTCAGGTGTAACTATTAGCCATAAGATTGTAAGGGGGAAGAAAGCACTTTTAACATTTATTGCATGTGTCGTTAAGAACAAGCACAGTGACGTGTGTGCACGGAGAAGAAAAAGGTGAATAAGACAGCTTTAAAAAATCATTCCAAGCAGTCACTCGGGCGAGGTAACTTCATCTTCACTGCTGCAACAGCAGCGCTTCCTAAAGCTGCACAGAGGAATTTAATGTCTTTGCCTGCAGTGCTGCCTAATGCAGCTCAAACCTCGCTCAATGCCTCTCAGTTAGGGAAAGGTGCTCTGCTCAGAATGACAGGCATAAATAGCAAAGAAGGGTTTCCTTTCCCTTCTTTCTTGAATCACGTCTTAATAATGACTTGTACTAAGATTTGACCTGAGATCTCTAAATACAACTTCAAAATTAAAAAAAAAAAAAAAAAAATCTCCCAGGCTTTTATCGCAGTGCGATCACATCAGGGAAGCAGCGCCCCCTGCCGAATGCGGCTGTCTCCTACCATTGGTTCCCTGCTAAGCCCAAGGCTGCCACCAGGGGGCGATGCAGAAACGCTCAGGGTCACTGGGAGCCCGCCCTGAAGCCCAAGTAAGAGCGTGGGGACTCACTGGCCAGGGTGGTGGTGGTGCTGAGGTTCCCATCTCCGCCGACGCTGGGTGGTGGGAACAAAAAAGAAAAGGAAGGTTGAAAATGCCAGCGACTCCGAAATATCTCAGACACTACCAAGACAGACGTTTCTGTTTCTGAGAAACACCCTGGGGGCTTGGAGACTGACTTCGACTTAGGATTTCAGTAACACCCTTGAAAAACAAACCAGAATACAGCAATTCCTCTCCTCTCTCCCCACACACCCAAACATCCAAACAAGAAGTGGTCATGGCTGACTTTGTTGATTTATAACTTTGAGTGGTGACCTTGGGGCAGGGGTGAATTGCACAGCGGGCCCTCTTCTTCCCAGCCTCCAAGGGGAAAGAGGCCTTCCTTGCAGTCAGAGCCCCCTCTCGCCCACCAGCCACCGCAGCTGTGCGTTGCTGTTATCACTGACAACACAGTGAAACGGGAGGCCCCCATCGCTCTTTTCCTCTTCCCCTTGGCCAGACCAATTTTGCAAGGGTATTTTTTTGAGAGCAACCCATCTTCCAAGCCACTTCTAAAACTCCAAGGAAATCAAAGTTGGATGGGTTTCTAGGCATGAAAACATATAACATTCCAGAGTTTATTGAATCCCTTGATTTTCCATATTCCTTCATTCTCTGCCAAATATGTCTGGGAACATTTTCAAGGTTCTCAAAGTATTTGGGGTTTAACCCTGTGCAGCATCAGGAGGGGAGATGCCAGGGATTCAACACTCGGCTGGCGCCAGAGATGCTGGAATCTAGGCTGAGGAAGCCCCGAACCTAGAGGTGTGAAGTGGTTTGGGGAAGCTGATTAATACCGTCCTCATATTAAACCTAGAAGTTTCTCATGACAAGTACTGGGTGGCTCATCCCTCTGCTGCAGGAATGGTTTGTGACGATGCCCAGGGGTCCTCCCAGCCCTGCCATGCATGGGTCTCCTTTGGGGCCACACCGTCACTCACCTCCAGGACAGACCTCGATACTGAGTGTAGACGTCCAAGATGTCCCCAGGCTTGGACCCGGCCCCATTGCCTGCCTGAGAGAGAGCAACAAGGCAGTGAGTTTCCCTGCCCGCCGGCCAGGGGGGCCGCACCTTGTTCTGGCCGGGGTCGCCGGGGCGCTCTCCAGAGTCCAGATGGCACCCTTTTCAGAGATGGGTGACAGCTCCTGCTGGGAATCCTGGCCTGGCCACTGTTTGGCTCAGCCTGAGAAACCCTGCTCAGACCCAGCTCAGGTGACGCCGGTCTAGAGAGAGTGCTGTGAAGATTAGGCTGCCGGGTCCATTCTCCAGAGGGCACATTTCAGGGCCCAGTTTCCTTCACTTGTAAAAAGCTGTGAAATCTCTCATAAAGGCAAGCGTAGCACAATCCTTTTGCATCACTCTGTCTCACACATGGGCAATGTAAAGGGCAGCCAGCAAATGACAGGCCACGCAGCTATCCCGCAGCTGACGAAAGAGTGGGGTCTTTAATCCACACTCTGGGCGAGCCCTGCGGGTGCACAGCCCTGGCTGAAAGCGTGTTATTTCTGGGCAGGGCCATGCCGAAGGGCACGAGAGCCAGCCCCCAGGGTGTGATCCCTGCTCTGGCGCCCAGGTCCTCTGCCACCTGCCACGTTCACCACACTCAATGCGCTGCCTTCCCAGGAAATGCTCAACAGCTGTGCTGATTCTTGCTGACTTCTTATTCCCAGAGCATCTTCAAAGAGCCAAGTGGGGCAGAGGAGTTGGGGGGATATCGTGGAGGTGAGGATATTGGGCCATACCTGGCAGGCAGTGCTTGGGGCAGGCAGTGCTAAGAACCAGCTTGCCTGTCCCTCCCTGGGGGTTGGGAGTAGCGGGGCCTTTGGAGTAAAGAGTCCCTGAGGGCTCGGGAGGAGACCAGCTGCAGCACAGGGACAGAATTCTGGACTGGGAGGCAGGACCCGTGAGTTCTGGTCCTGGCCCAGCACTTACAAACCGTGTGGCCGTGGACAATGACTTTTTGTCACTCAGCATCACCTTCTTTATTGGTTAAGTTTAAGGAGTGTCAGACTTCAGGGGGCTTTGTTGAGGACATTGAGTGAGATAATAACATCAGTGCGAACAGGCCGAAGACATGAAGGGTGTCTGCTGGTCTTGGGGGACGTTCAGCTGAAGGCCCCGGGGGCTACTTCTGGCAGCAGGACTTGCCTGCAAGGAGCTGCTGTCCAACACAAGTTTCTGTTTGGGACCCTCTGGGACACCCCAGCCAGGCCCTCTGAGGCCTGATGGGGCTTTTCACAGATGGCTCTTTGTAGGACAGAGTTCTTTGTAGGTCTGAGGTGTCACCAGGGAGAGGCTGCAGAGATGGACTGGGGTCATTTTTAGGAGCTTTAACGCTCCCAGGACCCGTTTTCTCACATCCCCACCCGCAGGTGCTCCTGTCTCATCATCTGTTTGCCTCTCCCTCAACTTTCCCACATAGACAAACACAGCACCAGGATTTTGAGAGGGAACTGCTCCGTGGGTGGGAGACCCATGTGGGTGGGAGATTAGGTCTAATCTAGCTACGCTGCGTGATTTGCACTGGGTCACTTCCATCATGGGGCTCCCATTGGAACCCCCCACTTCCTGCTTCTCATTTATTCCAGCACTGGAAGAGGAATGACGAGTTTAGAGTGAAGGTAAGATGCACAAGGAATGCCAGACCCCAAGGTGGGTGGGGGGTGGACAGTGAAGGAAGATCAGGGCCCAAGATGGCAACACTTAAGAGCCAGGCACGAAGTTCCCTCTCCCCAGGCTCTAGCGTGAATCCAGAGGAGCCCCTCCCCTGCCCCTCCTTGTACAGTCAGGGTGACTCACCGTGAGAGAGTCCCCCAGGGCGCCGATCACCTTGATGTCTGCGGCCTTCAGCCTGTGAACTGAGAACCAGAAGGAGTGAATGGAAGAGCAAGGCACCTATGTCCTCTGAAAACGTGAAGCTCGATCTCCCAGATCGACCATTATCTGAGTCACTAACAGCAACTCAGTGAGGACGACGACAGTAAGAGCCCGTCCTCGTCACAAGGCTCAGAGCAGCGGCCCTGGAGCCTGACTGCCGGTCTCCTCCACGGGAGGCCTGCGCCCGGGGCTCAGGGCTGGCGGGTGACCAGCTTTCTGAGGGGAGCCTGCGGGCTTTCAGTGACCCTGATGCCGCAGGGCGCGCAGTCCTCCTCAGGGCGTGACACAGCCCACTGCCAGTGCCTGATTTCCCCCAGGATCTGGTCGTATTTGGGATACAGTGTCTCGTCCTACTGCAAAAATTAGCTCAGCTTCTCTACAGTGCAAAGGGAAACGCCTTCATATCACTATTTTTCAAAATCCAGGTGAAATTCATTAGACATAAAACGAACCGTTTTAGAGCCAACAGCCCTGTGGCATTTAGTGCTGAATTTGCGGCCGCCACCTCTGTTAGTTTGGAGACATTTCCTCTACCCTCAGATGAGACAGGCCCCCCCACACACACAGCTACTCCTCATTTCTTCCTGTCCCCCAGTCCCTGGCAACCGCCAATCTGCTCCTGGCCATGGATTTACCTATTCTGGACATTTCACACAGACCCTGTCAGTACAATGTATGACCCTTCGTGTCTGGCTTCTTCCCCGTGTGCAGTATTTTCAAGATTTGCCTGTGCTTTGGCGTGCATCAGTGCATCCTGCCATTTATGGCCGAGTGGCATTTAGTCACACAGATTTGCGACACTGAGGGACACTTGGGTGTCCACCTTCGGCTGTTCTGAATAGTTCTGCTCTGAACGTTCATGTACGGAACGTGGGTGTTTATTCCCATGCCTGTGTTCCGTTATCTGGGGATACACCTAGGAGTGAAAGGGGGGGGGTCCTCTGATAATCCCACGTTTAGCGTTTTGAGGAGCCGCGGACTGTTCCCCACAGCCCGACTCTGTGCTTTCTCTCTCCAGTTACGCACACGCTGTGGTGTGGCCGAGCAGCTGTCCACTCACAGGACAAACACATTCCACCCCAGGCAGTGGCGGGGTGCAGGGGCTGCTCGGTGACCGGAAGTGTCAAATGCCCCCGAGGACCTCGCGGGCTAAGGAGGCCGTGGGAAACATCCCTAAGTTATAATACAGACTCTGGGAAGTGTGAAGTGGTGTGCAGTTCTGGGGCTGGGGGCTGGTCTCCCCTAGGACTGTGGTGGGGGTGGGTCAGACCAGGCTTCATGGAAGAGGCGGAGTTTGAACTCAGCCTCAGGACACTCTGAGGTACAGGTGGTGGGAGGGAGAGCGTCAAGGTCAGATGCGGGTAGCAAAGCGTCTGACATCTGTGAGGAGCAGACCGTTGTACGGTTCAGCTTCAGGGACGGGTAATGAAGGAGACTAACAAAAATAACGTTGAAAAGTAGGTTGGGGCCACAGGTCTCTTGTGCCTGGCGAACATGAATATTGCTATGCAGGGTGGGGCAAAAGTAGGTTTACGGTTGCTGGTATGGAGAATAATACAATAATGAATCACATAAGAATAAATTCTGTGTTTTGTGTACTCCCCACTGTAAACCTACTTTTGGCCCACCCTGTATGTGTGTGTGTATGATATATATGTGTGTGTGTGTGTGTGTGTGTGTGTGTGTATACGGCTACACTGTATTTATCTACCTGAGTGCATTTTGGGGACCACACCTCAGAGTCTTTCTGCCGTGTGTGGCTCTGCCCCTCACATCACAGGCCCACGTCTCCCTCCCCCACCCCTCCCCCTCCCTCCCAGTGCCTTGCTGCTGCAGTCACCCCGTCTCCCCATAGCTCCACTTTCTGCCTCATGTGCCCCTGTCTCCAGGGCTGCAATGCTGAACTGGACTGTGCACTAGTTTCCAGGCCTTGGGAGGAGTCGAACGCATCATTTGTACCAGGGAGCGGCCCACTCCCAGAGGAAAGAAGCCCACCCTTTCAGTCGGCCTTTGCCGAAGATGGAGAAACTGAAACTTGGGTGCGAGGAGGCTTTCTCGGCCCCACTTGTTCGCCAACTCCCTCCATAAACACGCAGTGACACACAGAGGCCAAGAGGCTTTCGACATGTCTTGACTCCCTATAGCCCGCTCTACTCCTCAACCTCCAAATCGGGCTTGTATAATTATGCCTGTGGAGGGAGCTGGATTGGCACGGAGGGCGGACCGTGTCTTGTTTCCCTCCATGGAGACACCTTGTCTACCTGACTTCCACGCTGTTTGCAGATGGGGAACCACTGCCCCCTGAGGAATTGCTCTCATTGGAAAAGTGAAAGTCCCTGCCCCTTCCTACCACAGTGTGCAAACTAACACATACAGGGGTGTGAATGAGCACATGCAAAATATGTAGGTCTGTGGTCCTCAGATTTGAGCACACATCAGGATCATCTGGAGAGCTGGTTAAGTCACAGGTGGCTGGTCCCCACCCTCAGAACTTGGGATTTAGTCGGTCTGCAGTGGGCCCAAGGACACGTGGTTAGAACAATTTCTAGTCACAAAGCCAGCTGTACACATTAGCACACATCCACAAGGCTGAGCCCAAGAACTTTAAAATGACCCCTTCTAAAAGAAATCAGACTGTCTTTTCTTTCAGAAAGACTTTTCAGAAAGTCTTTTCAGAGAGTCTTTTCTATCAGAAAGACTTTTCTTTCTGTTAAAGAAAAGGGGGGGAAAAGGCTACCAAGATCACCTCCCCCCAACTCTAGAGGGTTCATTTTAGCTCCTGGTGATGACAATCAATCACCATATTCTTGTTGCCATGATGTATACTGCAGTGAATTCTGTGACCGCTCTAGGGTGTAAAGGTTAGTGGAAGTCTTTGGGGTTGACAAATGTGGAATGATTGGATATATTTGCATCAAAAGCACATTATGTTTTAATCAAGAGGCAGCTGCAACTAGCTATTCCTGTCCCCAAAATTTGTAGCAGACAGAAAACACACACGGGCATGCATGTATCTATATATGTGCATATGTGTAGAGAGACTGGGTGATGTGGGGCCGGGGAGGGGGTTTCTCCTGTTGGTCATTCTAAGGGGTTTCCTGCAGGAGATAATAAACCAAATGAGCCAAGACTAGATAGGAGGAGTTTGACTTATCTGGAATTTTATGAAGATAGCACCCAGCACATATCATCAGTTTTACATCTATAGACCTTGATTTGAGCCTTGTTAATATCACCCTATATGACAAAGTCACAGCTTGGAAACACAGCAGAGCACTTTAGCAATTGCTCTCCTTGGGGAAAGAACTATTTAGAGATAAGATTAAATTTGCGTGTGCTGATTAGCTAAACATTATCTGGTACAAGCTGTGCACTACCTTGAAAGAAATTGATAAACATATCATTAAATCATCAAGATTTCTTCAGAGGGGACCTCTTATCAGAAGGCCACCTAAATGATGATGCAACACCACGCAAAGGGGAGACAAATGTAGAGAACTGGGGAAACAGCTCTCTGCACATGAAGAGAGGTGCCCAAGAGAAAGACTTGGCACTTTGGAGTTTTGTCTTGTGTAATCTAGCAACTTAAACTACTTGGGTCCATAATCTGAACCCCAGCTTTCTCTTGATTGCTAGCTAGGGATGCCCAACCCATAAGCTGTCTGGTTTTAGGGACCTAGGAAAAGATGTCTTTAAGGGTGGTGAACTGCTGGCCCGAGGCTTTCTTGTTTCCGCCTTTGGAGTGCTCTTGGTGTGAGTTTATACAAAACGCATGTGCCTTGCACAGTGGGAACTCAAGAAATGTGTTGAAGTAAATGACGGGCTAAGTGAGAGACCTGACGGCTTTCCAAGCCCAAAGGGATGGAAACTGCAGGGAAGGGAAACACTGAATTCACCCAGACATCCTGGGGTGAGTTTGAACTTGCTTAGCAGGCTGGTCCACCTAGGGACAGGCAGGCTGTTCCGTCCTGTGGGGCATCGTACTTCCTAGTCACAGGCTAGGTCGAGCTGCCAGACCCATGAGCACGGGTATCTATAGAAACAGTTCAGTGCCCGTCACACTGCTGGCTCATGATGACGTGAAGCCCTCGGGGATCACGCAGGGCTGTAACTGGGTGCATTTTCATATCAGCATCTGAGTGCTTCATTTCAGCCAAATGGGCAAAATAAATGATTTCAGGGACTGAGGAATCAATGGCTTAAATGAATGCACTGTTCTGATTCACACTCTCGGTTACAGTAGCAGATAGTATAATTATAATTATAATAATTAGCTTATGGGATCCCTATGTTCGAATACTAAGACAACCAGCTTCAATAGACAGCCGATGAACCATGTGCCCTCTGGCTTCAGATTATTCCCACTCTTGCTTGCAAAGTGCTGCTCCTTTCCTCACTGGGAAGGCATTAAGTCAGCTGCTAGGCCCCCCCAATTTTTTTAAGTTATCCCAGTTATGTTAGGGATAGGGCCATGGGGTGATATAGAATGATACAAGTATTTATGGAGTTATAAAGGCCACGGGAGAAAGTGCCTGGCACACTGCACTGTGTGAACTGGAGGGGAAAAGTAGAGGCTTGTATTCATTCACTGGCTACCAAATGCCCAATTGGTTAAAATTACCAACCCTGTATCTCTCACCAAAGCCCCACGGATCAGTGGTTTATCACCTGTGAGCTCCAATAGAAGGAGAGTTCGGAGGCAGCCTGGCCACCAGCATCCCTGGCCTGTGGAGGAAGGCAGCATCTTGTTTGGAAACACCACTTTGGTTGGCTAGTCACATGTCTGTGCACTGGTTTCGGAGAAACACTAGTAAAGGGGGCTAACGAAGGTTTCTGGAAGTAACTCTGAAGGCAAAACAGTTATTTATAAGAAAAATGGTTTGACAGAAGACACTTTGGTCTAAGTGGCTTTGAAAGTCTTTTCGACCATAAAAATGGTTGATTTGCTGAGTCAGAAATATTTGAGGATTCAGATTAGTTCAGCAAACAGGTATAGGCCCTGAGCAGGTGCTGAGTCACTGGGGATATAAAGATAAGATAATCTGTTAAGTACATATCTGATGTCTGCATCTCCACCAGGAATTGCAAACATGATCTCCAGACGAGTCAACGACCTCACCAGAAATGCGATCATTATCACGAGCAAATAACAATGTACCCTGTGCTGTGGCCTGTTCTAAGTCCTTTTCCCTGCCCCCACGGCCACGGTCACAAGTATGTTTAAAATGTCAATCATAGATCATGCACAGTGTTTCTCACTACTGTCCTTAGTGGTGGCCACTTGTCCAAATGACACTTCCCAGGTGGGACTCAGACATGCAGGCCCAGGCCATTCAGTGAGTGTGGCCGCACAGCTGGAGAGAGAGGGTGCGGGCCCCGTGTACACACAGGGTAGATCGGGCAGGCCTAAATCTACCCATCTGCACATTCAAACAGCTCCTTATCTCCAGAGTATCTCAGATCTCAAGGCCGTGAGATTTCTGGCACTTCCATGTTCACGTGCCAATAAGCAACAATCTTCGGGGTCAGGGGATGAAGAAGAGGTTCATATTTTATTTGGCTTTCAGATGCTGAGATATGCTCTCGTGGACTGGCTGGCCGTCATTGCTACAGCAGGAGCGTAATCTAGACAGGTTGCGAAATGCTTTATAGATCACTCTCCCAGGAAGATAAGATTAAAAAGAGGCTGGGTGCTATTTTACTGCAAAGACTACAGCTATTAAAACACAGACATTTTCCCTCTGCTCTTCTTTCTCTATACATGGACACATACATATATTACATATACCTTTGCATTTTTGCTATAGGAGGGCCTGTGTATGAAGCTAATAATTGATCTGTGCTGATAAAATCCTCCTAGTAAACTAACCAATAGGAGTGGGTGTCGCCAAGTATGTGTGTGTGGGGGAGAGTTGAAGACTAAAAGTGTTCAAGTGTGTGTGTGTGTAAGCTCTCAATGATATATTCCTTTAATCTGCAGTTTAGGACAAGGGCCAGTTATACACCAAAGTCTGGGGGAGATTTTTAGCTCCCCACTCATTTGGCTTAATGAGGGTGTGTAGGGCTGAGACATGGCTGAGGGACAGGCTAATGGCCAGGGCGTTTGTGTGCTCTGCTAACCCTCAGCAAAAGGGAGCAATCTGAGGACAAGGGTCTGCATCGCTGAAGATTCCTGCTGGGCACTGCCGCATCTAATTTTCAATCCTGGAAGGCCCGTGGGAGGCACTCAGCAAGCACCGGTCAATGAACGCACAAGTGAACAAATCACTGAGCGAACGAGCCTCCCTCCAGGACCCCACCTCACTGCTGCGGAAATGCTCCCGGCTGCCTGTGAGTCCCCACGCACGAGTGCCCGGCCCCCACCCCGCCTGTGAGCGAGGCGCACCGCCATGCCTCCCAGACCAGCTGGCCTGGAGGAAGAGGCTCAGCCCACAGGCAGCCCCCTTCTGACATGGTCTCCACCTAGAACATTCCATGCCTCTCCTCTTCAGGGTCCAACACCATGGACTTTGGAAACACTGAGCAACAGTAGAAACAGCACATTTCTAAGACAGCGTGCCCTCCTGTCCACATGGGGTTTCAGGGTGCCCTGCAAAGGTCTCTGACAGGGCGTGTGGACTGGTTATATTTGCTTCCGGCTTCAAGACAGTCTTGCTTTTTGAGAACAAATTCACCTCATCAAGGCTTAAAGGCAGGGACAATGACATGAGCTGTCTCTTTGCAGAGCATGGCCTGGCACCCAGTTAATGCTTTAATAAATTCTTGCTGGTAACGTTATCCTATCTTATGTATCATATCGCAGCATACCATGTCATCTCCTATTTGTTATAGAATACCCAAACACAGGCATGAACTTACAGATGTACAGGCATACCTCAGATACAGCAGGTTTGGTTCCAGACCATGACAACAGAGTGTCACAATAAAGTGACTCATAACCTTTTTTGCTAGAGGAGGGTATTGCCTTTGATTTGTTAAAAAAAAAAAAAAAAAAGCAACGTTTGTGAAGCACAGTAGAACAAGGCCTGTGCACACAGAACTGGTTCTCCTGCCCGTCGCAATCCCTCTCAGTGAACCTTGGATTGTGTGGAAAGCCCTCATCATGCTGTGGTTGCTTTGACTTTGGTGAGTTCAGGTCTCAAAAGAGTTTTAAAATCCCTTGACTCAAGCCCTGTACCTGAGGTGGGAATGGTGTCGGAGGGATCCTTGTCACGGCACCTGATTTCCGTTCCGTCTCTCACCTGGAATGAGATGCACAGAGAGATAAGGAGAAATGGAACGTGAAACTGGGTGAGAAGTGGGGTCTCTACTTTGGAAAATGTCACGTAATATAGCAACCCGAGTGTCTTTTACCATTTCTCCCTCTCCTGCAACGCTCGCACTTGGGTGTCCACGGCATCGTCTCCAAGCGCTCCCAGCCCTGCCCCCTTCTCTGGTCCCTCCACCTCCGCCTCCACCTCCGCCCAGGCCTCCGGTGCTTCCTGCCCAGAATATGGCGGCATTCGCAGCAACACCACCTTCAGTCCCCTGGGCTTCCTCCCCAGCTTCTAGTCCACCCAGAGGGGCCTCTCTCTCCCAATACAATGGCACTATGTCACTGCTCTGCTCAACTTCTCAGGGAAAGCAGGGCTGTTTGTCTGTTTGGGGTACTGGCTGTTCCCCCAGAGTTAGATGCTCTGACTTTGTGCCCCCTGAACACCCCATGGGAACCTGAATTACAGAACTTATTCTGCTGCACAGCAATTGCTGGTTGACTCCACTAGACTGAGTTCCTGAGGACAAGCAAGTATTTTATTGACGTTTTTACCTCCCATGCCTGGTATCCATTCATCCACTCACCCACCCAGCTATCTAGTCACTCAACAAATAATGACCAGGTAGTTGCTCCGAGTGCCCGCCCTCACTGGCCTTGAGTCCCAGCGACACAGAGCAGGTAGGTCATCAACTGCTGTACCCGCAGGAATGTATCGCTCCCTGTGACCAGACGATAGTAATAGCAACACTCATAACAGAACTCACAGCACGCCAGACACTGCTGCAGGTGCTACCTGCTTGTTATTTACCATGATTTATAACAGCTCCGTGAGGCAGGACCGTGACTCTCGGCACTGCCCATGGAAAATCAACAAGGCACAGTGGCCAGTGAGCGGGAGAGCATGGATTTGAACCCAGAGCCAGTCCTCTCCCCTCCTGGTGCCATGCTGCCCCTCCGGTGTGTCCTCACTGCTGTGGTATCAGGAAGAGTGAGGCCAGCTGGTGAAGGAGAGTGGGTTCCGCACTGCATTTCCTGGGCTGTGTGTGGCAGGCCCAGGTCACCGGCGCTGCCTCCACCTGCAGTAACACTCACCCTCTTTCATACAACAAGGCGGCACGGATGGCGCTAGGCCAAATTTGTCATAACCCATGTCAGTCCCCAATCCTTGGAGAACAAGGACACCAACCTGCGAGTGTCTCTCTTGGAGCAGTGCAAGGCACCCTGTCTAATCTTAGCAGGAAGTCTCAGAAAGAGTCATGAGAAAAGCAAGAAGCAAGACGTAAGTGTAAGGTGGCCCCTGAGGTGTGGGCCAATTTCTGGGGACTTTTGTTCTCTACACTGTCTGGTTTCACCATATTTCTTGGCTTCTTCTTGACTTTCCCTTCAGATTAAGGCCTCGGCCAAGTTTAAAAGGACTTGTCCAAGGTTTGGGAAGGGCCCGAAAAACCCTGCCTTCTAGCAGAGTAGACAGGCAGCAGGCAGAGCCGAGCGCCCAGCACTCTCCATGAAGCGGTGGGGAACGGTTGCCAGGCTGGTCTCGAGACAGAGCCATAGGGAAGACCTGCTTCAAGTACCGAGCAGACGGCCACACACCTGCTCTGTCACCCGTCCCAGCCTGCCCATGGGGTTCCTGGACATAAAGAACCACATGGAAGCTTCCACGGACTCAGCAAGGTGTATGGCCCCCTGGTTCACTCCCGCATGCACCGACAACAGAAAACCTCTCCGTACCTCTGACTTCTCACGGAGATTCGTCAGCGTGGGCAGGTAGTTGCTGTTTCTGTAGGTGAACAGATAGGGGTTTTCCTGCAGAGAAAAAAGTAAGGTGTTGTAACCATGACCCAGAAATCTGTGCCCTTTCATCCTCGGGCTTCGTCATCCAGAATGAAGCTTTGGCCAGTGTGGAAAGTTCACACCGTCATTCAGGTGAAAGCCACTCTCTGGCTTCGCTTCTCTGTCCCACTCAGGGGTTCCCTGAAGGAGCCCACTAATGCTTTCAAATTTCCCAGGTGCGACAGTCATCATCTCTTGCTCTCTACCTGGAGGTGGGCAGCAAGGTACATATATTTCCATGAAAGAAGAACTTAATTGTAAGCTTCCTGGCAGCCAAAGTGAAGGCAGAAACAGGGTGAATGATATAGTTCTTACAGCCTAGTAACAAAAAACTTACGACTCATCGATAAAGCCAAAACGTTGACTACCATTAAGTGGTGAAAGGAATTCTACTCATTTATGTTATTTTCTCATTTGCTTATTCAGCAACTTTAATTATATCCCTATTACATATTTGGCACTTACTTAAGAAATCCACCTGCACATTTGGGACAGTTGGTGCTAGGTGAGATACCGTCTTGTCCCTCCTATGCCTCCATAGGTGTGGAAGGAGCCATAATGCTACTAAAACGGCTCAATTCTGCTACAACAGTTAAATTTTATAAGGCTTAGGTGTACCGAGTATGCAAAGCTGGGACCAGACCCAGAAAAACAGACCCAGGATTCTATGGTGGCTCATGTCTCAGCCAGATAAGCCCTCACTTCACCGCAAAGCCCTCTTGGTGACCCCATTTCTCTCCCAATTCAGTGGTAGACGCCCTCCCCTCGCCTGGCCTGGCCTACCTGAGAGGGACATTTCATCAGCCTTCTCTCATTTGCGTGGAATGGCTCATCTTTCTGTCCTGCTGGCTGCATCTATAAAAGAAAGTGATCTCTAGAACACGTTGTGCACGGGTGGCAGCAATCCAGGTGCTGCCAAGAAAGACTCATGGTCCAATGTCTCTCCGAGTTTGACCATGGACCAGCAGCCCCAGAGTCACCTGGGAATGCATCAGCAAGGCAGACTCCCAGCTCCCATCCCAACCTGAGTCGGGAACCGTGGGGTGCGGTCCGGCTGTCGGCATTTCAACAGGCCCTTCCCGGCAATCTGGTGCACGCTCGAGCTGAGGCTCAGGGCGCGCGAGGAATCATGGATTCCTAGCCCACGTCCCCTGATGTCACAGGAAACACTGAACACCAGGGAGGCCATGCTGGGACTAGGACATCGGGTCTTACTGCAACCACACGTCTCTCAGTGGGTGCACGGCTTCCTGTGTCTATCGATTCAGGAATGACTGGCGGTGGCACCAGCTCTGCCCCGGGCAGCCGCTGAAATGATAACCAAAGCCCATCTAACAGCCTGGACAAAAAGTTCACGGTGAAGCCACAGGCGGAAGCACCGGGGCGGGGAGGGGAAGCAAGGGTGGTGAAGAACTAGATGTGGAAGCAAGTTTTTAAAAGTGCCTTCTGTTATTTCTACACGCCCGTTCTATGTGTGTAAACACTTAAAAGAAAAAGGCAGCGGCCTTGAGACGTCACGGGTTTTCTTCTGCACATTGAGCTTCCACCACTGGAGGATCGTTTAACACTTTTGTGCAGGGGGTGGTTAGAAATTATCAGAAACTATCGAGGAGAAGGCGGAAAGGCTCACAACTGCCGTCAGTGCTACCTCCCCCTGCGGCATCCAGGCTCCTACAGTACTTTTGTCCCTTGTCATCCCAAGGACCTTGACAGGGGACACGAGAGACAGGAGGCTCCAGGGTGCAGTACTGTGTGTGGCTCCGTTGCGGGCTCTGCCACCCTCCGGGAGAATTCGAGAGTCTTGGGCAACATCTTATCCCAGAATCTTTGCCCACAAAGCAAGAAGCAGGAAAAGAACTTTACCCTTAGAGGAGTGGCAACCCTTTAGCTCAAGGGCTGGAGGAGGAGCTAAGGCCCCCTTTTCAGTTTTATTCTGATGGTGGACACTCCTAGAAATGGGAGGGGAGGGCCACCCAGAGTGGCCAGACCTGCTGGCAAAGGGAGTGTCGAGTGGGCCTGGGCCGGTGGCCAGATGTCAATCTGGCCTGCTTCCTTCTCTCCAATCTTTCAAATATGTAATCAGTAACAGGATCTGGAAAGAGCCACATCTTCGTGGTTCTGGTAGAATGGACATAGCAAGCCTGTTTGTTACAGACCTCAAAGAAGGGAAATTCAGAAGTTTTCCCAACAAGCCCTGAAGAACCTTGTCCTGAACATCACTCTCAGTCACCTGCATTACCCTTCCTGCTTCCACTCACTTCCTTTCCACCCGCTCTGGCCCTCGTCCTCAAGGGGAGAGTGACCACCATTGTGTCCCTGCTCCTCCCGCCCCCTGCGGGCACACGAATGCATGCCTGCACCAGGCACACCCGGCGCTGGTATCTTTCGTGGCTCATGTCCCCTCGGCACAGCTTCAAGGCCACCCTGACGTGACCTGGAGTGTGGCAGAGCAGGGCGACCTCAAACATTCTCTCCAAGGAAAATTTGCACGTGACTGTGAGCGGTTGCTGCAAGTTCCCACCTTGCCCTGAGGCTCCAGCCCCTTGCCCAGGGCTTGGTGCAAGGTGGGGGTCAGTGATGGCTGGAAGGACCTGGGAATTGAGCTCCCCCAAAGGTGATTTCCTTAAAACCACTGTGGGGGATCTAAACCTTATCAGAAAGTACTGAGGCAGAAATGGCCTAAGGAATAACTTATGTCCCCAACACAAGACCCGCCTCAGCTCTGTGCCAGGGGCTCAGCTTCAGTCTGGGGGTGCGTTCTGCTGGGACGACTCCAGGTGTGTGGGGTTCCTGTCACCGGTCACTGGCCCTCAGAGCTTATGCACGTGCTGGGGCTTGGCAGTGGGGGCTGGGAGGGAGCAGACACTGGTGTCGCCCTATGTAGCCACTCTGCTCCCCGGAGTCCTGGGCCCAGGGGGAGGAGAGGGGCACAGAACCTGGGCGCCTGTGGTCACGGCGGTTCTCCGGGTCCCGCTCCACTGCCCGCTCAGGTGGGGCTGTGTGCGTCTGTGAGCGTGGGCACGGGTGAACACGCCGACTGTTAGCTCCGTGCTCTCTGTGAAGCCCGACACAGCAGGGGCTCCAGGGGCGAAGGCAGACTCCTGGCCTCCCCGGGTCCCTGGGAGGAGCCAGGGTGAACCCAAGCCTGAACCACTCCCAAGGCCCTCAGAGACCGACTGAGGGTTATGACACCCTTAGGCAAGTAGGCAAGATGGACACCTGAAAAGGCCATGTGACTCACCTCAAAAAACAAACAAAAAGAACCCCAAAAGACACACCAGGGACGGGCCCTCCCTCTTTGCTGCCCTGGCTGCAGAAACCGAGGGAACTCTCACCGGGAAATGCCCGGTGGTGGGGAGACACGTCTGGGGAGAAAGGGGGGACTGCCCGTCCAGAAAAGCCGCCTCCGCCTCCTCAGAGCCCCTGTGACACCTACTGTGTCCCAGCTCTTTAGCCTGAGAACTCCTGTCCCCCGCTGCGCACGTGCTCACCCTCGTCCTCACTCTCAAGTGGGTTAGAGGACATTGCAGTGCTGGTTTGAACGGACAGGACATCACCTGGGCTCAATGAAGGCAGCTGTCACTGCTGCCACCACCACTGGCGATGCTCAACAGCAAGATGAAGGGGCAAAGACGGGCAGCGGGGCCCTGTCTCCCTCTTTGCCCTGCGGCTTCTGTCCGGCTCTCAAAGGGCTCCCTTTGCTCTCGGGGCCTCCTGGCCCTGCCTTCTCAGACCAGCTTCTGCTGCCTCCTGATAACAATGCATTTGGCCTCTTTGCCTCCAGGCTCTTCACTCACAGAGGTCTCTTACCTAGGAATGCCCACCCTGACCCTGTCTGGCACACCCTACAAAGCCAATGCAAATCCCACCACTGCGGGGCTGTCCTGACCTCTTGCCCGTATTGCATTTGGGTGCACAGTCCAGCAAATTGCTGCCGGCTGAGTTCAAGTTCACTCTTGTTCCTCTGAGTCGCCTGATCCTTCCAGCTCTACCCTAAGCTCAGTGAAAGCAAAGGCCACTTGGGGCGCGTTTATACCTTCCTCAGACCCAGCACAGGGCACACTGCAGGCTCCCTTCCATTGCCTGGGGGAGGGTGACAGAGGAGGGGAAGGAGATGGGTTCGGCTGAGCTGGAACACTCAGCCCTTCTCCCCCCGGCAGGAAGGTGAGAGGAGGGCAGCCCTGGCTGGAGGGGTTGAGTGCCTGTCTTCTGCCCTTGATCGGCAGCAAAGTGGTTTCCTGGGGGAAATATCCCACCTGGGGGCCTTAAAGGAGAGTGTGATTCCTTTGACTAGGGCCCCCTGAGGCCAGTCCCTGCCCCCCACCCTGTCCTGCCCTCTGGCTAACCCATGCTGAAACACAGCTGCCCCTTGTTCTCCGCGGAGCACTGATTTGAAAAGATGCAGGAAAAACTTTCTAAGCCAAGGAAGAAGAGGACCAAGTGTCTGTCACTGGCTGTCTAAAAACAGGGCGGCTTGGATGGGGAAAAATGAATGGTAAGATCAGGTGTCTGTCCGGTGCCCTGGAAAAGCTCAAAGTTTTAACATTCCACTCCATCCACTGACTGGTCACAGGAAGCCCTGGGGGGCCTTGGAGGTGTGGGCCAGACCTGTCACAGTGACAGGAAGAAGGGCCGACTCTGGGCCTGGAGTGAGCCACACACCTGCCAGTGCTCGGGCCAGGTGTTACAGCTGGGCTTTGTGGGGTCCCTAAATTCGCATGATTTGTGAGAGCCAGGATTCACATCTGAACCCAGGTCTTCGTCGCTTGAAAGCCCATGTTCATCCCAGGGACCAGACCGGGCCTTGAAACCACATGATGGCGCTCAAGTAGGACATGAGGGACAGCTGGCCTGGAGTTGCCACGTGATCTGTTCCCAGGGCCCCCCTCCAAGTGTAGTCTCCCCTGTGGACTCTGAGGCCACACCCCTGACTCTGGGGAGAGCGGGACTGAAGCCCAGGGACCCCTGTACACCACCGGGGCTGCGTTGCAGTTCTGAGACAAGGGGGTGAGACTCCCAGGTGGTCAGAGCTGGGCTGGCCCCAGATGTGGGGACGATGCCTGGTGCCATTGTCCAGGGATCCTGCTGGAGCCCCGCAGCCCCTCCATCAGAGCAGGGAGCAGAGGGGTGTGGTCAGCCCCTCCCCTCCTGTGGGCCAGGTCCCCAGGCTGACACTGCAGCCTCCCAGGGTCACCTGCAACTCACCATGCTGTTCCAGAGATTCAAGGCGAGTGTGGTGGCATCCTGGAGTGGCCACTCCTCCTGAAAGAGAACCAGATTAGAACCCCTGCGTGCCCCCAAACAGGGGGCGGACCTGCCACGCACTTTGAGGGTGTCCCTGGCAGAGACGAAGTGGTCCTGATCCATCCAGACTCTTTTCTCCCAGCCTCTTTCCACTCAGCAATGATACAGGACCACTGTCTGGGGTCAGGGCTTGCAGGAGCAGGTCGGACCCCCCATTATCACAGGGTTCTCCCTAACTGAACTAAACAGAAGCAGCAGTGACGGGGGAAGTGACTCATGTATGGTCAGAGTGGAGGGGGAGGGGAACTAATTTTCCTCCTCCTCCTTCTAAACCACTGTTAAATATCTCCTACATCCTGGAGAGGGCATGGTGACTCCAACATGCCAGAGACAGGGGCCTGGAGGGACCTGGGCAATGCCCTTTGCCCAGACACACAATGCTGAAGGCTCAGTGGCATCAGAGACCCCACAGAGCATGTGTTGACCGGCCGCCGTGTTCGTGGTCTGGGCAAAGGGCATTGGCCCAGGGACCTGGGGGGAGGGGGCAAGTCAACCCTCCCTTCCAGAAGGGAAGACTATAGAGAGCCGATAGCTGAAGGAGGGTGACATGCCCCTGCTAAAATTCTATCCTGAACAGTCACAACAGCTAAGAGGCACTGAGGACTTCCCAAGTCCCTGATGCCCATTCACTCATGCAATCTGACCCTCACCCGAGAGGGAGGGACTATTAGTAATGGCCCTGATTTCACAGATAAGGAACCAAGGCACAGAGAGCTCCAAGAACTTGCCCAAGGTCACACAGCTGTCCCATCTCAGAGCTAGCAGCCATCTGGCTCAAGCCCATGCTCCTGACTGCTGGGCCACTCTGCCTCTAAGAACCCACCTCAGGGGGCTCTCCCGCCCCGTGCGGAAGCGTCCGGGAAGCACGCTTCAATACCGCAGAGAATACCGCAGTATCTTCCCCCGGAGAGTGCGCTCGGTGGGCCCAGGGAGTCCCGGCTGGGTGGGAGGGGGAGAGGGTGTGGGCCAGGCTCCTGCGTCACCTCACTCACCGAGAGTGGAGACAGGGCTGTCTCGTAGAAGAAGGGCTGGAACACCACCGCGAAGGACTCCTGCTCGTTGTACTTGCTGGAGGCCAGCAGATGCTCCCAGCTTTCCTGGAGGGGAGAGCAGAGGTGTGATGCACCCAGGAGCTCAAGCAAGGCATAGCCTGCCCCGTCCTCCGACTGGGAGCTCCCGGTCACCCTCCGTCACAGCCGCCCACCACGCACTGACATGAACCAGCACCCGGGTGGGTCTGACACGTGTCCCCGGGGAGCTCAGGTAGCACACACCAGCGCGGCACGCAGCTGGGCACCCACGCTCTGTCCATGGCCGAGGGTGTGCCCGCAACAGATGCGCCACTAACAGCACAAAACATGTCACCTCTGGAGTGAGAGAAGTGCCACACAGCTTCGTATGTAACTTTCTTCTCAAACAAGAGTCATCGTGTCAACATGTGACAACAGGAACTGTGCTTTGAGCTGTGTGCTGACAGGGACGATGGCTCCCACTGAGCCAACCTCACCCTCTTGGGGGTCTTGTCTCTGAATCAGGAAGCACAGTGCTGGGGCCTCTGAGGTGCCCTTGGGCTGTCGTCTGGGGCTTGGCCCAGTTTAGGCAGAATCAGCTCAGTAGTCAGAGATGCGGCGGTACAAGCAGTGATGGTGATCAAAACCATTTCCAAACAAATCTGCCAAGTCCTTCACTATCTAAAGTACCACCCCTGCCCCCACCCCGGCCTGCCAGGATTGCTGTCCCCACTTTAGGCACCGAAAAATCAAGCCATCGCTGGGGAGTGCACTGAAGGCAGCTCTCTGGTTCCCGACTCCGTTGGAGAAGTCCTGTAGTCGCAGACTTATAACTTCATTGTCCCTATCGCCCCTGTTCTCCTCCAGGACCCCCTGCCCCTGCAAGCTGCCAGTCCCCCAGAGTGGGCTCACCTGGTAGGCCCACTGTGCCACAAGCTTGGACAGCTTCGAGGTGTCTCCTGAGCATGTACAGGGCTCTGCTGCAGGGCTGCGGGTTAAAAGAAGCCAGAAAAGAGAGCGTGGTTACAGTGGAGCTATGCGGGCCGCCCCACAGAGAAATAGGGGGCTGGGGCACCTTGGCGTTGTTCAGGGAGTGGGGAGAAGCAGGACATCTCAGAGGGTGCGGGGAAAGGAAGCCAGTCCATGTGGAAGAGGACAGAGTGCAAAGGCACATTGTGATCTGCTTGCCCCGAGGTCCCTCCATCGGGTGCGGAACGGATGTGGAGATGCGCTCCCTCTCACCCGGCCTCCTGCCACACCGGTCCCCCGCTGCCTCCTCACCAGAAGCCCACCTCCAACTCGCCTGCTCTGCGTGTCCTTTCTCTTCAGAACCCTCTCCCCTCTCCGCTCTGTCCTCTCCTTCCCGTTGCCCGCACCTCCAGCTGTCCCTGCCCTGGCTGTTGCCACATGGTCTTCTTTTCTGGGTACAAAGCCAGAAATCTTAGGATCTGGGTTCAAGGAGTTTAAATTCTATGACCAGTTTCAGAACTACATGGGGATTCAGTTCGGTGAAGGTAAGATACGTATAAGCTACATTTTTTGTTTGTTTGTTTCCAATTTCTAGAAGTATCACTTCTTGGCTTGTGGGTATTCTGCCAAACCTGCTTTTTAAACTCTCAAGTCATTCTGCTGGGAGCAGGCCATCTGTTTACATCACCCCGACTGAGTAGTTCATCCTTCGACTCAGTCCAGAACGATGTGTGATCTCGCGCACATGGTGGCTTAATCTCTCTCGTCCTCCCTCCTTTAAATCTCTCCCAGGACTGATGTGTGCGAAGTGCCCCACCCAGTGCCTGGCACACAGCAGCCTCTCAAGAACTGCTGGTTCCACTCCACTCCCCTTTTTACCTGAGCTGGGTCCCCTGACGCCAGGGAGAGACGCCCACAACCTCCGAGAGGTCCACCAGGTTCACAAATGCTTTAGGGACCTAAGAGGAAACAAGGGGAAGGAGAACATTTGCAAAGTCACCATGGCTGCCCAGGGTCCTCCCTGGGACCCTTCCCTGGCTAGAGGCCCTGCAGGGTCTGGTTGAGCAGGAGATGCTCTTGGGGAGGAGTTAGGTCGGGGGTGGTCCAAAGCCACCTTCCATGCTGGTTATGCAAAAATGCGTCCCTCACTGTTGCTTATGGTGGGCAGGGTACCACCCTACCACAGTGACAACAAGAAGGGGGGGCCACGAGGGGCCCGACACAGAAACTGCCCCCCAGGAGTCCCAGAAGCTGCGGGGCTCGCTCTCCTGGTCAGTCCAGGAGGGGAAGACTTGAAAGCTCTCAGGGACCCTCCAGGTCATCACTGCCCCAGTCTGGGCAGCAAAGAGTGGGGTCGTGAGTCCCCAGGGCAAAGTGTGCTCTGCTCCTTCTTCCTGCCCAGAAGCCTCTGTCAGAAGCACCTTTTGCAAGAGAGAAGGGCTCTACAGCTGACCCAGGTTTTCATGAAAAGGGTGAAAAGACCGGCTCCTCCAGACCTCTTCCCTAGTCTTGACCTTCCTCGTGGGATGCCTGCCAGGACACCACTTTCTCACCCCTGGGAGGCACTTTGAGAGGAACCGGAACCTTCCCTGCCAGCTCTCTGAAGGGCAGTCCTCCCCGTCTGGGGAAGGCATCCACGAGGAAGTGCCCAGAGCGAGGTCCCCCAGGCTGGGGCAGCTGCGAGCCTTACCTCCTGCAGCAGGTAGTCCAGCGTTGCGGTCAGCTTGTCCATGGCCCCTGTCACGTTGCTCTGCTGCGAGAGGAGGAACGTGCTGAGTGTCGGTGGAGACGGGAGCGTGGGGCCTGGGCTCGCGCTCGCCTGTGCTTCCCCCTCCCCCACCCCGCCCCAGAGGCTAGTGACAAAGGCCCTACTACACCCCAGTTCTCCTCCAACAAGAAGAGCCTTCCCAGAGCTCCCCGGGGCTTTTGTCCATTCCAATTTCCCCAACCCATCATCCATTAGATTAAAATCAAACTCCCCCAGATGAGAAATTCCATGTCAGGGAAGGGCAAACTCAAGGTCGAGGAAACTCCACAGCTCACACTGAGGGACGGGAGAGAGGACTTATTCCAAAGGCTGATGGAGTCACTTCTGTCTGAAGAAAATCAGGTCCAAAGGGGGAACCCGATTACCCTTGGATTTCAGGACCCAGATGGGCCTAAAACTGCCACACGGCGCTCTTTCATCAGACTTGTCCCTGCCACCAGGTGTGGGAGGACCCCTTCCCACCCAGTGCCTAGCAGATAATGGAAATAAATGAGCAAATAGAGTACTTCAAAAGTAGGCCCTGGCTTACCTTTTGGGGGCGGGGGAGGGGGGTGGGAAACAAACACACAAAACAAAAATAAACTTTTACACCAGACAAACTCCTCAGCTGCCTGCTAACCAGCTGTCCCCCGAGGGGACTTGGCTCAGACAGGAAGGCGAGAGAGGCCCGGAGCTGTTCTGTTTCCTGGGGGGACACAGGCGCTGATTCTGCAGACAGCTGCCAATCACTCAGGCTGTGGCTGCGTGGACCCTGGCTCCCTCTCCGGAGCCCCCTTCCCACCCCCGCCCCGCAGGAGTCCCCCCTCCGGTAGGAGGCTGTCCGCTGGAAGCCAGTTTAGCCTGCTCTGTCGCTGTAGCCCGCAGTAAAGCCTGTTGCCTCATTTTCTTCAGTCTCAGTGAGTCTCTCTCTGAACAGGGCCTCAAGCGTCTCCATTTTCCTTCTGAAGAGCCTTGGGGACTCCGTCTAGAAAGCTCCTCGTTGCTCACACTCAGGTCATCTCTCTGGGTGCTGCTGTCCAGACCGCAAACCCCGCTTTAGAAACCTCTCAGTCCAGGGCGTATTCATGGCTACAGAGTGAACTGGGGCCACCCAGTCCCTCCAGGGACTGAGTGGTTGTTGCCTGGGCCCCAACTGTCCCTGGTCCTTAGTGGAAGATATTACCCTCTTACAAAACATCCCTCGTCTATAAGCTTACATGCAACAAACTCCTCTTTGAACCCAAAGTCAGGAAAAGCTTATTTTCCCAAATGGATTTGCATATTTTTATTTATATCTTTTGCTTTCAGTCAGAAGAATGTTCTACTATCAAACGTGTGCCCCAGACAAAACTTAACTTTTCCCCAATAAGTCGTTTCCTCGGGATAATTCCAAGAGCGGGATTGTTCAGTCAGAAGATACCAGTGTGCCCTCCACTGCTTCTTAAGGCATTTGCAACGAATAAATGAATCACTTTCTTGTGGTGCCCCTGGCTATGCGTTTTTCCTTCATTCTGTCTCTTCTTTTGAATGCCGTTTTCATCTTACTCACAACAAACTAGACTTTAGGGGACAGTGGTAAGAGGCCAGACCCTACAAGCATACTCATTTCACTACAGTGAGCGGGCCGGGAGCCAGACCTGGGAGCCATGGGGTCCTGTGTGGGAAACGGACGTGGAGGAGGGACTTATTTCCGGCTCCAAAGACTTGGCAGTCTTTGTGCAAAAGGAAAATCAAGATGAAAGAAAAAAAATGCAGTGAAAAGGGAACACGAGCAGATGCATATAAGCATTGCCACAATGAGCTAAATTGATGGAGCAGAGGCTCCCAGCTGAGGTCCTGAGGTGGGAATAAATCCGCACCTGTCGACCTGATTAGATGTCCACATATTGGAGGAATGTCACGCATTGACAGAAAGTCTGATAACAAGTGCTGGGACAGTTGTCGGGCATGAGACCCTCGGACACTGGAGGAATAGAATGGGTGCATCTGCTTTGCAAGGTAACCAGGCAGTCTCTATTACACCTTAAAGAGCAGGTACCTGATGACTAGCGATTCTGCTTAAGGCTCTATTCTAGGTACTTTTCTTCGAGTTACTCAAGCATGACCCACAGAGTAAGAAATATTTCACATTACAATCCAATGCACACATCTACACAGAAAACAAAGCCAAAAAAACCCGTGAATCAACACCCACCTTACAACATGGAATTGACTGTAACATCTTATAGTTTATTCTTTTTCTATTTTTAGCATTTTGATTTCAGTCTTTAAACTTAATTTCGACCCACTAATATATTTCTATCTGCAACCTGAAAATCACTGTATTTAGGAAAACACACACATTCCGGGAAATGAACAAAACTGGAAATAACTGTATGGACATCAATGGGGAAATGACGAAACACAACTTAGTAAGTTTACACCGTGGAATGCTATTTAGCAAGTAACAGGAATAAACTCAATCTATGTGTATCAGCATGACTACATCCTTGGTTAGTGAAAAAATGGCTCATGATATAATATTATTTGTGTTAAATTGCTCTTTCTCTTGCACACACACACAAAATACTATATACTAAGATTCACAGATATGTAAGAGGCTTAGAAATAAAAAGAGGGAGAGGATTGGAGGTGGCATTTTAGCTTTAACTGTGATATTTTAGTTTTTTAAGGAGAAAACATTTGTGCGTTGGTTATCTAACTAAAGATTAGTAACAGGAACTGGGTGGGTACATGCAGGCACAGGAATGCACCACGTAGCCAAGAATGCTTCGGGCATGAATACACGAGAGAAAGCAAGAATTCAGAGCAATGCTGAACACAAAAGCATATGGTAGAAATCATGAATGAGTGTCCACATCCATGAAGGCGTTCAAACATTTAAAAATCAAACAAAAGCCAGCAGGAATGTAACTCATCATCAATACAACAGCATGTGCCTGCCTGTAAAAAGGGAAAGCGAATTCACGCACGAAGAGACAACGTAGGCGTGGGTAGGTAGACGAGAGGGGTACAGCAAAGACTAAGTGCTCGCACGAATACATAAACCCATAAAGAAATTTTGGTGTGCACTATCTCCAAAAAGAGGGGCATAGAATAAACAGGGCTTGTGAACCTCACTTGGCATGGGAGAAAACAGAGGGTGAAATAGAACAATGAACCTCCAAGATCTATACGGCACAGACCCAGGAGATGTGTTGGGCTATTGTTTAACGAGCTGCTCTGGTGAGGTGGGCTTCCATCCACATTTTCCCAGGGCCCAGCATCACTAAAGGAAGGGGTTGGGTGGAGGGAGCTCAATCCCACTCAGGGGGAACACAGGGCATTTGGGAGAAGGCCAGAGTGTATGTCCTGGGAGAAGGGCACACGTCAGAGGAAGGCGGCACCCCAAAAACTTCACCTCTGCCTGTGCCATGGCCTGGCAGAGGCCCTAAGGTGGCTGAGAGGATGGCGGCAGGTACCTGGTCTGCCGTGAGTGGCAAGGACAGCTTGGTGTCAATCACACTGCAGGCCCTTGAAGAAGAATGTGTGTGCCATTCACAGCATCAGAGCCTAGGTATCTCCCCCACCCTTCCACTCTCGACGGACCCTAACCTGGATGATCATCCGTAAGCATTTAAGTCCTAGATAGTCACCAACAGAAATAACAGATGGAGCCACGTGTATCACTTCCTGCATCCAGGAACACTAAAGAGCCTGCAGGATGGTCCACATATGTGAGCAGAAGGCTTCCCATCACAACCAGAGTCCATGGTGAACTACAGTTCAAGAGGTGACGGCAAGACTGCATGTCCTGCTTCATTCCCTCAATTCAGCACTCAAATGAAATCAGAGTTGAAAGAGGCACAACGAGTTTTCCCTAGGAGGCCGATCCTTCTCAAGTGTAGAGTGATCATTGGCTGAGCTTCTCTGCAGCCCAGTTCCCTTTATCTGATAGGAAAGACGGTTCCTATCCGTCCATTCATCCATCCATCCAAACTCTGCAGGAGAAGCCATGAGGCCCCGCCCAGGTCTAGATCAAGCGGGTTTAGTTCATTGGCTCTGTACCCGCCACGGCATCTGCTGTCCCTCTGCGCCCAGCCTGTGGCTTACCTGTTGGGTGAAGAGACACAGGTGACACTGGTTTGTGTTAGTGAAGAACACATTGATGAGTTTCCAGTCATTTTGGAAGTCAAGTTGCTGGGAAAAAAGGCAACGGCGTCAAAAAGAGATAGTGGTAAGACCTGATTCCGAGAGAACGCTCTTCTCACTATTTTTCAGTTTTATATACCCACATGCATAAAATCATATTTATGGATTTTTTTAAGTATATGGTGGGAAACTCAAAGTGTATAACTGCTCTCAGAGGCAATTTGGCAAAGTCTACTTTAAAAAATTTTAAGGGCATACCCTTTGATCCAACAATTCCATTTCTCAAAATGTATTTTAAGGAAATAAGGATACTCCAAAGGTGTAGCTACATCAATGAAGCCTTGTTTCTAACATTAAAAAACTGGAAACAACATAAATGTCTGAAGTAGGGAATTGCTGTGGAAACTGTGAAACACTCATTAGATGAAACACTGTAGCTATTAAAATGGTGTTGGAAAATGTAATATTGTCATGGAAAAATATCATGTTTAGAAAAGCAGGTTATAAAAAGTATCTACATCTAGTAACAGCCCTGTTTTATAAAATACACACATGTGTTTAGAACAAATGTGCTTGGAAAAAATATGGAAGGGGTTATACCCTGAGTTGTCAACAGCAATTATCTGGGTAAGATTCCTTTTGTTTACCAGTGTTTTCTTATTTTTCTGTAATAAACACGCATCACTTGTGGAAACAAACAAAAAAATAAACATTTATTTTGATGTTTTAAAGGCACCGTGATGCAGTTGAGAGCGAGGCTGCAAACCAAACACTGGCTTTAGCTCTGACCTACTGCGCGAACTTGCACAGGTCACATGAATTCCCAGGACCTGTACCCTCATCTATAAAACCACAGGGTTGGATTCAAGACCCCCAGGTATGTTCCAGAATGTTGTGATTACTCCAGAAATTCTGGCATTCTCTTGTTGGGGGAAACCAATTCCTTTTTTTAAAACTTTTTAAAATTTATTTTTAGGGAGAGGAGAAGGGAGGGAAAAAGAGAAAGAGAGAAACACTGATTGGTTGTCTCTCATACATGCCCCAATCAGGGATCGAACCTTGCAACCCAGGCATGTGCCCCGAATGCAAATCGAAGCAGCGACTTTTCACTTTGCTGGATGATGCCCAACCCACTGAGCTACACTGGTCAGGGCAGGAAACCAACTCTCTATGGCATATCCCCTGCATTTGTCCCTGTCCCTGCATAACCAGCAACGACCTGGCTTTAACGCCTGAGCTCTTTAATGAGCTCATGGCTGACGGGGACAGTACTGCCCTTGGTTCCAGTGGTCCAGGCTTAGCGCTTGGTTAGAGCTACCTGGGTACCAGGGCCCCGGCGTGTATGTCACAGAGGCCCCCGCCTGAGAACTGAAATGAACATGGTAATTAATAACCACCACCGCCACTTCTACGACAATGACAGCTACAGGCCTTCATTGAGCATTGCCTCTGTGCTAGGCACATCCACCACCTCATTTAATACTTCCTAAGTCCTGTGCTACAGCCTCTCATTATGCCCACTTCACAAATGGGAAAACTGAGGCTCAGAGAGGCTAAGTGCCTTAACCAACTTTATACAGCGAACAGGTGAAGAATTCAGGGTTCCCATTTAAACTGCTCTCTGTCTGGACCCAAGTTCTTACCCGCCTTCCTAAGTGGGAAGTCACGCAGGCCCTCTGCTACCACACAGAATACCACTGTGCACCTAAGAAATGGCCTGTGTTCCAACGGTCTCTGGAAGGGCAGGTTTGGAGTGCCCAGGCCATGCTGGTGGCTGAGTTCAGGGCACAATGGCCGAGGGGCCACGGTGGCCTGGTGCTTGTGGTCTGACTGCCTCTCAGCAGGCATGGGAAGCCCCAGCCACCGAGCTGGGCGGATTCCTACCTGGTTCTCTTGCATGCTCTTCACCAGTTCTTTTGCCTGAGTCCACAAGTCTCTGCACAGAAGGAGGTGGGCAGAGACAAGATCAGTTAAATTCAACTTTGCCCAGGGCTGGAAGCTTGACCCCTGCCCCAGCCCAGGAGCCAGTCTCTGAGTTCAAAGCTGCACTGTACCAGCCCTGGCTTCTGGAGGGCACACCTTGACCTGATTTTTAGAAGTAGGCCCATCAGAGAGACTTAGGTCAGCATAGGAGAGGCATTTTGGCCTTGGCTTAATAGAGACCTCTATTTTTAAGCCTCTTTGACTAGTCCAGCCCCCAGCCCCATCCTCCCGCCCAGATGCCGAGACCAATGGGAGTGGATAGCCGTGGACAGAAGCAGCGAAGGGACTTACTCAGCACCACTGTGGGGCACCTCTCTCTCCCCCAGGGGGCACACAGGCCTCAGAACAGATGTATTGAAGTGTCTGATGATGTCTGAAAGGACTAAAGGGGGAGCTGGTGTGAGGGTTGTGGCCCTGACGGTTGGGGGTCACCTGTAAAGACCGACCCCTCTGGGGTAAAGTGCCCAGACTAGCTGCCCCTATTCCAAAACCCTGCCCTTCACACCTGCCTTAAGCTGTGAGGTCAGCCTCACAGCAGGCATCTGGAAGTAAACAGAGCTGAAAATGACCATCTCTCAAGGGCTAGGCCAGGTTCAGTGCTGAGCACCTTATATTTGTGAAGGGGAACAGGCTGGGAGAAGATACACAGCCTGCCCGCGGTCTCCAGGCCAACCGCAGGGAAACTGTGCTGAGACAGGGGCCTAGGCAGGCTGCCTCCCAGCCCCTCTCCTCCTGAGAGTGACAGCAGGCTGGGAAAGCTCTGGGGAGCGACAGGGAACATGTCCCAGAGCTGACAGCCAGAGGACCGCTAAAAATAGTGCTGCCAGGAGCAGTGAAGTTGTGCCTCGCTCCCAAGAGAGGAGAGGGCAGAGGGGGAAAGTGTCACGGGAGGGAAGTGTCTCCGCCCCACCCTCAGTTGTCCCCGCTTTCTGCCCCATCCCGGGGTGCCGGGGGGGCTTTGGGGGAGCGGAATCCAGGAGGCGGCGCTACAGGCCCCCTCGAAGGAGCTGACACTGTGGGCAGCAGGCAGGAGGGCATGGGGGCAGGAGAGCTGGGCTGGGTGTCAGGAGGCCAGCCACTCGGCATCGTCAGCTCGGGCTGCCACCAAAGGTATGTGTGGCTCAGTCTTCCTCATCCTCAGCCGGAACCGATGAGCTTCCTTGTATAAGCCCTGGCCAGCCCGGGAAGGAGCCCACTCTCACACGTGGTGGGAACGTGGAAAGCTCTGAGGCCAGTGGAAGACTGCAGGACAGTGTGTGTGCATGTGTCCAAGTGTGTATGTGTGTGTGTGTGTGTGTGAGTGTGAGACAATGTGTGAATGACTGTGAGAGTGAGTGTGAGTGTGAGTGTGAGTGTGCGGGAGGGACCTTTTCCTCCCTGGCGTCAGGATTGTCTGTGAGGGTGAATGACCTACCCGGTGCTAAGTCTTTGAGAGAACTGCTTTCTAACTGACGGCATCTGTACCACGTGGCTTCTCTGGTCAAACAGGACTGCGGCTCTCTTCTCACAAACCTGCCTGTCACCCTGCTCCACGCCTGCTGTGCACCTGCTCCGTGCTGTCTGCCTCTCTCTGGCTCTCGGCTGAGGGGCCGGACCACCTGCTTCACAGGGATCCTGCCTTGCACCGAGAAAGTCCCTCCCCACCCGACTCAGTATCCCATCTGCCCACTGGCTGCGGTGGGCAAGGGCACGCCGGATTTGGAGAGCTCTGCGGTCCTGGGGCTGAAGGACAGGCGGGCCGAGCTCGGGCTGGCCCTCGCACCTGCGTGGGCCTGGCTGTCCCTGGAGCCTCTCCCCGGGAAGACCAGGTGCTCCTCTGCCGGCCGAGTCACAAGCGGAGCTTCCGGGCCCTGTGCTCCAGTCCTACCCGCTTCCCCTGTGTTAGGTGGGCTGGATTCACTGGCAGCTACAGGCAAGTCCTGCCTCTGAGGACATCCAGGTGCCAGTTCTGCTCTCACTGCCCTGCCTTCAGCAGCATCTCGGGACAGATGGGACTCCTGGTCACTTTGCTTAAAGACGGGCAGTCAGGACTTGTTACCAGGTGGGTAAGGGACAAAAAGAGGAGGCAAATTGCAAAATCAGGCAAAGCATCTGCATTTGTGGTTTCTGGGTCTTAACTGCATCCTGTCCTCCCAGACGCCACAAGTACACCATTTCATTTCTGTTTTCCCTTCATTTAAGGGAAAACAGGGCCAAACCCAGGCAGAGCTGTGACAACCATCCAGTCAGTGTTGGGGGGTCAGGGGGATTCTCCTCTTTCAGAACACTTCGATCCTATCCAAGGGGACTGTCCTACCACTTTGGCCACCAACATCCCCCCGCCTGTCAATCGGATCCTGGGGGGCTGATCACCAGGCCCCAAGCCCCCCTGCCAGAAGGGGAGGGCTGCAGGCAGCCTGGGGTCTCATGCACCCCTGTCCTCTGCAGGGAGCCTCGCGATTCCCAGGCCCCGGTGAAGCTCCCTGGCTGAGCCGGCAGGGCACCAGCTCCCTCACTGCCACTGCTGTCACAGGAGTGTCCGCTCCGCAGGGCACACGCATTGTGTCTGAGCCTTCCCGCTCCAACGGAGAGAGTGCTTTCCTCACCGTGAGCACCACACAGCTGGCTCTCACATCCCGCTAGGCTAATTCAGCTGGCGTTAAGGGGCTGGAGGCTTCAAGACGACCTAATACAGTCACAGGGGGCTCTGACGTTAAAAGGGAAAAAACTGGTTACAGGTGGCCTATTATAAGTACATTCTTATGTAAAAAGGCCAAAATGTTACAATGATGATCTCCAGATAGTGGGATACAGTTGGCTTTCATATTCCTTCATTCTTCTGAATCCAATCGATATAGTTGTAAGTGAGGGAATTATTATAAAATGAATAAGGTCTGCTCCTGGCGGGGGTGGGGAGTAGGGAATGGGGGGCAGTTCCCCAGGTGAAGCACTACTTGTCCAGCCCTGGGGTCATGGGGGAGAAGGAGCCTTAGGACCCTGTCCTGGCCATCCCCTGACACCCCTCCCATGTCCTCTAACCTACCAAAGCCTCCTGGCCCCTCTCCGCTTGGGGACCCTCAGACACAGCTCCCATGCCCTCCTTTCAGGGTACGTTGACCTTTCACACCGGGTTCCCTGTCTCTCCTTCCCTTTTCTCTTTAGACTCTGTGACTAAGTGGCCCATGGGATCCATTCTCTTCATTTAGCACCAGGTGACGATGTCAGGAGAGATGGGGATCATCTGCAGTCTGGCCACAGTGCCCGGAACTCACCTGTCACCACTCCCATGCACGCCTGCTGCGGCCCAGTTTGAGTCCTGCAGCTAGAAGCAAACAGGCACGGGTCAGGCTGTGTTTGCCACCCGCCCACCACCCTGTTCCCTGACAAGCTTCAGCTCAGCCTGGCTCCACCTCTTCAGTGACCCTTACTGGAGACACCGCTCAGATGGCCATGGAGCTGCCCAGATGAACGGATGGGGTGCACAGCTCCCTCTGGCCCAGAGCTGGAAGGGGCTTCGGCCCCTGGCGGAGAAGGAGACCGGCCCTGGTCCACCCCGCATGCTGCCCCCTGAGCAGAGCAGGGCGCCTGGCTGCTGGTGGGAAGTGAGAGTCCCACACGCGTGTTTCCTGCTTTTCCTCCTGTCTACCCAGAGAAGCCTGGGGTTATTCAACAGCACGGGAGGCAGGAGACTGGGTTCTGTCCCTGCTCCTAAGGGACACCTGTTCCTGAGGGAGCCTGGAGCAAGGCCTTTTCTCCCCGGGCCTGGGGTTTCCCCATCAGCGAAGCAAGCAGAGCAGATCCTCAGGGGCTCTGCTCAGCTCTGTTGCTCTGTGATTCCAGCATAGTTACCTTGGCGGCTTCTCTGCATCGGCTGTCCCCGGGTCTGGTCTCTGGAAGAGATGGGGGGCGTTAATCCAGCCAGGGGAGGGGGCAGAGCCTGTCTGTCCCCCCGAGACCCCGGCTGCCTGTCAGGCCCTCTCGCTGATTCCCAGGGGGCCCATGGGTCGGCGGAGAGAGGTCCAGTTGCCCATGCTCGTTTTGCAGGGAGGGAAGAGAATCCGGCTTCCTCTGCAGCAAAGGTGGGGGGGGGGGGAGAGGTCAGAACCCAGAGAAATGGGAGGGGGGTGGATTTCCCTCGAACAGAAAGCAGGTGCTGGAGAGCGTAGATTTAAATGCGTGGTAAAACGGTGTGAATATTCTAACTAGAAACAAAAGAGATTGTGGGTGACTGTCCATTGTCTACAGTTTACTTGGTTCATTGCCTGGGTAGCAGCACCAGGGCAGGAGTCTGCCTGGTTTGCTCCGGACTATGTTTCTTGGACCTAGAACAGTACCTGACACATCATAAGTACTCAGTAAATATTGGTGCAATAAATACTGTTTGACTAAATGAAATAAGTTTCTGATTTTCCTCTTGGTAAAGTGCTGGGCAGCACAGGACCCTCACTATTAGAGATGTGCCCAGGTCATAGGGCTGGAGGTGAGGTTGTGGTGACTCCCCCACCCCCTGGGGAGAGGGTCTTTCACAAGGTCCCAGGGACACTTGGAATCCTGCCTGGACATAGAAAGTGCTCAGTGCACAGGAGCTCTTGTCAGTGTTATTATCTTCTGAGATGTTAATTCCTAGAAGACAGTGTCTCCGGGTCCGGTGGTGACAGCTGTGCCCAACCTGCCCACACCGGCCTGCCGCTGCTCCCTTTACTACTGTCATCACACCTACCCAGCACAAATGACAGCCAGTCTATAAAACTGGGCCACGCCTGAGGGCCCCTCAGCAGGCCAGGCCGACCATGTAATTCCTCTGGAGTCCCTCACCCTCAGTGAGGAGGAGTGTGAAAGGCAGTGTTTCCAGGGAAGGGCAACCAGTTAAATACAAGTCACACCACAGGGCCAGCCAGGGACCACAGACCAAGATGCCAGCAGGTGGAGTCCTGAGGGAAGCGGCCCCCACCCCTGCCCCAGGGCTGAGGCCACAGGGACAGCTGTACCTGACCCAAGGGGTCTGACCCCCAGCAGAGCTCTTGCTCAGGACAAGCTCGATGGTGGGGGGTGGGGCACAGGGTAGGCGAGGAGGGGGAGGGGAGGGGAGAGCAAGAGGAACAAGGCTCAGAGGGGGTGGAAGAGCTGGGGAGAAAGGTAAGGCGGGCAGACCCAGCACACGCCTGGGTCTCCACCGTGCCCGCAGCCAGCACTTCCTCCCCACCCTCCTCTGGCTGAACGCCTGCCTAGTGGCAGGTCTGGCACTGGGGGTGCAAAGGGAAGTCAGACACAGGCCCCGACCTCAGGGTGCTGGAGAGAGTGGATAGGAACGTCCCTGGCACGGGGAAATGTCTCCAACACCCAGTCAATCCCCAAACAGTTGCAGACAGCATATTGCAGGGTGACCATTCTGAGGTCACACACACACACACACAGCACAGCCTCCCTTCCCTCCCCAAATGTGTGTGTGTGTGTGTGTGTGTGCCCGCACGTGCACTGAGGCAGAGGAGTAGCAGCAGTGAACGGGGCCTTCAATATTTTATACTATATTCGTGAGCTGTGGTTGATTTTTGCTTATATTAAGCACGAATCACAAGTGTTAGTTGGAAAACCATTTTTCCCAAACGTTTACGGATCTGATATTTTAGTTCTCTGGGGAAAAGGGAGCGCGGAGCAATGCAACAAGCAAGTGCTGGTCACTGTCAGAGGTGACCAGTGTCTGCCAGACACTGCCAGACAGCCCAGTGTCTGTCCTCGGTTACAGAGGCCCCAGGAACTCAAAGCAAAAGCACCTGAATTGTGGGCTTTTTCCACTTGAAATTCACAGTCTTATTTTTCCCAAGCCTGGCTTTTTATGTGTCCCGGGCTAGGCTCACAACAGCTGGTGAGTCGCCCCCCCCCACACACACACACCAGGCAGGCAGAAGGGGGTGGCCTCAGGGGAGCTGGGCTCTCAGGCTTTGTCCTGAAGGCTGAGGTGCCTGTCAGTGTCACGGTAATGATTCTGGGGCCAGGAAACAGTCCTGGGCTGAAGCTGTATTTCGGCGCCCAGGGCCTCAGGCTCACGGGAGGAGAAAGGATGACTGACAGGCCAGAGCTGGGAGGTCTGAATAATTCATGAATTAGGAGCTCTTTCAGAGCTGGGGCCAAAGAGTGGGAGTCACTGATGGGCTGAACGTAACTGGAAGCCTGACTTGGGTGGAGGTTTTCCTGCAGTGAACTTCCTGCCCGAAGTGGAAGAATACGAGTCCCCTGGGGCGGCACTCAGTCTGGGCCCAGGAATGTAGCCATCAGCGTGCAGGGACACACGGCTCGGCAAGGTCAATGTGCTGTCCGTGACATGAAGCCTCTTTTCTCGCTTACTCCTTTCTGGCCTTTCACGTCCCTCCCAGCAGTAAACCTCCACCCTCACCCTGAGGCGTATGCACACACACACACAGTCACACGTGCAGCCTCAACACCGCCAGCACCTCCAGGAGAAAACAAGGTTAGGGAGTTCTGCCTGCCAGCTTCACTGGGGTTTCTCAGGTGAAGTCTCATACTTTGCATACAGCTGCCACTGTGCTGGGGCCTGCAGCAAGGTGGTCCAAGGGAAGGAAGGGGCTGAGGTCACAGGGAGTACCGTCTGCAGCAGGACCAGGGAGAGACATTGGGGAGGAGATGACACTGGAAGAAGAGGAATGTCTTGGTTTGGGTGTGGGGTATACAGCAGGGCTCTGGGACAGAGCAAAGGGTACCTGGTAAGGGGTCTGTCCAGCTTGGGGGCTCTGGGAATGGGGGGCCCCGTGGGCAGCAGGGCTGTGGCTTTTACTCAGCCCAGGGCAGGGGGGGACTGTGGAAAGCCAGGGCGGGCAGTTACACTGGCCTGCACTCTGCCGTCCAGCCCTCTTGTCTGTAGACGCCTCTCTTTGTGCTCATTCCTCTCTCCCCATCTTTCTTTTTGTTAATCACTTTTCTTTCTCTTTCTGACATGAGAAATATATCACTTAAAATGTTTTAGCAAGGATACATGTATTTTCAAAACTTTACCAAGCAGTTTTTTTCTTTATCTTATAAATAGAAAGTTTAAGAGATTACTTTCAAAATTCTGTGTGATCTTTGACTTAATTGATCAATCAGTGGGTTTAATTTATTAATGAGACACTCCAAAAGTTTTCTAACCTGAACATAAAGGGAGGCATTGATTTGATCAAAGAAAAACAAAACAAAACAAAACTCAGAACCCCCTAGATTATAGGATTTCTCCAACTCAGAGAATAAGCTCCTCTCCCCAAACAAAACATCCTGCCTGCTGACCAGGAGCTCATTCAGAGGGTCACCAATCCCAAACCCTGTCTTCCACCTCCACCTTCTTCAAATACTCACAGTTTCCACATCGCCAATGCCTGCCATGAATTTGATATCAGAAGGTCTCAGGGAGTGGACTGCAAAGACAAGAACCCAGGTAAGAAGGTCAGGTCTGTATTACCCACAATGAGGGCAAGGACACCAAACAGGAGGTGCAGCCCCATGGCCCCCAGTCAGGGGACAGAGGCAAAGACTGAGTCTTTTGGCCACGGGAACGGGGAACTGAAGACCAGGTGGTCACTGGGGGCCTAGGAATCTGCTCAGAAGAGGCTCACTCCTCTCTGGAGACCATACTGTGTGCCGCGGTCCGGCCACAGCGGGTCAAGGGGTCCCACAGGTGAGGGTAGGCGTCGGCGCTGGGTAACAGATGACAACACGCCTCAAAGGACAGTGAAGCTCTGTTCCGGTTATTGCAAGTACAAGCAGGTTTTTATATTTTCATTTTTGGTAGTGATTAACATTTGCAGGTGTATAGCATGATCTGTTAAGCAGAAAAAGTCAATACAAAGGTAACCAGGAAAAGTACAAGAATTTCCATAGTTTCGGTAACAAGGAAAAGTACAAGAATTTCCATAGTTTCAATTATATTATACAAAAATTGTTTTGACTAGGAGAAACATTAATCAGACAATTTGAAATAACTCTATGTACAGAGTTTGAATATCTTATTGTTTATTAAAGGTCTAGAATTTGGCAAGGGGCAAAAGGTACGCTAGACTGAGCAGAGGTTAGGAAATTTATTATAAGGCCTTTGTGATGCCTAACTTAGCTATTTATTCTTTTCTGTCTAAAATGTTTCTCTGTGTACTATAAACTGACTCTCTAGTAACTGTTTCTATGTGTTTAGCTTGTAATAGTTAACCAGCCCTTTTTTAATTTCTTTGCCTGTCCAATTGATATATATTCTTATTAAAGGTAAAGGAGGGGCTGTTACTTCAACAACTTGTAAACATTCAGGGACTATTTCATTAGAGGGAACTTTGTTCTCTGATCAAGAAATTACTTTGTACAACTTCACTGGAATTATGTGAATCAACGAACCTGAAATATAAATGTCTAACTATTCCACTACTTTTTGATCACCCAAACAAACATGTAACTTGTTTTTCTTATTTCTGGTACACTATGGCAGTCCTGATCACCTTAAGTTGCTCAAACCAGGGTAATTTATACAACTTGACATGTTTTTCCCTTATGGTTAATAATTATATCACCCTGGCTGTCGTACTCCCCTGTATAAGGGAGAGGGGAATCTGTGGGGATTTGTCCATCCTTTCAGGCAGTTTCGTGGGGAATACTAATGTTTTCCCCTAAACTGTTCCCTCCTATTTGGTGATTTTCACAGGAATAAGTAAGTACAGTACAATGTCCATACTCAGTAGCAAGAGTAAAATAATTAAAACAAAACAGCCAATTGTTAACCCATTTTGGATGCCACATTCTCTTCCGGGGAGACGAATTCTTTGAACTCTAATCCTCCATGCCTGGACCTTGTCAGACAGCGTGGTTGGAAGAGGACGTGGCAACTGTGAACTGAGGTCAAGGTCTCCCAAACGTGTCCCCAGGAAGGTCACTCATGGCCCTCATTTTCCCCATTCATCTGTTCCATGGCTCTGTGTTTCTGGACCCCCAATAGTAAGAGGGCAACATTGAAATGCAAGCCACCTGGGTACACAAAGGGTCCTACTGGCTTGAAGGCTGCCAGAGAACAACACTCAGCGCTGTGAACACGCGTAAACATCGGATGCCAGCAGCCTGCACAGGGTCCCCCAGGAGGCCTCCTTGACCCCCCTGGGTGGCCAGCACTTTTAGAATTCAGTCTCCCCAGAAACCTCTGACTTGCTCCCTGGTCAAGTTAGGGGCTCCCAAAGAAGCCATTTCCTAAGACGTGCACAGATGTCTTCTTCTGCCTACTTTCCTCATGAAACAGTGCAAAGAATGACATGTTTAACCGCAGACCCTGCAAAGTCAGTGCAATGCAAACATAAGTAAAGCCAGTAAACAGTGTATGATGTGGCCTCTTAGTAGCCTAAGGCCAGAGAAGATGACCAGTTTAAGAGCAACATGCAGAGCATCCAGGTGTTAGACAAGCCTAGCTCATTATAGGGGGAAAACAGCAACAGCAGCCATTGTAGCTACATCACAGGACTGGGGAAGGCACATGAGGCACTGGCCCCCAACCCGCCGCTCCCAGGACACTGCCTGCCCCCTGTAGGCGGGCACTCCCAGAGGCTGCCCGCACCGGCCAGGCACCACGGGCCTTGCTGGCTCTATCTCTGACTGGTGTGCATTGGTCTGCGTCCCTCCATAGAAACAAACGAGGGGAAAAGTAGAAGGGCTGAGGGACTAAGGATGGAAAAGAGGGAGGAATTGAATGGCCAAAAGGTACAAGAGAAGTAGGACCTCTGCTGGCCACACCAACGCCATGGCTCAGGGTCACCTACCCGACTTAGAAGGCGCGTCGGAGCCTGACTTCTTCAGGTCGCACAGGAACTGAAAATTCTGGTTCTGCAAACACAACCGAACACCAGGAACATGAGCTGCCCTGTGTGGAGCTGCTGCAGGTCCGGAAAGCTCAGTGTGGAAATGACCATGTAGTTGATCTATCGAGACTCAAAACCCAGACGCAACAACTGTCCACAGTCATGGTCTCACTGATCCCTGCTCACCCAGGACAAGAGGGCCCATGTCTGCGGACAATGATTTTAACAGGTGGGATGGAGAAGGAGGGACAGTACAAATTAGCTCTTGGGATGATGGCAAAGTCCTGGAGGTGGACAGTAATGATGGTCACGCAACGTGAATGTACTAAACTTAATGCCACTGAATTATACGTTCAAAAATGATTAAAATGGTAAATTTTATATTATGTACATTTTACCACAGTAAAAAATCTTTAAGAAGAGACCCAGAGTCCGTAGACTAAAAGATTACAAAAATTCATCTATATGCCCTGACTGGTGTGGCTCAGTGGGTTGGGTGTCGTCCCGCAAACCGAGTGGTTGCTAGTGTGATTCCTGGTCAGGACACACACCTGGGGTGCAGGTGTGGTCCCCAGTTGGGAGATGTGCAAGAGGCAACCGACCAATGTTTCTCTCGTGCATCAATGTTTTCTCTCCTTTTCTCCCTCCCTTCTCTTCTCTCTAAAAATAATTAAATATTTAAAAATTCATCTCTGCTATATTGATTTGTATTACTTCTTTTCTCTCCTTTGATTATTTATGCAAAAGTGGGTATTTGAGGCATTATGTTCGTGTGCTGCCAGAAACCAGGTGAACTTGAAACGAGAGACCCGTGTCTCCCCCGGACTGGCCTGTGCCAAGCCCAGAGGGCTGTGGAGAGCAGAGGAGGGGCTGGGGGACCAGTGCTCGGGACCGCCGGGCCACTCGGGCGCCTCAGGTGCTCGCAGGGGTCCAGAGCAGCCTCTGCTTCTGTGAATCACGTGACAGGCTTTGGGAAGGGTGTTGGGATGTTTTCTCCCCAGAATTGAAAGTGGAAGAGGAAATACAGCAGGTCCTTAACTAAAGTCATCTGGTTCAACTTGTAAGGGTGATGAGATGCCATAGCAGCTCAGCTCTTGTTTATGCCAACCAGCCTGTGGTAAAAGTGGTTTCATTACAAGTTGGTCCCCCTGGTTACCAGAACCTGTAGATGACATTGAGGACTCACTGTTCTCCAACTGGGGAAAACAGGCAGTAACCGAGTCCCTGGACCACACCTCACTATCACAGGTTAATCCTCTTCAGTTACTGATTGCAGGAAGAGATAAAAGCATTTACTCTCCACTCTTATCTTGGGATGTTCTGGGAAGACATTACCCAGCTGCCTTCAGATAACTCAGGGCAGCTGCTTCAAGGTTCACAAAGATAACAAGCCCATTTATAGCTCTTTCTACACACTTCTGGGAACCACCCCCTCAGTATTCAGCAATGATGGGCCCCCAGACCCCAAGAGAGACCCTGTGCTGTCTCTGTCTTGCTAGGCAGGCAGACTGCCCCTGGGAGCAGCAGTTCATCCAGCCCATTCCCTCAAGGAAGGAGCCTGCCAGCTTGCATTGAGACTTGGATTTACCCACTGGAAGAGACCCTGCCAGCCCTCCAAAGGGGAAACAGCCCTCACCTCTGGACACAGCTGCTCTTCCAGTGTATTCTCTCCAGGAGAGGTATGGGCCTGGATGCTCTCTAAAATAAAGCAAAAATATATAGTTCAGGTTATTTAGCTGGAGTTGACTCCTATCCAGGTTTGTACATTTCCTGCTCTTCCTCCCACCATAGCTACGTGCCCAGCTTGTTAACCTCCTTCGAGTTAGGGAAAATCTAGATTCCACTTCTCCAACTATCACCTTCATTGTTTGGAACGCTGCACTTCCGTGCAGTCGACTTGCCAGGCTGAAAGTGAACGTGTTACCTGCGGAGGGTCAGCAATGACCCCGCACCACACGCATGCACATCACCGTGGATGCCTTTCTTGGTTCCTTAGCAAAAGGCAGACCTCCTGAGACAGGTAATGCTGGACAAGTAGCCGACCTTGCCGGCTGGAGCAATGCAAAAGGGGCGGGCCTGTCTTGGGGGGGAGCTTAATTTCTTTCCACCCCAGTCTTCTTCTGCAGCTTTACTTTTTTGACCCTGAAAAGACTTTTTCCAGAATTTGATGAGAAACAAGAATATATTTCCATTCCATGCCCCCTGAGAGGTCAATCAGACACTCATTTCTACGTTAAAGCCCACAACAGCAACAGTGGCTGTCACCTGCTCTCAGATTTCAGCAACCCTTCCGAAACTCCCAGAATAAAGCTCCTGGACAGAAAGAGCCATGTGATGGGAAGGTGTGGACAAGCACAGGGCACTGCCAAAGGCTGGAGGACAGGGCATGTGACTGGGGGTAGGGGACAGCAAGGCGGGGTATGTGGGGTTTCACAGAGAGACAGTAGGGCTGCAGATGCCAGGGCTACTCCATGAGCAGTGGTGAGCCGTGACGGGTCTCTGCAGGGACGAGTACAAAGGCGTATCTTAAGATGCTCATCACTCTGGGAGTAGTGAGGTAGACAAATTAGCAGGGCAGAGATGTGAGACTATTTTGCTAATATTTTTAAGCCAGGACAAAAATCGACATGGTAGCCAACTCTTACATGCAGCTTCTATGTGCCAGGCACTGTTCCAAGCACCTATACAAGATAAGTCACTGAATGCTAACAACTCTAGGAGCTACTGTTGTCCCCACTTGACTGATAAGGGCCCAGCAAGGTTGAGCAGCATTTTAAAGGTGACAGCAGATGGTGGTGAAAGGATTTGAACATGGGCAGTCCGGCTTCGTGGGCCGTGCTCACAACCAAGAAAGTAAGTCAGAGTCCAGCATCCAGACCAGGGTTCAGCAAACTTGTCTGCAAAGGGTCAAGCAGTCAGTAGTTTAGGTTCTGCAGACCATCTGGTCTCTCTCACGATTACTCAGCTCTGATGTTGTCACGTAAAAGGAGCCTCAGACGCTGTGCAAACAAATTAACTTTATTTACAGAGACTAAAGTTTGAATTTTATAAAATTTCCATGTGTCATGAAATACACTTTTCTCCCCCAACTACTTAAAAAAGTAAAAGACTTTGTGAATATCACCAAACTGATTTTGAAGTTTCAAAGCCAACCAGAAATTGAAGGAGAAGAACAAAGCCGGAGAGCTCACACCACAAAACTTCAAGACTTGTTCTAAAGCCGCAGTAATCGAGACGGCGTGGTACTGGCACAGGAACAGACGAAGAGCTCCATGGGCCCGAACGCAGAGCCCAGGAAACCCACATGAAGAGAGCAAACGGATCTTTGACGGAAGAACAAAGGCAATCCAATGGAGAAGAGATGGTCTGTTCAGCAAATGGTGCTGGGACTACTAGATATCCACGTGGGAAAGACGAATCAAAACATGAAAAAGCCATTCTCCGCTCACAAGTCCTACGAAAACAAGCAGAAGGCTGGCTCTAGCCCAAGGGCCATGGCTTGCCCCCCAGTGCCTGACCTGGACGGCCACAGAAGAGTGGGCATCAAGCTGGGATGGGGGGTGGCTCTCTGATGAGCAGTTGCCTTAGCCCAGGATCCTAGGTGGAAACCTGGGATCTACCTCCACATTACCAGGCTGGTTGCTGCTGCCACGCCCCTTCGCTGGGCTAGCCGGGACCTTCACAGGCAGAGGGACACAGATACCAGAAGCCAGCTCTTCCTGGCCTTTCAGAAATGACCCACTCACCACCTCCAGTCTTCCAGACCCCAAGTCTAAGTTAAAAAAAAAAAGGCTCCTCAGAGAAAGTCATTGATCCCCTGATGTAAACAGTAGTTTTCTTTAAAAGAAAGGGAAAAAAAAAAAGGAAAGGGAAAAAGATTTTGAGCCCTGGCTGGTGTGGCTCAGTTGGTTGGAGCATCAGCCCATAAACCAAAAGGTCACACATTTGATGCCTGGCTAGAGCGCATGCCTAGACTGCACGTTCGGTCCCCAGTCAGGGCGCAAGCAAGAGGCAAGGCATCGATGTTTCTCCCTCATGTTGATGTTTCTCTCCCTCTCTCTCTCATTCTCCCTTCTCCTCTCTCTAAAGTCAATAAGCATGTCCTCAGGTGAGGATAAAAATAAAAACTTTTTTTAAAAAGATTTTTTATGACCGTGAACATACTCAGAACTTTATAAAAATTCAATAATGTGAGCAGACTATCTAGCCCAGTGCCTGCACAAACCAGTTATTGAACTATGTTAGTTTTGGTACGAGGTGCTGTTGTTTTACCATCAAAACAATCCAGGGAGATAAATGTCACTATCGGTATAATTTTATAGCAGTGAAAGCTAAACACTTCTTTCTAGAGGGGCAGGATTTCTCTGAGAGATCCTATGTGCTGACCCTCGTTCTAAAAAGTCTTAAAGGGGCTCAAAGAGGTTATTTCTGAAGAGTCGATGGATTCCTATGATTTTTCCTGTAATTGCTCTGGACTATTCTGGACCTTATTTTTTTTCCTCTGTAGACATTCTATCATTAGACATTTCCACATTGAGGCAGAGAAGGGCAGAGAGTAAGAGGGGGAGAGGTTGGGGGTTAGGAGGGGAGAGAGAGAGTTTCAGAAAGATTATCTGTTGAGAGTTGAAAGTGCTGCGAGCATTTGAGGGGCCCAAAGTCAAAGAGACATAGAGTAAGCCCAACACTTGAGGCTGTTTTTACTCCTAAAGCATTTGCTGCATCACAGGCAACAGGACCAGAAGGTGGGAGGCTAGTGTGCTGAGCAGGGCCACAGCAGGGCCGCAGAGGTGGGGAAGGCACGGGCGTTCAGTGCCCATCAAGGAGGAGGGTCTGTGGAAAGTGACCAGGGATTCCAGTTGGGACTTCCAAGAGCTAGACCCTTGGAGCAGGGATAAACTTGAAACAGACCAGCCTCCAGAAAGACTGAAGCCTGGCTTTTTTGTTTTAGGTTTGTTTTTTTCAAGTTTTCCATTACAGTTTACATTTGTATTAGTTTCAGGTGTAAGCATAGTAATTACAAAATTGTGTCCTTTATTGAGTGGTCCCCCTGATATTGCAAGTGCCCACCTGGCCCCATACATAGTTACTACGACATCACTGATCGTGTATATATTCCCTGGGCTGTAATTTACATCTCCATGTAACTATCAATTTGTACTTCTTAATCCCTTCACCTCTTTCACCCAGGCTCCCCCCTCCACCCCTCCACCCCTCCGTCAGCTGTCAGTCTGTTCTCTGCATCTATGAGTCTGTTTCTATTTTGTTAATTTTGTTCTCTGGATTCCACATGTAAGTGAAATCATATGGTATTTGTCTTCATCTGGCTTATTTCACTGAGCACAATACCCTCTAGGTCCTTCCATACTGTTACAAGAGGTAAGCTTTCATTCTTTTGCATCACACTCTTTTTTATTCCATCGTGTATATTTATCACAGGTTTGAGTCTGAGTCCAGCTTAGGTTAAGGTGATCTGCCTCTACCTGCCGGCCGAAAGCAAAAGTAAAGCCTTTATGGGAGAAGACAGCACCACCCCAAACATGATATTATCTTTCTATTTATTCATAATTGATGCCTGTCATTTAATTTAAAAAATAATTACCAGAAGGCAACATAAAATGCATAGAAAATAAGGGGAAAAAACAGAAAACAAAACAAACAATGGACAGTAAAAGGTGGTGAACTAATATAGAAATAAATGGGTGGTATCTGCAGCTTTGCTAGCCTGATGTTCTGTTCCCTGTTTGGGATAGAGGTGAGCCCATCAGGTGATTTAAAGGGGAAACCCCAGCAATGAGAAGGGCTGAGATATGCTCTTCACACAGTTTGGGCTGACTAGAAATCTGTGTGCACAATGGGGAAACCTGCAAAATTAAAGCAAGGAGACACTAGAGGGTTGGCTGCAACTTTGCGTTTCTTTTCCAGCCTCCTCACAGACCAGTAAACAGAGCCTTTGAGCGTGACCTCTCTCCGAGTCACTGGCTGATCACTAAACCTGCAGACTCGGGCATGGCCCCCTAGGCTTCTGGGTGAAAGAAACAAAAGAAATAAAAAACTGAGCAGACACCAGTGGCTGCACATAGTGAGGGAAATAGGTTTCACATTTTAAGTCTAGGCAAGTGACTAAGAAATAAACCACTGACTCTCAGAAAAATAAAGCACAATCAAGAATTGCTCAGTTTTATCAACTATGTTTGGCTATCAACCAAAAGTCACTAGACATGCCCCAAACCTGGAAAGTTGGTCTTGTGTCCAGGAAAAGAGCAACGAAAGGAAACTGGTTCTGAGTGGGCTTGGATGCTGGATTTCACAGGCTAAGTCTTCAAAGCAGCTGATATATATTTTTTCCAAAGAATCATGTAGTAGTATATATTTTTATGTATTGAAACTTTGTATTTATATAGTTATATATTAATTTTCAAAGAATTAAATAAACTATGTTCAGAGAACTATAGAAAAACAAATAGATTAAGACTCAATAAAGAGAAGAGATATGTATCTTCTATTCATTTGTATAGTTATAATATATTTATGATAAATATAACAAATTCCAGAGTTGAGAAGTACAGCAACTGAAAGATTTCCTAGACAGGCTCAGCAACTGACATAAGATGGCAGAAAAAAAGAATCCATAAACTTAAAGATAGATCAAGAGAAAGTACATTTCTGAAAGATACAGAGGAAAAAAGACTTAAGAAAAA